AGATTCCACTAAATAAAGAAAATCAAAAAGATTTACGTTGGTTAATTGATTTTTTCAAGAAGAGTGATGGTATTTTATTGTTAGAATTGTTAAGGTGGAATCTTTCGGATGCAGATGAAAACTTCTATACCGACGCTTGCATGACTGGGATCGGTATTTGGGATGTTAATCAAAACATCGGCAATTATTTCGTGTTACCACCTCCGGCGCGAAACATCTATTGGGCTGAATTGCTAGGGGTAATTTCGGCGGTTAAAATTGGCATTGCAAGAGGGTCTAAGCGTATTTTTATACATTCTGATTCTAGGAATGTAGTGGATTTGTTCAATTCTCATGCACCTAACAAGATAGTTCGCCCTTTGTTTAGTCATTGCGTCAAACAGTTGGTTGAAGCGGGAGCAAATGTGAAAGTCATGCACATTTCAGCCGACAATAATTCAACAGCCGACGCTCTTTCACGTCAAAAGTCAATTTTAAGTCCTGAGAAGTTGGAAGTCCTGTGTCATGCAGTCAACGTATCGTCGATAAACTATTTGAACATCGAAACTTCGCTTTCCTGTGGTGGTCAAGCTGCAAATTTAGATACTTTTGATCCATCTTCTCGGATATGGCTAAATCCAAATCGAAGAAAGTTATGTTAAACATCAGTATTGAAGAATTGCGGAAGCTATCGGTCCAAGATCGACAATCGACTATTGCTCCAAGATCTTTAGAAAAATACAAATCTGGTTTTAGATGCTTTGCAAAATTTTGTTCTCATTTTCATTCTCCTTTTATCCCGAATAAACAAAACTTATGTGAATTTATTACATGTTATAGTCGAATGATATCTCCAAGATCGGTCAGGATTTATTTAGTTGGTATCAGTTACATTTTTAGATTAGAATTTCCAACGGTTATATGTGAAGTGCATCATCAAGAAGTCAAGGACACGATGAAGTTCTGTATCAAAAACTTTTCGAAGCCAGTGGTTCGAAAAAATCCACTTACGGTCGAACATATTGAATTGGTTGTGTCTAAGTCATCTTCTTCTTTAGATGATAAACTCTTTTTAGCTTTGTTGGGTGTGGGTTTTGGTGGCTTACACAGATTAGGAGAACTAACAGTTCCAGATTCAAAAAAGTTTTTCAACTCTAGGAAATTAATTTTTCGATCATCTTTGAAATTCTCACTTTGCAAGAAATTTGTCCAATATCATTTGCCATATTCAAAAGGCAATACGAATTTTTTAGGAGCTCCTGTTATTATTCAGAAATTTCACAATTCATCAGCTTGTCCGATTGGTTTATTGAAAGCTTATTTACGAGCAAGAGACGAAGAATACATAACTTTGAAAGAACTTTTTCTAACGTCAGAAGGAATTCCGCCTTCTCGAACTTGGTTTTTAACACGTTTTCATAGTCATTTTGACAAATCCTTTTCTGGACATTCATTACGTTCCGGTGGTGCTACAGCATTAGCTCAAGCAGGCGCTAATATGGATTACATTAAAAGTGTGGGACGCTGGTCGTCAGAAGCTTTCTTGATTTACGTCCGAGGTCATGTTGCGTTACGGTTACCAGAAAATCAGAATCACGTAATTGGACATGCGTCTCACGTGGGATCTAGAGTTTCGTTTTCTTAGTGAGTCTTTAGATTCATTGTTTCTTGAGACAGGTCAATGGTTCTTAGGCCTCTGTCTTAAAAAGTTTTTATCACTGGTCAATGGTATTTTTATACCTCTGTGATGGTTATTGTTCGATTTTATATTGGTTTTTATACCATGATTTTGGGTGTCTCCATTATGATTGGATACTGATAAATTATCTTATGTTTTTTTGAAAGAACTCTCCTACGTCACCACTCTGCTATACGGTTTGTAGGCGGGTCGGAGAGGGATTATTTTTTGAAGCAATTTATTTACCCTAGGCACTTAGCCTAGGGAATTCACCCAAACACACTCTTTTCTATTTCCTTTAGTATTTTTTAATACTAAGTTTTGTAAGTTTTATGTTCCACATTTCTAGTTGTTGGTAACGAGTTATTAACTGATGGGAATGTGGATAAATTTGGGCTTTCAATACATATGTAATTGCTAACGGATCGGATACCTTTTTGCTTACTTCTTCATCTACAGATGATGTCATTCGAGCTGTTGACCATCTCACCGAATCTTACCCATTGTGTTCACAACCGTCCAACTTCTTTTCTCTTTAGTTCCTATCCAGTTTTCACAGCCCACCCACCCAGTTCCCTTTCTTCGAGTAATGTGTCTTTTTTGATATTGTGTTATGGTAATGGAGTATTTGTTCCAATTGTTTGGACTACTGTTAATCAGACCTGATATTATCTTATTATTTTATTTTTTCTCATTTCTTATATCATTATGGGTGTTTGGTTATGTTTTTAAGAAGTGTTTTATCTTAGATTAGCGTTGAGTTTTTAGTAGTTATGATGTTGTCCGCTGGCCACCCCGTAGGGATTATTTTTTGAAGCAATTTATTTACCCTAGGCACTTAGCCTAGGGAATTCACCCAAACACACTCTTTTCTATTTCCTTTAGTATTTTTTAATACTAAGTTTTGTAAGTTTTATGTTCCACATTTCCATACTTTATAGCTGAGCATACGAATTTTTAGTATGAGTGAAAATGAGAACAGGTATGGATCAACAGAAAGAATTTTTTGTATTTTCTGATATTGAAAAAGTGGGAATGTGCATGATTGTAAAAACCGAACTGAGGTAACCTGGCTTGACTCGACTCCTTGGGGGAGCTGTCATCTACCATTTTTTATTGCACAGCGTGTAGAGTAGCAAGTGGGCTGCCCCTTGGCTATGTGAATGGCTCACTTATTCTCTTATGTTGATAGTACAAGTAAGGAGTTTCAAGTTAGAGGTTTTTACATATTTTAATGCTACCAGCACTTGCCCATTGTGGTGAGATATGAGAAGAGTTTAATTCTGCATGGAACTCCTTTAAAAGGGCTGTGTCAGGGGTTGGGGCAACGTCACTTTGTTTGTAGAGACCCCACATCATTTTGATGTGAACATAGAGTGTGGCCTAGTAGTAGAAGAAAGACAACATTAGAAATTGTTAGTCATCTATCATATTTGGAGTTCAAGCATTCAAATCATATATCTTGCAAGACCTAAAGTCTTTGGGAGTGTCAACTTTGTGCACTTGTAACAGATGTTTCTTGCATAGAGGAGTAGGGGTATGTGGAGTTGAGGTTTTTGTAGACTTCAAGTTAGAGGCGCAATCAGAAACCTTACGCGCAGGTGGAGTGCTGAAACACTGAGAGCTAGTTGATGAGGTTGGCTGTGGGGCCTTCTCTTTTGTAGTATTCTTTGTGACATTCAGATTGCTGACTTGAGTCGTGATATTTGATGGCTTCAAACTGACTTGCTTGTTGCTTCAGAGCATCTGAGATGATAGCAGAGAGATTTTCAGATGGTGTGGCAGAAGTAGATGTGGGAGCCAGAGATGTGGTATTGTCCATAGAGATACATTAGTAAGTCAAGAGATATATGATGAAGATAAATGAAGAGTTATGAAAATGAAGAATTTGAGAAATTTGGAAGATTGTGCAGAATAAAACGGTGAAGTTGAATTTGAGTATGAGTAAGATAGAACCAGTGAGTTGAAGACAAGAAAAGCAATATCACTCTCTATATAGAATTCCAAGAGTTTATCTGTGAGGAAACATAGGTTCTGACCCAAATTGTAATACAAACAAACTCTTTTAAGTTTGATCCTTGAAATTTCTTTGGCGCTTTGAAATTTCAATTTGTTTGACACCTTTGAGCCAAGCCTCTAATCCAAATACTGACCAGATCTGGGTGGTAGCTTGAAGGTGAATCTTTGGAGAAACTCCACTGTTTTTTGGCTAGTGTCACCATTTGGTATTGCAGTGCTCACCTGATGTGGAAATACGGTTGTAAATTTCTTGGAGTTGGAAGGTCTTATTGGCTGTAGATGGGACATCCTGAGGTTGGTTGAGTTATTCTTTCATGAAGGTGAAAAAATAGGCGTGATCAATGATGTAATGGGTTGAGGATTTGTTGCCATCAGAGTGTTGCAGCCAAAGGGTGAAATGTTGCCTATGCATATTCAAATGTTGCACCTGACCCGTTAGCGGACTTGATGTTGCAGGACACAGCGAGCCGCTGTGGCCAAATTTGGCAGCTGGTGTGGGCAGCGACAATGTGTTGCAACCCCAAATGCAATGTGACACAATGTGCCTAGTGTGAATTAATGGTGAATCTCGAATGATCATGAATCATTTTGTCAGTGTTAACAAACTGCGTTTTCATAACAAGATGTGTTGTTTCAAGGAGCCAATCAAGTAGCAGAGTGTTGTTCACCGTTTTTTTGGGTGTATTGAAGTCGATAGGAAAATGTCTTGAGCAATGTATGTATAGTACATAAATGACATCACCTTCCAATGGATGAAATATGGATCAAGCAAACTTTCCTGCAACTAACCACAACGTGGCCCGCAGTATGCAGTCACTGGCTTTTTTCCCTGGCTCTGTTCAATTTGTAGAAGTGAGCTCGATTCTGGGACCGCTCATGAACATTGGCGGAGTGATGTCGTGATGCGCAAGCTGGGACTTGTAAGTCTGTGATTCGCCTCTACGCGTTTCTGAGCCTTCACATACCACCCGGCTGCCGGCGGCACGTAAGCGTTTCACACAGTGACTCCGGAAGCACAATCCTTTGATATCACAACTTGTAACGTGTCTAAAGATGTCCAAGTGGGATGAAGGGCTATACATACTTGGCTTATCTCGTTGGTGCAAAGGCAATCCCCTGTTGCGAGTCACAATCTCCTCTTTGTTCTCCGTCAATCAAATCTCCTTCTAATACCAACATCGTCAATTTCGTGTGGTGCCATCTTTACATCAAAGTCTGTTGTACATACATACCCGACCAACATCAAAAACCAAGCCTCGATCGGCCATCCAGCTGTTTTGCCATGTTTCTGACAGGATGTTCCAATAGGTGGATGTGTATCTTCATGGCCTTGACAGGAGGGCTTGTGATGTCTAGACCACTACAAAAATGCTCCTTGGGACTCCAGCGTTCTCCATCCAACCAAGCGCCTTCGTTTAAAAATCAAGAGATAACTATGAAGACACGTGCCTCTTCTGCGCCCTTCAACACTCGTCAGGCTTCAACAGATGGTAAGCTTGGGCAGATGTTTTAATCAATAAATATAACATGAATAACAGCGACATTACTGATCCAGATTAATAACAATAGGTTTGCGGAGTTTTGCTTCCCAATCGAAGGTGCAGCTCAAACCCACACAACTTTCAACGTGTTCGCCGTCGCGGAGAAAGCTCGCCACGGACCTTGGTACTGCACTCATTGCGCTGATTATCAAATTGGCCATCAAATCGGACGGGTCTCAATTTGCATCAGAATACTGTCAGTTTGACTGAATCTTTAATATTGGTCATCCATCAGAAGCGTCACTGATTACATCACCCCAAGGAACAGTCATTTCAAAAAATGAATTGCCCAGTTTGAAACTCGTACAAGACGGTGTTCCGACTGATGTTGTGGATATAGAAGACTCCCAGCTCATAAAGAAACACACAGCGTATCTAGATTGGCAAAATCTCGTCGATCCCGGAGACTTCTGCTTAGAAACGGGTCCGAATTGTCGATCAGCCAGACTTAAGGCAAGCAACGAGGCAAAGGGAAATAAAGACCGTGCTTGAGGAATCTCTATAGGAAGTTGGCAACAAAGGTCTATATAACAAGAACTTGAGGCAAGCAGGTACATTGCCAAATGTTGTTGAAGGAGCACAGTAATCATTTAAATTATTCTGTACCCGCGTCGAAGACATTGGTTCTTTTTCATAAATATAGAGACCTTAGTGTGCATAGATGTTAAATTTTTGATGAGAAGTGATCTTAGTCTTTACTTCCCGACCCAAGTTACTGAGTGAGCGCTACCATCTTCCCATCTTGATATTTGATTTTTAAGAATAATGTTCCAAAGTCTAGCACTCAGCTAAGCTTCTGGAAAAAAAGAAGGATGCCATGTGTGAGTGTCATGACGCCCGTGACAGCAAATCCTCAACCAAGAAAGCCTCGAAGGAACGGCAACAGAATTTTGATATAAAGTCTCCCTCGCCTCTCGTGATCTTTGTTGATCATTGGGCATGCTCGTATATGATGCTATGAGTTTCTCTTGAAGATCTAAGATGGTAGACTTTGATGATCCTGAAAGGTCAACTGTCTCCAGAACTTTGAACACCAAATGAAAGGTGAAGCAGGATAGAAACAAACCTCACCAATCAATTACCTTTTGTTCCAAAATTGAAAGCGTTATAGTGCCATGATCTGGTGAGGTGAAATGAATTCAAATATATAAAATCAAGTGTTGAGATGAGATAATAATGTCAAGTTTAAGAATGTGGGTGCGGCGCAAAAAATACTGAAGAGGTAGGCTTCATTTGCGCCAGGCTGTCAAAACTTAGAATTCAGGATAGGCGCACCAATTATCATCAAACCAAGCCTGGCAATGAAGTTCAAGACCACAGGCACAAAACAGCAAACTTGACTAAGCCCACACGCCGCCAGGCCGAGCTGATAAAGCGTTTTTGGCGAGTTTGTCATCTCGGCAAAAAACTTTGTCAAGTTGAGCAAAAGATCCAAGATATCTTGATTGATTTTCCCTCCCACCCCAACGCTTACCGTGCAGGCAGCCTGTACAACATCAGTGGGCGGCGGACTATGCCCCCCACAAGTATTACTAGACTCCAAAAACCTAGTAAGAAAACGCATACATGCCCTAAGAACGGGAAATGGAACAAAAGGGACAAAGAAAAGAAAAGATCAAGTGCACTGTGACACTGTGCACCTATCTCCCTCAACAAGGCTCGATGCAAAAATCGAGAACAAAATTTTGAATAGACAATCAATCTCACTTGTTGTTTGTAGAAGGGAACATGTAAAATTTATGCCTAATCGGGATGGCTAGATCCTCAATTTTCCTTCTTCCTGCGAATCAAGGTAGTCTGATTCTTTGATTGGAATTTGATGGATATCTAGAAGCTCATAATATATCTTGAAGGCTTCTACTCCCCACTCTGCTTGATCAAGTGACTTAGGCCAATGTATAAACGCCCTACAATTGCTTTGAACACTAATTTATGAAATATACATGTATGTACTCGTGACGTTGTGACGATCTTGACGAGTGTAGGGGTATTCGGAGTTGGGAGAAGCACAGAAGAAGGCCTCAGCGTGCGTTATGTCTCCAAAGTAGACTGCTGCAGGCATCAGATAGAAGCCACAAGCCTAACTGAGGAATAGCTTTCATCTGGCATTGGGGTTCAATTCTCAAACACTGACACGGAATGAAAACAATTCAATAACAAGAATCACTCGGTCTCAGAGAAGCTAGCTGATCAGACAGATATCACAAGACGTCTCCGTTATTAAGAAAATTATCCACTGTCGACCATGTTCCATCCATGTTATCAACCAAGATAGCCAGATCTACAAGTGCTGTGAAACAATGATAACTGCCAAATCCCACAAAGAAAGATATAACAACATAGAGAGAGATATAAAATACCGTGACAAAAGATTGATACAACACAAGAAGATTCGATTTCTATTCACATACATGTTTTCAAGACAAGATACTGAGCGGTTCGATTAAATAGCTTCCTGTTCCATCACTTCCCAAAGTCGATCCTGTTTTTCAACCTCGATAGGTCCATATGGTCGAGTCTGCTCCAGTTTCAAACAATCTCTTGTAGTGAGTACCAGCAGCTCAAAGAAGAAGCTTGATGCTGCTCGTTTCGTAGCCTAGATTCAACATGACCCGCATACGAAGAGAAATCAATATCTCGACATTTCAACAAGATACAAACATCCTGAATATCCTCTGACAAAAAAAAACCGACCTTCTCAGATACTTTTTCAAAGCTGATCTTTTTATTTCCACCCTCTTCATTGAGGTCTTCTTCATCATGTTCGACGAATTGGCTTTTCAACACCTTCAAAGCCTTGACAGTATTTTTACTCCATTTGGTTGTAGAGCCCTTAGAACCATCTTGGGTTGAACTCTCCTTAATACTAGATTGTGTTAATTGGGTGTCAGATAGTTCATCAAATAAATCGAGCAACGAGGACTCTCCCTCCGCTCGAGCAGGTCGGGACACTTCTTCTACGGCCGCAGTAGGTGACCTTCGTGGATTCGACTGAGCGTCATCTAATGGTTGATCCGGATTACTCTGCATCTCAAACCTGAACTCCTCTTCGAACATTTGCCCATCTTCCAGACCCATCATCATCCCGGTTGTTTCGCCCTCAACCCCATCAAACGTGATATTCGAGGGCCCTTCGTCAAATCCACTCACTTCTCCCAGTCCCTCCTCGCGCCGTCTGCCCAATTCACTCTCCATACTTCTACTCCTCGTCATTTGGCCTTGCTCGGTATCTCCCCTTACAGGGTCATCTTCGAGTAATCGGCTTCGCCCGGCTCGTGTTGGTGCATGGGCAGCTGGTGCAGGAAACTTGAACAAGTCTGTCAACTCTGCACAAATTCCAGGAGGTGCAGCTAGTAGCCATTGTGAGCCACCTTCGGTCACCGTCTTCGGCAAATAGCGATTTTGGCGAGGGTTCAGGCGGATTTCAAGGCAAGCAAGCTCATATCGATTCTTGGGCAAGTAGTTGGGTTCGAGGTAAAGACCAGCTGCGATCTTGTCAGCTCGAGATGTTGTAGCACCCATGTTCTGACTTCCACCTTGAGAGCCCATTCCGCCGGTTCGACCCAAGCCATTTCCTTCCAGTTCTGTAACTGTGTCGACTAGTTGGGTCTTCGCTTTCTTCGTGGGTGGTTTCTTTGCCGTGCCTTCGGATGGTAGAGCATCATTCCCAGCACCAGCAGGACGGATAGGAGATTGTAGCTGAGCAAGGCGATGTGAGGTTCGCGGAGTGACCTCAATGGAACCGAGCAGCGGATTCTGGTTTTCCGCCTGAGGATGAGGGGTTGGTGTGTGTTCGCGTGATCGATGCGCTTGGGGTGTGCGATCACCTGGAAATTAAACGAAATGAAGCGACAATAAATATGAGATACAAGCCTGAATTTAATGCGCGTATTCAGGCATATGAAAGGTGAGCCTTGGGTAGTCAGTTAAAGCTGATGTATCCTTACCGTCAAGGCCAAAAAGGCCCGGGTCAGAGCCAGGCCCAGCAAAAGTGTCTTCAGCGCCTGCAAACCCCGTATTTTCAAATCCTGGATCAAGGTCCATAGTGATATCACCATCGACCACGCTACCGCCATGACCATCCATCTTATCACTGAGATGTATGTCACTTTGATCCAAAGCCAAAGAATCTCGCGCACTGCGACGGTCGAATATGCCTGGTGCGTCTCGTCCGACTTCCGAATCGATAGTTTGGTTCGCAAGTCCTTCTTCATCCTCATCATCCGGTGCGCGCCGTTTGGTACCTCTTGTTGTCTGGTTGCCCCCATCAATTTCGGTAGGCTGATCGAAATCGAAATCGAGGCCGAGGTCGAGACCAGCCTCATCACCAAAGTCTTGAAGACCACCTGAGGCACCTAACCCCAGATCAAGATCCATAGCATCGCCTACGTCCCCATACCGTGCACCACTATGCATCATTCCATCGTGTTCAGGCAAGGTTATATCCGCGATATTCGCAGTTGTCCGAGCCGCTGGACGCTGGCTTTCGGGATCAAGGAACTGGTCAGCTTCCCATGCATCACCAAACCCGTCAAAGTCGCCCCCAAACTCCAGCTCAAAGTCGAACACGTTCCGCCTTGTTGTTCTTAAATTGATAGCATTTTGGGGATCTCCGCCTTCAGGCAACATATCAATTCCTGTACGATCTGCCCCACCAATCTTTGCGGTGAGCGCAGCGCGAAACGCGGCCCGAATCTGGTCAGAGGCCTCAGAACAATCTTCAAGGAGATATTTAGCCTGTTTGCCATAGATCCGAGTTATACCGAGCAAGAGTTGCCCAGAAAGACGGAGGGCAAGCGGGGGTGCTGATCCATCAGACTGAGTCGAGGTAGATCCAGGATCAAGTATGACGGTGACAGTACTAGGGATTGAAGTTTGAAGAGTTTGAGTCTTCGAGACTTTTTTCTCCACATGAGCCGCCAGCCACACCTAATGAATTATTGACCAGGGTGCAGATAAATTTAGTAAAGCGCTTTCAAACATTGAGGATTGAGAGAATGGAGCTATAATGACCTTGGCCAGCGGACCCCGCTTAGAGAGCATATCAGGTGCGAAGAACATGTCGATCTTTTTGGTATGTTTGATTTGAGAGAACGCAGAGCTTGCGAGTGAATTGTTCAGGTGCAGGAGGGCTCAAAGCCGCAATCAAAAGATGTCGGAGGGGCGATGCAAGACTAAAGTCTGGTGTATTTATGAATCGAAATATTTCAAATCGCGTTTAATCGCGTGCTGAAGGATGAAGTTGAGGAGGTGCCTTTAAGTTAGGGGGGAAGTTTGAACTTCAGCTCAGCAAAAAACTCCGAAAACTCAATCGTTTCTCTTGACAAACTCTGGCAGCAAGTCGCGGTACTTGAGGCAGCTGTCGGGCTCGGGCTCTGCCAGGATTAATCGGATCCCAGTGCCCCGGTCACACCGAGTAATTTCTGCTTTGGGTCTGCCGTCTGCCAAGGTCAATCCACAACATTATTATGTGTACATGCGTATTTTTGAACTTGACAATCCCTAGCCCTTACTTCTTTTTGTGGAAATTGCATTGATTGGATAAACAATGAAACATACATGAGACGTGGAGTAGTTGTAGCTTAAAAAGAAACCAAGATGAGTGAAGACTCATTTTCTCAGTATGAAGTTATCTACGCGTGCCAACCTATTTTGGCATTTTGCTGGACTTGACTTTTGCCGTGTTCTATTCTTTGTGCGCCATTCCAATCCAAAATACCCAAAATACCACATCCATGGTTCCAGTGTGAAGATTGGCTTCTCTGATCACATCATATCTTTATCGATTTTTCTACGTCGTCCCGCTTTCTCCTTACTTCCAATTTTCCACGCCCTGTCTTGCAACCAAAAACCTATTAGGATATCACACACCTTTTTCGTGTTTTCAGCTGGAATGGAATTGTATATCTATCATTAAATGTATCCACAATTTGGTTTTGGAGTGTAATACCAGAGAGACTTGTGCAGTGGGTTGGGAATTGAAGAATCTTGCACCTGAGGCCCAAATCTCTTGCAGTTTGTGAGGACACCGTAGCCTTGGACCTGGTGTACCAAGAGGCTAGATACTATCCTGCCCTCTCAAAGCTGAAGCTGTAGTAGTACCTGTAGACTAAAAGTGACTGCTGGAAGCAAAAGACATGGGAAACGGAAAACTATCAGAAGTATCAAATGTGTGATGTATAGAAGAAAGAGGAAGCTGATACGGTCGAGAAATGGTATGATAGAGTAGTTCTTTATTTTCTCATTAAACTTTTTACATAAAACTTGGCATAACAGGTGTTGTTGAAGAAGAAAGACGTAGACACAGCAAACGTTCAAGGGGCTGCTTCTAAGAACCAGAGTATGCTTTATCTACTACTTTTTCGGTCTCTCATGCAGTCTTGTTTCACTTAAAATCATATGTTCACAGTCATCCCTAAACCCATCGGTATCAAGTTGACTAATGTATAAATTGACAGAAACACCAGAGATCTCGACCTCTTGTATGAAACATTACGTGCAGTATTTACTCTAGTTATGATCTGATTTATCTCTCATCGTGGCCTCTTGTATGGATTGGCTTTCATCCTAAGAAAATTTCGTTTACCGCAGGAACTCCTTGGTAGATTTGGGTCTCGGATTCTGGAAAAGGGAGTAATAGATGCAGGTAGGAATGGAAATTGCAATGTTATACATGAGTCAAGATAGCCTTGAGTGTAATCTATTTGCAAGTTGGTCTCTGCAAAAGTTGAGAAGACACCTAGGACAAACACAAGCGGATATGGAAATCATGAAATTTGACAACGGATGATTCGTGCAGCGTCACATAAACTGTGCAACAAAGGAAGAAAGCATTTCTGAAAAGAATTTAAGCTGTTTTACGAGACTTTGCGTCATTCCCTGTCATCGTGGACGGAACCGCGTGGATCAGAAAAGCTGGTGTGGGATCGGCTTAATGATAAACTGTGGTGTAAGTCACTGGCGTGTTGTAAGTGACCGGAGTAACATAAGTCTGAGTTTGAGGCGCCGTCACAGTTGCAGGTGTGACATAAGTGGTTGAAGCTGGTGTAACAACAGTGGGGCCGGAAGTGACGATAACGTGTTGGTATGTGGGGCAACGGCAGTCTTCAGCCCAGCCAGGGCCTGCGGTTCCGACTTTGACTCTGTGGGAAATGAAACAGCTCAATAAGAGTGACCAAATTGAATAATATCAGCACTTACTTTGTGCAACAAATGTCACAGCAGTCACTTATTCCCATTCTACATCCCTTGCGCGCGCTCATAAAATGACATACTTTCATTTTGTAAAATGCAAGGCACAAAATCAAATTTAATAGCAATCAGCACCTCGAATGAGATCCAGAGACTTACTCAATCCTCCACGTTTCTCGAGCTTGGAAGTATTAGCAGTCGATGTGGCAGGTTCTGCTACGCGCGCGCTAGCATAGGCTACTACGCTGATGAGACAGAGCAAGACCCTCAATGTGGAAAGCATTTCAAGTTGTGATGATTTGGAAAATGAATGCGGAAAATCGTTGTCGTTCCTTAGGCTACAGAAAACTTGATGAGATCTCTATGAATTAGTGGCAAGGATTCTGACTTATATAAGGAACCCTCACGCAGTCCATTTCTGCACACTCGAGTTAGACAAGAAACAAGACGGGTATCATCCGCGAGATCGATGTCAGAGACTCTGAAATCATTAATGACGCTGTGCACAAGAGCACAGCTTGATTCCGCATCTCGTTTCAACCTCGAGAATAGACACAGTTGCTTGGCGAGCTAAGTTGACGAACACCTCAAGCCTTTGACTTCTTGCTCCTTGGTGAGTTGGATACCTCCTCGAGACAGCTTCAAAATCCGAGCAGCCTGTCCGCGTCCATTCTGCGAGTTCAAGGTTTCAAACTAGTCAGGCCAACGATGTACATGTTTACACAATCAAACAGCTGACAATTCTGAAAACGTCATCTCCTTTCTGCCGGTCCACGTGGATTGGCCAAGTCATACCATTCTATAAGCAATGATTGAAGAACGCTTTGCTCGCAGCAAATTGGATTCTGCAGGTCTCCGGTGTTTTATGAGTAGCAGAGATTTCTGAACATAAATTCATTTGCGGCAACATTTTTTGACATACCTTCAGAAGCTAGCAAAGACATGATATTGGAATATGGATTGCCAATGAATTCTTCCATTAACCTAATAGAAGATGGTACGTAGGCAACAAGATTTGGTCGGCACTTATATCTTTCTTCAAATCTTCACCACGCCAACCACCGCGATTGGATCCTTTGGTACTCATCCTCTGCACTGCGAGGCGCAGAATCTTTTGGTTGATAATTGTGTCTGAGCGGCTTTCCAAAACCTTTTCATGCCTTGCTTCAAGTCCCATCGAGAACCCAAAGATCATTTTATTCAAGTCTTGTGTGCACCTGTAAAGTAAAAACCTTGGCGGTTGGGAAACACGAAACCGGCGGGAGCTGTTTCCTGCTTGCTGACTACAAGTTTTGTATATATACCCAAAGCCTGGAGGGGGAAATCTAAAAAGTAAGCTGTGCCTTCATGGAAGACTGCTGGCACTGCCACATGATGATCGTGAAATGGCACCTGCGGGATTTGCAGAAGTCAGACATACACCGCAAATGTTTCTCATGTGTAATTGAATGACACCTACAATGACTTACATATCATCTATGGGAGCTGTGGATTTCAGGTATGAAGAAGTGGTACAAGACATAATTGACTGAAGAGAAATGTCGAAGGATGGTTTTGATTTAACATGATTCTTGGAGCGATGATAGTCAGAAGAACGACTTTCAAGATCCACTTTAAATCCTGAGGAGGCCACGAAGCCCACCGTCTCTTCTAAATGCTTTCTTAGCCAATCATAATCAAAGCACCACTTCCTCACACGTAACACCTTCAAAACTAATTGATTGAACTTTATGTTGAATTATGTAAACATTTTTGTCTTCATTGATTAGTGATGTGCGCCCGCAATTTTAGTTGAGCCAAGGACCTTAGAAGGAACCTTGCATTGCAAATGTGTATAAAGGTTTAACCTTTATTTTGACATTGACTCCTCTTGCACTCGAGGCATATGAAGAACAAACCTTTTGCAAACAAAAGCAAACCAACCTGAAACAGAGATGAGCCCATTTAACTTCTCACATCTTTATAATCTCAGCCCGAGGTCGAGGATTGTATTCTGATAATGTGTTGCGCAAGGTTTTTAAGACCCCAGATATCTGGACAACATACACGTAACATTTGAGCCGCTCACTTGCATGCCGTGTTTGGCTTTGGAATCTGCCGGATCAACTATAGCACAAGTGATGCAGGACCAATCACTCAACAATATTCTCAATCAACTGGTTGATACTTCTACTGTGACAACAACTTGCATTCCTAACAACTTACAAAGAGAAAATAGTAGAAAAAAATACTGAAGCGGAAGGAAAGAGATGCTATGAATGCACACAACGTACATCACTAAACTCTGAAGCATCCTTTTTCACACGCACATCTACTTACAAAGTCTAAAACTACACAGGCAGAGACGATAAGCGAAGGAAATACGGGGCAGTAAAGAGAGCAGTCTTAGAATGAAACCATTCAAGACAAGTCAGAAAAGTCTTTAGCACACTCCGACAGGGACCGAATAATCTTCTTTACGGATTCCGCCACCCCATGGAGTTCCACCCACCACACTGGCCGATTTGCCTAGTCCTCGTTTGGCAAAACTCTTCCAGATCACACATTTGTTTTCTCCGCCGGTCAAGACCTCGTCAGCTTCAATGATGGAGTCTCTCGCATTCATGAAAGTTGGACGACATCTTTGAATTTTCATCCCATCGAGAACCAATTGGAAGAAAAGCGTATTACCGCGGCGAGGCACGACTCGTTCTCCGGTCTTGTGCGATGGCTTGAAAAAGTCACTGCTGGGCTCGTCGTTGGGGAACACTGGATGACATGCCGCCGTTAGCATCAAGAGCCAACAAAAAAGTGAGAGTGGTACTAATGTTACTCACAGTTCGATTCAAATCCGTGTTTCTCAATCAAAGCCTCTGCCAAGGTAAACAACATCTCGCACCATACCTCACCAATCGCATGAACTCCCCAATAGCCGGGTTTGTCAAGAGTCTTGTAGGTTTCAGGATTGACAGTACTGTTCAGGGAATACTACAGTGGATAAATTGAGGATAGATATTGAAAGCGAGCGTCAGCAACTTGAGATTTCACGAGTGTGCCCATGAAACATACTTTGTATTTCCTGATACCCCCCTTGACACCGCTAGCCCATTCACCCATGGTGAAGTCGACGGGTTCGGCCTCGTGCATCCTGATGAGAGTCGCCAAAGCATCACCCCATCCTGTAAAAAAATTCTCAGAATTTCGCAGGTGGATTATGAGATCATGGAAGATGTGAGACTGACCTTCACCCATACCGCCAGCCTCACCCCAGCCCAAGCATCCACTATTAGCAGGACCACCTGTCAATCGGGTACTGACACCGTGCGAATATTCTACAACAATTCAACTTGAGATTGTCAGTGCCGCGCCGTATGTATCGGCCTGCAGTTGACTCACCATGAATTACGATACCAGCCTCAAGGTCACCATCTCTCCATGGTTCGGCTCCATTCCAGATGTACATGCGCATCTGACCGCGTCTCCCATCAGCTGAAAGATAGAATTGTGCATCAGTCACACATCGCAACAAGGATTGAGAGGATCACGGCTCACGTGGTGTGGCGAAATTCGCATTATTATCTAAAACGTGAGATTCAGAGACGCGTAGATGAGTATATGCGAAATTGGCAACCATGCATATGGAAATGCTTACAGCCTGAACCATCTTGCGCATTCGCAATGACTGCATCTCCACCTCTGCCACCACGACCAAAGTTGTGCTCTTGAAAGTTACCGGATTCTGTGAACGCGCCCAACAGGGATATACATTAGACACGCGATACATGAGCGTTACTACGTGATAGTCCTCGGCATACCTTCGTCGAAGCCATATCGATGTGTCAAGTCATGGAACTGATAAAACAAATATAAACATTCAGCTTGCTGCATCAGAATGCCAAACATGTACCAAAACACTTCTATCTCTCTAAAAACTCAACAAAGAAGAAACAGCTTACTTTGTTACAGGTATAGAATAATTCACTGACTGCTGCATCAATATAAGTCTTCGGTTCGATATGACCGTGCTCATCGGCGTGAGAAGTCTTGTTCCATCCCAAGTGGAATTCAAAACATAGGTCATCAGTCCCATTGGGACGATAATTTGCCTCCCAGTTGTCAAGGCCTTCCCAGTTTTCTTGCGCAAAGACATTGTTCCCTCGGGTATCAGTGGCCACGAGCCCGTGATGCTTGATCAGTGTTGACCACCCAGAGGTGAGACGGCTGATATCCTGGGCGTTGACGTGGTCAGGAGTTGGGATAGAATGCCATCCCATTGGGGAAGCAAAACTGTCTGAGGGGTCTTCGACCACTTTGCGCTTGGCTTCAGTCGGATCATTTACTGACCAAGGGAATACTCGGTAAGTGGCCGGACGAGCTTCGGCGACAGAGGCAGCAGGAGCATTAGCCAAATTGGTGAGCGGTGCCCTGATGGTATGCGCAGGTCGGTCTTGGAATTGTTTGACGATTGCTGCAGACATTGTCAAGTGTTCGGCGTACGTCTCGGCTGTGTCACTGCAACGGAAAAATGAGTATGTATCAGATGAGCGCATCAGGTGGAACACTCAATGAGGAAGTTCAGTTCTCACGAAGTAGGTCGAAAGTCTTTAACCCAATCTACAACCATGGGGATTAATCCGGGACGAGTTGCGTCGACGTAGCTTTCGTACCAGTTGTCCTTACTTCGGTATTCAAAGCGCCAGACCAATTGCAATTCGCGAGCATCATTGACATGGGGATGGTCAACGCTGAGCCAAGCCAACTCAGCACTAGTGGGTTCATCCGATGAAAGGGCTCCAGGAGCGTTCAAAAGATGTACTGCGTGCGTGTTGGGGCCACTTTTGAAATGGCTCGGAGCCGAGATTTCGATAGAGTTTACTAGGTCGTCAATTGACATGGAACGAAGATGAGTTTCGGTAGCTTTATCGGCAGCCATAGTTAAAAAACTGATGAGGGCCAATCGAGGGTCGACCACGCTGGAAGCCGCGGCGCGATGTGAGCTATCACTCAAGTGGCTGTCAGTAGGGAGCTCGTCTGATAAATGGCACTCGGCGATCTCAACCAATTCGCTTTCACTGAACTGCGCGAGAAGGCGCTTTGATGTAGGCGAAGACATCACATTGAAGACTTGTTGCGATTTATCGGAGAAACTGAGGGACTCGTGCGAAGCGGTGTCCATAGCGCGAGCGAATTTTTGGCGAAGTTCTTCACAAGGTTTAGAGCCCCGGTTCTTGGTACTCTTCTCAGCAATGAGAGTGGTGTAATGATGGATGTTGATCGGTCGGCCGTGTTCAGGGTCAACGTGGTGCTGAGCCGAATCAACTGGATGGAAAGAGTCCGAATAACTCAAAATATGACCAAATGTCTTGGAGCGGGGATTGACATCGAGGTTGAAGTTGGCTAGCGCGTTCGAGACCGAACCAAACTCATTATCCGGGCCAATAGGAAGCGTTTGAACAAAGTGACAATGAAGAACATTGGTGTGCTTCGAAATGTAAGCCGAGGTGAGTTTGAAAGTGAGAGACGGATGCGTGTGCGAGATAAATTCCGAGGCGATCTGAATTCCAAGTTGCTTGAGGTCATTGACTTCTTTCGACTTTGAAAAGCTGGCAGCAGAGCGAGCAAACTGAGAAACGAGGGGACCAGAATTGAAAGAGATCAAGTTGGTAAGTCGATCGGCGTGGGCGCGATCAGATTGGGAGACTGTAGAGAAGATAGAGGTGTGGAGGTGATGCTCAGAGAGGTCATTGGGACCAAAGTTGATAGATTTCCTAGGTGAACTGGGAGGTAGTTCTTGTTGAGTGAAATGCAAGCAAAAGAGCAAGATGCTAGAGATCAATGCAATCGATGGTTTGCCCATCTTTGCTATCGATTTGAGGTTTTGTGATGCTTAGGATTGGTGTACTCAATAGCAACGAATATTCTAATGGGTGAAATGAGATGGGTCTATGAGCATGAACTGGTCAGCGAGATTGACTGTGACAAAGGGAGATAGGTTCGTTCACAAAGTGTTCAAAGATGAGAGGGAAACAATTCCAGGTTGGGTGATCATTCAATGACTGCATCGGGGTTTATATGACAACCTCATCTGTCACACATTCATCATCTACCTGTCACAGATCTCACTGATTTCAAAAACCAATTCTGTTCATACTTACGTCATTCTTGACTTTCACATGAACTCATGATCATTTTTAAGCTACAAAATTTCAAATCATGTGACGGTGGGCGTCAGAAAGGCTCAACACCACACTCACAAAATAGGCTTGCTCAATATGTTTTGTCATTTTGTTTGGATTACGCCATGGAACATATCACGAAAGCAACGGAGGAGATAAGGAATTTGCAACGATCCTGCTGGTAGAGCCTGAGGAAAGGTACACAGTAGGGAAATGGGTACTTTAATCAGCAAGATGACCTGGATAAGATTTGTATTAAACATCATGATGGGACATTTATTCCCAATAGACAACAGGGACAGAAGGATTAGCTCACAGGCAGTAAAGGATGTACAAGAAGACATGCAGGAATAATTCTCATCTTTGAAGTCAAGTATCTTGGTAAGGGTTTACTCTAAACGCGCCGATTCCTCGCCATTTCAGTGCCAGATCAAGGATGCGGTAAGGTTGCACAAACTCAAGCTATCCCAGATTTTGGGACCTATGTACATACTCCACTTCCCGAGTTCCGCCACACTTCAGACTTCATCACTCGAAGCTAGAAACTCGGGCACTTTAGATACGTTTGAGTCTTAAAACCTTGAAGTCCTACATATAACCTGAAGTTCTTTGCTCAAAGAGAAATCATTACTTTCTTAATATAATGGAAAGTCTAACTGCCGTTGAGTGTTGTCTACATTACAAAGGCAAGGATGTTTAAGAGATAAGGCTTGGGGAAAGGATAGGATAACATATTTAGAACAAGAGTATAATTTTCCTGACATTGAAACACATGCTGTGGTAGGTACATTTGTTTTCACTTTCTGCTCCCTTACATATGGTCTACCAAGTCAATACATAATTCCTCTAGCTCGTCTTTGACATTTTCAACAGTATGGTGATCACAATTGGTTCTTGGATGAATTAAGGATTTCAATCACTGGTTTAAATAATCCAAACAGACCCTTGTGCTTCCTCAAGTCAAAAATATTGTGAATTACTGATAATAAACGGAGTGGATGTGTAGGTCCTATTTGAACAGTGGTACGTTGGCACTCTGAAAGTCTTCTCCAAGTCGAAGCACAAGAATTTATCTTGCCAAGATGGCAGCTGGACCCCAAGCTTGTGCAAAAGATGTGTGACATAAATTTGCTCATTTACCCCACTTGCCAAATTTTGAATGTCACACTGTCAGCTTCCCCTGGCCTAACCAAGTCCCTCTCAGCCTAGAGGCTTCTCTCTGGTTCAATATTTGGTATCCACTTTTTGATAGAAATATCTTGGGTCATTAAACATTTCTGAATGCTGGTATTCTGGTGTCACAACTAGCCAATTAATTTACCAATTGATTCTGCATCATACTTTTGGACATAAGGAGACCAATGACCCATGATCTTGAGTCGTTCCTTTATCTCACATTCAAGGATGTATCAAGAGCCTATCTTGTGTACAAGTGTCAAATTTCACTTGGCATATGATTATTTCACTTAGCACAAGCTTTCTTGTCCTTTCTTTGAGAGAGGACTTTGATGAGTTAAGCATTGCCAGGGTGTTGAATTATAATCAAGACTGTCAAATTGTCCAGTTATGTTTGTAGTGAGTTATGGGTAGTAGTATGTGTATGACTTCTGTTTTTCTCATCTGTTAGTTATAAAAGATGTGGTATGTATCAAACAACCTCAATCACATTGTGTCTTATTGTTTCTCGAACTTATTGGGTATATATGTTGTTTCTCATCCAATTCCTACTCTCTTTCCTTATCTTTCAGAAAGAGAGGTAGTCTTTTACTCAAAATTTACGGTTGTTCCATTCTCTACTATCATGATATCTCAACATGGCTATGTAATAAATGTTTCATTGCAAATGTCATAGATTTCCAATCAACAGTAACTATTAATCCTATTCAAACCAAAACTACCTTGGGTAAGGAGGCTGAGGTTGCTTGGGGGGGCCTCCGCTCAAAGGTGAGCTGAGGGGGGTAGGAACACCAGCACTGTAGATGGGGGTACTCTGAATGGTGGGCTGGGCAGCTCATCTACAGCATTTCCAACTCCTACTACACCAATCCCAACTCTTACATGCTGTAGCATTTACAACTCCTTTTCCGCTAATTCGCACCTCAAACATCAGTTCTGTGAGGTTTCTTAGACTTACAGTAAAGAGGAAACTAACTGAATCAAAATCACTCCCTTGACCTCCCAAGGCAAAGGGTCTTATCCTACCATGTTGATGAAAGGGGGCTACATAAAACTACCAGTGAAAGGACAACATATTCCTCTGATTTTGGGTGGCGGGTGGCTTCCATATTTGTGAAAGTGTGAGAAAATGAGGAAAATGTTTTCTGAGTTGACAGTGTGAGATATCCAGGTAGCGGGGAGCAGGGACACGTGAGGAAAAATTTGGAATGAAGAAAAATGAAATTTGGCAACCATTTTCATTTCTTCCATTTTTCCTGTGTACAGAAAAAGGGTTAGCTTCAGTAGATTGCATACCTTCCCCAATGTGAACCCGCTAAAAAGATCCCAGCTGTGTCATAGAAAACAGCAGTGCTGTCGTGCCTTTGGGTACTGCTTACCAATACATGCTAAAAACCACTTTATAATATGTAGAATCCTTTAGATCAATTCATCAGAGCCATCAAGCTTACCTATACATTTCTCATCTTATTTTTTCCTCCCTTGAACTTAGGTACAAACTTGTCTACTAATTCATGTCTTTCTCATTGTAGTCTGATGTATGGTTTCTCTTTTGTTTTTATTTTGGTTAGCTTGAGATTTTCATACCTTTGGGAAATGGACATGAGTGTTCATATTTTTTACTTTTTTATCAGGTTAGTTAACAAGAGATACAATCATCTCTGGGGAAGAGATGTCATTTAGGTCACTTTATCAACACTATTAAGCTCACCAGAGCTCACCTATACATTTTTCACCTTACGGTTTTCCTCCCTTGAGAAGTGTACCAGAGCACCTGAGGCAGGGACGTAGGAGCGAGTCTCCTCATACTGAGCCACGTGGTGCCACACTTGGGGTACTCAAGTTGAGTACCAATGGAGGCATTCAAAGACTACAGTTAGAGTACACTTCACCCAGGGTTTTGCCCGGAAAATCCAAACTTACAGCCAAAATAATTCCAGGCACAAGGCCAGGCATGTGCCCAGATTCTACTTTGTAACTTGTAATTGACTAAATTTGTTATGAACACTTGATTTTGATGCCAAAAGCTTCCAAAAGATTGACTGAACATCTTGAGGCCGCTGAGGGAACACTTGAACATGCTTGTTTTGAATTGGTTGTGAGGCTGCCTGATGTTTTTTTGGGAGTGAAGATTGTGTAGGTAAACTGTAAGAACAGCATTTCAGTAAGGTGGGGAGGTTTAGACAGACATGCCACCAATGCTCACACCCGGCTCCATTTTGACAGATTAGGGTGAGGAGAGCCATTGCTGAAATACCTTGTCTCTCCAGGACTCAAACTAGTGTCAGTGATACCATGCCTGGGAAGAGTCTAAGAGGCCTTTTTACTTCCATCTCATCATCTCATCATTTCATCATTCATCACTTCTGATGTCAAAGATGTTCCTGATCTGTCATGATTGCCAACACCCCTTTGACTTTGTGATTCTCAATCCTCAAAATTTGTCAAAGATTTACAACTTATGGATCAACTTAATCAATCACACACCTTCTAGTCATTTCAAGAGGTTGAGTCAGGTTTGTCACAACGTTCAAGTGATTTGGTGTGAAATCCTTGTCAAGATTTGTGAGATTGAATGTACATGGCTGAGATCTAAGTCTCCCTACCTAATTTATCATCCAAATTTACTGTTTTTGTCATCGTTGCAAAAGCAATGGTGTTCAATAGTGTTGACATATATTAATATCTTAACTTCCTATCCTTTTTCATCCCTAGTTGTCCTGGGTATTTTTTTTGGCCCAAATACCTACAAAAAATCATCTTATCTTTGTATTCCTCTCTAGAGAGTGATTGTGAATTGCTCTCAATTTGTACTGCACATTGACATTGTGAAGTTTCTGTTATCCCAGGGCTACCCTGGTGATGCTTTTGTTTTGGGTTTCTGTGACACACTCTTCTTGTATAGCCACTACATGCACCAGTGACTATGTGACAATGCCTTACGTACCTCACATCCAGTGCATTGATTGTTGGCTCTTATCATGATTCCAGGTAAACCTCACTTGAGCCCTCTCGCTGGTCAGTCAATGCACTTTTTGAACACACAGGGATTTGAGTTCAAGCTATTGTTTCATAGTCTGAATATCAGTCATATCTGACTTGTTCCAACTCAAAAAACTTCTACATTCAGACTCAAGTGGTCATCAATAAGAGTTAATGTTTTGTAACAAGTGTCTGAATTAACTGACCACAGAAGCAGATACAAGAAGTCAAGCATGTGTGAGGATGTGGGATCATCATGTGGTGAAAAAGGGTAAATATGGTTCCAATATATGTATAGTCAATAAATAATTTGACAATATATTTTCACTCTAAGTTGATAGTCTCCAGTCCTGATTGTTCCACTAGATCAATCATGAGGCTGTTTTTGTACCAAGATTTATGTTTTGCTGCACTTCTTCTTCACCTTATCTCATCTACTTTTCAACACCCCCTAATCAAAGAAATCAAGGATAGATCAGCATTGGATAAGATCATAACCAATCAAGCATCTTTATTACATGGTGATATTGATGGGAGTTCTAATTCTCGCTTTTCAGAAGTAACATCTGAAATAAAAAACATAAGGAAAAGAAAATCTCACTTCATCTCACATCCTCCAAGTGGGACACATACAGCAAAAAGGATAGAGAATGATGAATCACCTAATAAATCTGACAAAGCCCTTGAGATTACAAACCAAGGCTCATATTTGGATTCCTTACTGTGTGTAATCTTTACATTTGTTGATCAGTCCACAATGATGTCGAGTTCAACCTAATGAAGGTCTACTTAGCATTCATCTTCAACCTCACCTTTGGCCTTGGGAAGACCAAGATATGAAGAGACAAACTGTAAGAGATAGTGAGCAGACAAACCTTGTCATGGGACAACTTGAAGAGGGAGAGATCAAAGAAACAAGTAAGTTATTTCAAGTGTCTGACCTGAGAGGCTAGGATAAATTCCTGGAGAATTCTTGAAAGACAGTGATCTATACAGATGTGATACTTGACAGAAAGATTAACTCACACAAAGATAGGGAAACCTGGTCAGATGGTAACTATAGGTGTGGTGATCATCTTGAATGAAGAAGTTTTGTGATGAAGAAACTGACTAATTCTCACATGTCAAGGCTTGAAGAATTATCTGGGGGGCAAGACAAGAAAAAGTTGGCAATCATTATGAATGAGTCATGTCATATCTCAATAGGAAAAGGCCACCAGGTCCATAGCAACCAGAATAGTAAGTAATTTGATCCACATCACTACAGTCTGGCCTACCCATCAAAATCAAGCAGAATTAGAGGTTAATCTGCCTTATTTTACGGCTTGCAAGAAGCCCTTTCAGATGAAGAGACTAGCTTTCAGGAGATTTTGAAGGCAAAGACACCCAAGGATGAAGATATGAGGTAAGCTCTGATATCATACAAGTTTGAAACACTGTGAAGGATAGGAATACCTTTTATTTTTTTGTTCATTGACAAAAAACCTACTCCTTTCAGAATTTCCCGTGGGAAGGTGACAGATGTGCCCATGTGCCAAGGAAAAAAAACTGGAATGACATCAGACCCTTTGTCCAACAAAAAGGGAGATGAATTATTGAAACATGAAATGATTAAAATCCTGAATGAGTTGAAATATCAAATAGTAACTTCAGGCTATACAAATATGAAGGTGGCTAAAATCCAGCTGAAAAGATTGATAGAGCTTGAAAAATCAATGAAGAAATTAGATTTTGAGTGTGCTTGGACAAAAGTGCGAAGTTCTTTTGGGGAGGGTAAATCCAGGAACTGGGAAAAGTCTATCAGAGCTCAAGTTCAACAATTCAAATTAATTGAAGGTTGGAGAGTTATCAAAACAAATGCAAGTGATGATTTAAAGGAATGTATGAAGCTTTTACAGGTTGAAGAATATTGGCCAGTCTTCTCTGAAATGAAATATAAAACCTTGACAGACACAATGAACTTGATAAAAAAAATCCGCCAAGAAAAAAATGGACATGCTTATCAAGAACTCTGCAGATTACTACCACCAAAACTTCTTCAGCACAGACTATCCAGGATGGCATATATGGCAAAAAGATCAGATTTCATTTCTCAATTGTACTCTGATGAAGATCTCAAATCAAAACAAGAAAGAGGATATGATACATTGTGGATCTTGCTGATTGAAGAGGCTTTATACTCAGCAACTCAAATAGATTCAGAGACTTATCTGTCAGATACCAAGGATAAAGACACATGGGATGTTTTTGTGAAACTATTCAGGTTAATCCATGAACATGATGTGATTGATAAAGACAGCCTATTGTTTAACATCAGATACAAGGGGTCTTACTGGATTTCATCAATTGATTTTGAGCTATTTTCAGGTGGATCAACTCCTCAATCTCACAGATTCAAAAAAGGTTTCAATATTTTATTGAGGCACCTTGACAAGATTGAAAATATATATGAAGGATCTATGGACAAAAACAAGTTTTCTAAACTGATGAAATCGGCAGGAGATTGGTCTCCTACAGACATCCTATTGGGGATACACTATGGTGTTAGATTGGAATCATTTGGGGCTTTGAGCCATCTTGCTAAATCAAAACACCATACATACACCCATGAGTTGTCTCAACTTGATAAGGAAAAGATTAGAAGACCACAAGTGCAGGATTTTGAAAACTTCCTCAAAGCTCATATAGAACTACAGAGACAGGGTATAATTTCATGTTGTAAACCTCTGAAGTCATTAAGACTGCTTCAAAGTAGATGAGCTTGAAAGCCACAGAGTGGGTGGATTCAAGGTTTAACATTTATTGGTTTTTACTCAGCGTTTATTGTATCAGAGCTTTGGTTGTTCTTTTTTACCTCTGACCTCAGAGTTCTCTGAGTGCCATGGTTGTATTGTTGATCTATCAAAGATTGAAATATCTCCCTCAAGCAAAAAAAAAATCTTCAGGAAACCAAGTGTGACTAGAGAGTAGATAAGAGGGGTAAGACATCATGCATTCACAAGGTTTTGAAGGATGATGTCATCCTTTCAATTAGAACTTCTGAAAGAAGTGAACCTTTTCAGAAAGAGATGATACAAGAAACCAAGTCCCAAAATTTCCTAGAACCTCCTGTCTGGTTCATATTTTGTGCTCAAATGTGGGGATAATCCACCAATAGACACAAAATATGAACCAGACTTATGATTGTTATACCACCCTTCAAGAGTAATTGATGTCATACCTCCTGACCACTGTTTTACCATTTTCTGTACCATTCATTATACATCATCACTTTTATAAATAATTTCTCTCAGACATTATCATCATTTATCTATTTTTAAAAAGCCTTACCTTCCTTCCCTTTTTGTCAGAGGATTCTTACCGGTGATTGGTTATGATGTTTCTACAATAGTCATTCAAAAGTCTTTTAGGTACATCAAAAACCTTGCATAAAAATTCCAATTTCTTTGTTTAAGAAGCTTATTCAGCATTTATTTTCTCAACTTATCTGGTAATTATTGGTTGCAGTTGGTTCATAGGGCATATTTGTTTTTTTACATTTTTAGCACTCAGTAGTCACTTCATCCCTTTGGGGAACTTGGCCCAGCACTTCTGAGTTTGGCTATTTTGTGATTTTCATAAGTACCATGGTTAACCTCTGCAAATGAAAAATGTGATATGTCTGTAACAGCATTGTTCATAGGTTTGAAACGTTGGACTTAACCCCCTGGTGTCTCACTCTCAAATCCCATTAACCAAAGAACCATCTCAAATTCATCATTTAATTACACATTTATTTAATCAATCAATCAATCAGATCAGATCATATCAAAAAAACAAAAACAAAAAAAACTTTCACACTGCATTGCGTGTATTTGTAATCTATATATATATATAATACTAAAGAAAAATAAAGAAAGACTTTTGATATATATCCCAAAAAAAAAGTAAAAGGAAAAAGGAAAGAAAAGTAACAAAAAGAAGAAAAAAACGATTTTTTTTATTTTGGTCTTTTAAGAAAACAAGTTTTTTTTTTTGGATTTCAATTAACAAGATCAAAAAAAGAAAAAAGAAAAAACCCACTTTGCCTTCATATCTTTCAAAGAAAAAAAAATGTCTCTTCCTTTTTTTTAATTTTAAATTATATATCTTCTTTCTTTCTTTCTCTCTCTCTTCTTCTGAAATTGTTTCTCAAAATAACATCATTCCAGCTTCATCTTCTCCTACTACTAAATCTTCATCATCAGTATCATCTAATCCAGGTACAACACCAGGTCTTTCATTCGAAGGAGTTAAAGGAGGTTCTAAACCACCAAATTCTTCTTGTGCTCTACCTAAACCCGTTTGAAGATTATCATTCTTGTTTTCTTGATTAGTACTTGTAGAGGTGGAAGTAGTAGTAGTAGAAGGACCAGCAATTGGAGGAATCACAATGGTGGGTAAACTTGTGGGTGGACTTGTGGTGGTGGTGGTAGGTCTACTTTCATTATTAACAATTGGTAAACTTTCATTTGAATTCAATTGATTGGTCGTTTCATTGACTTCAATACTTTTAGGTTGATCAACTCGATGTCTAGAAACTAATGTACTATTAACTCCATCACTAGTAGAATGATGATCAACTCCACTGGCCGAAACAACACTTGAAGTAATCGGAGTTGTATCTCGATCATTCGTATTCTCATTCCCAATAACGGTTGCATTCTGTTCTTGATTTGTAGTATTAGGAATCGGTGCTAATGGAACATTAGTCTCCGTAGGTTGTCTATTAGTTCTTTCTCTAGCTGCATCAGCAATCACCATTTTCAAAATCCTAGTTCTTTTCTCTAATGCTTTTTTCCTTTTCTTTTCAATTTCAGGTGAAAGTGTACCAAAAAATAAGATTAAACAAATCTTTAAATTTCTTAAAAATTTATACCAATTTGGATAATCTAAATTATTAGATGATCCTAATGATCTTTCTCCAATCGGATGTAATCCTAATTCTCTATATTCTGATGCTAATCCTACTACTGCAATCGAATTAAACCAATATCTAGGTGAAAAGGCTGATGTGGTCCTAAACGGTCTAACTTCTGTACCTGGTGGGAAAGCTCCACCTCTTGCTCGGATTTGTTCAGCAATCGCTCGAAGATTTCGTCGTCTAGCTGGTTGTGGATCGACAGCGGGAGGTGCTTCAATTGCTGCTGGTGCGGGGGCTGGAGGTGGCGCGGCGGCAGAGTCTGGCGCTGCTGGTGGTACAGCCGCTGGTGCCGTCGGAGTAGGGTTGGCTAATCCATTAGGAGGGAGGTTAGGAAGGTTTAGATTATTGTTATCCGGAGCCGGTGCATCTCTTTGGAGACGTTGTTCTCTCATCCTTTGTGCTCGCCTTCGACCTCGATCTAACACCGCCTGGACTGGATCCACCGGTCCACCACCACCTGCGCCCGCTTGTTGCCGCTGAAGTCTTTCTCGTCTTCTAGCTTGTGCTTCATAGCGTTGACCGATCGCAAAAGCTTCCCAGAGAACCCAGCCTACTGCCAACCCAATCAAGATCACCCGTTTATTGAAACTAGCATTACGACCAAACACATACAGCAAAACCCCAAGTTTCATAGATAACCAGAGTAAAGGGGCCAAGTAACGTCGAATGTTGTCTAAATTGATCGTGAATTCATAACGCCTTGTACGAGCCATCGGAACGTGTGGCCATGCAAGACCGTTGGGTGGCATCATCCATTCAGCTGGCATTTGAATCATTCCATTGGGTCCGATACCAAGTCCGGCACCAGCAACGGGTAAACCTGCGCCGGCGACACCAAGAGCTGGTGGATTAACTCCGCCCATGCCCACCCCCACCAAACCCATAGGTCCATGTGGCGGTAACTGCATGATACCAGGCGCCGGTACTGCTGGAGGCCTACCGAGACCACCTTGAGCTTGTTGAGCAGGAACGGGGTTCGCACCAGCAAGATAAGGCGCGTTGTGAAGGCGGAAGGGAGAGCTAATCCCCAGTGATCCAAGGGATAGGTTACCAACAAGAGCATTGGTGGATGACACAAGCCCGTCAACGTGACTGAAACTAGCTTCCAATTTTTTCACTTGGAGAATGAGCAAGTGTAATCTCTTTTCAAGATGTAGTGTTCGGTTCATTTCTTTTTTGAGTTTCTTGAAGGTGGTGACTTGAGTGCTTGGGGGAACTCGAGTACCGATGTTTCTCAGGAAATGTTCTTGGTTGCTCTGGATTTGAAAATTCCGGGGGATATGAAGCAAAAAGGGCAAGCCACTGTAGTATAAAGGAAGCGACGCATATGGTATGATTAGTAAACGGTTTGGGAGAGAAATGAGAATGCTAATGATCTACATACGAAATCTCGACACGCTCGAATTCACTCTGACGATTTTGCTGATAGTGCTGATAAGAAAGCTGATAATCTTGAAATTCAGTGGGCTCATACGGTTCTACATATGTACCCCAGTATTGAAGGTCCACCAGCAATTTGGTCAATTTCTCATCCACCACCGTCCATTTTTCATCCTCATATTTTGCCAATTGATCTTGTTCAAATGACTTTTGGATGGGGTGCATCTGTAGACCTAAAACTTCGACTTGGTTTTGATAGAGACGAAGCCTTAAAGTTTCCAATCGTTCGACCAAACCAAACTGAGCTTTGTAGAGGTTGTCAACAAATGCCTGTCTCTGTGATCGAGTGAGATTGCAGAAGTGCGTGAAGATTGCATGATGCGGAGAAGGTACAGTGGAAGGGAGCGTATTTTGTGGTGTAGATGGAAGAGTTGTTGAAGTCGGATTGGATTGAGTCTGGTCGTGTGAGTTGAGAACAGCAGATGAGATCAGGGGATTAGTTTGTTGGAACGGTGAGATTGGAGCAGCTGCACCGAGAAGCGGTCCAGCATCGACTGCGGTAGTGGGTGGAGCAGACACGGGTCTGGCTGGTGTTGGTGTTACAGAGACCTGTTCGGACCAGCAATTCGGCCTAACAACGACATGAATCGGATGTGTGAAATCATCACCAGGCTGTTGTTCCCGAAAGAATTCAAAATAAGAGTCAGTGTATTTGTGAGTATGGAGAAGTTTCCTGTGAATCAAAAGTACATGAGCATTGGTCAAAGGGCTTACTGTACTAGATAAGGCTACGCTAATCAATTCACGATCATCAAGAATCTTTCCACGTGCGATCAAACGGATTCCTTCAAGTCTCGGTTTACCAGGCCAGTTGCGAGAGATATGAGTTTTAAGTTGATGCACTTCAGTCTTGAAGGCGTGAACTTTGATAGTTTCATCTTTGTGAGAAAGGCCAATCGACTCCATAGCAGTAGGTTTGAGTAATACCAAGAGCAAAGAGTTTGAAGACGTTAGAGTTTCGCCTTCATTGAACTCAGTGATCGGAGCAGAAGGAGTAGCCATCGTGGATTCGAATTGTGATTTGAAGACGCTAGAATATTCGGTTACGCGGTTTGATGGGGTTCTGCTTACTAGATAGGCCAACCAGAAGGCAGAAAGTTGGTCGATAGAATAAGATTGATTAATGAGTTGGACAAGCAAGAGTAATGATGAGCAAAACTAGTAGTAGATTAGGAGTATATATTTGATCTGATTTGATGAATTGGATTGATTTGAATTAACTTTCCGTTGGTGACCGAACAAAGAAGCAGTCAAGATGAATGAAAGATTGAAGTTGAAGTTAAAGGTGAGATCGAAGTTCAGTTGGAATTGGTTGACTTGGTGATGTTATGTTAAAGTATATACTAGTTTTGATAGTTGGTAGTGGTTTCAATAATACAAATCGATTGATAGGTTCTGGTAGCTGTGGATAGTTGATGGTTGATGGTTAATGGTGTGGATACTATTATGAAGGTAATCAGCCATACTCATCAATTTCGCACAGCTTTACAAATGTAGGCGATGACTACATTACACGTCATCAATTTACCTAAAAGACAACTTAACTTTAAGTCATCTGTTTACCTCTCCATCGAGAATTCAGGCGCGTATCCTGCACCCTACCAACGCACCCTTGAAGTCAAAAAAAGATGTGACCTTCACTCATCAAAGTCACACGTATGCTTGCTTTTGACTAACAACAGGCAAAAGTTCAAGATATGATCCTATCTAGGAGTGTCCACTTTATATTCAATTGGGGTACCCAAAGACAACCAAAAAGATTCACCAGAAGTGTTGCTTGACCATCAAACACCAACTTGAAGAAATCCCATCTGCTCTTGACCAAGCCTGATATGTAGTTTCTAATGGCAAGCACAATTGAATGTGGGTGGTGGAGTACTAATACAATTGAGACTTTTTTGCCCTCAATTATGAATTTTCTTCTTTTATTACGCTCTTGTTCACCTTTTTATTTGACTTGACAAAATCCTTCCTTCTTTCTTTTTTGAAAAATGTATACATTCTAAGTGTGGTATTTGGCCCTAAGGAATGAAACCTCACTGTAACAAACAAAATGATAGCGCAGCAATGTTGGCGTTGAGATGATATTGATGTGACTGGTTGAGAGGCATGGCCATTGGTACATCCCGGCTCTGTGTGATATGGAAAGAAAGAAAACAGCGCATAGTGCAATAGAAAGAGAAAGGAGATATATTAATATTTGAGAACAAAGAAAAAGGTGATCCAAAGAAAATAGATACCATAAGCGGCGCTTTGGCGAGCGGGCTGTGAGCTTAGCAGTAAAGAGATCCGAGGTTTCTTCCTTTTTCTTTGTTCTCAAATATTAATATGTATCTCCTTTCTAGGCTTGCACACAGGATCCGTGGAATCTCTTCACGCCAAAGATACTCTACATTGCTAAGTTTTTTCTTTCCCTCTTCGCCAATACTGGCCCGCTACCCATGATGCATTTTTGAGACACAAAACAGAAGAGAAAAAACTCTATCTTGAGCGTTGAAGAGGGAATTCGGACAATTCAATGATGGTTTCTTGTTCTGATTTCCTATTTTTTCACAGTCAATCTGAAATCAGATTCATCCATATTTGCTTCAAGTTCTAATGATGCGCTTCACTTTGATTTAAATGATATCCTATGTTCTCTACAGCTCAGCTTTTCATTCATGACGATTGAAAATATGAAGACCACATGATTTTGATAAATAATGTAAGCAAGAGAGCGAAAAGAAAAAGGATGAAGCTAAGCAACATAGCATCTGTGCGAGATTTGGCTACTGTTCATCTTTGTCTTCTTAGACAATGCTCTTGAGGAAGGGGGAAAAAGAAGGACAATCTATGTAGGTGTAGCACACCATGTATTGTGAGATGAGGATCCCGCTTTTACGCTACCAAGATTCATAAGAACCAATGTAAGTAGCGTCTTCATTCATAGGCCTTACACAAATTTGTGGGACATTCTAAATGCCAGAATCGATATGATCATGTTTCCATACAAAGCAACATTTAGTGATCACTAAAATCTGAAATCAAATGAGTTCTAGATGATCAACTTACGTTGGTTCAGATGCCGGGACTTGCAACGGTAGTCAACTGGGGTACCATTAACAGTACGTTTGCAAGCTTTAGTTTACGTAAAAAAGTCACATTTGATCAATCAGTATTTTGATGTGAAGACTTAGCACTGAACTGGGGGTATGCAAAATTTAGCACTGAACTCTTGAGACCCAAGACTTCTCAAGATATCCAGAGCTAATTGGCTAAGGCTATAAAGATCAAATTGACTCAACTTATGGAGTAGGTTGGGTCATCATTCACATCCATTCCTGCATCACAATCCCATGAATACTTTGTGACTAAAGTTCCCAATTCGTCAACACAGTAATAAGCAGCTGTTTTCCATCCAATCAAACAGTAAGCACTCCGTTCTTCCTATTGATATACATTCAAGATGATCAAATCATTTCACACATGGTAGTTTGGTATCTCCTCTTCCGCACCACGAGCACGTATACATGGTCCGGGCCCCAGTATTTGTTGCGCACACTACGAAGATGTTTGTTTTTGAAAAGATTGTATGTATTGCGTCAGTTCACACTGTCCCTGCAGATGATAGAGCATTGAATGGGTTTAAAGAAGGGTAAGACGCTGGACTGACGATGCATATGATTATTCCACGGCTCTGGTCTAGACCACGTGTAGTCGCATTCTATAGAATCAGCATGTGCGAAAATTTTCCATCCGAAATCTCCTGCGAGCAGGAATCCGATGGCAATATAAAGAATGGAGTTTGCTAGTTTCCAAGACATAATTTGGAGGAGAAGAAGACGTCTTTGGATTTGAAACTGTTGTACTCAAATCACCAGCGAAGAAAGAACGACAATCTATGGAGAGCACGCAAAACCAGGGAGAGAAAACGAATGCTGAGGGACCGATCAGGCCTCGTTAGCAAAAGCAGCCTTTATATGTGAATGGATTCCAACGACAAATATTGCTGTTCAAGACGAACCATGTAGCCTTTCAGCCACGGGTTCTTAGCTGTTCTTGGTGAATTGAGCAGCATGAATTGTGTAAATGACTGGTGTATCAATCAAACTGAAAGTGAAAGGTGAGGTAAGGCAAAGCTCCTCATGAGCGCACTGGTGCATGAGGCACATGTGTCATGAGGTTAAATCAATATCTTCAAGTCTTTAACCACCAAAGCCCCAAGGCCATACACAAGTCACCATCACACAATTCAACGGGGAACTTCATCCGGTGAGGGTGGTTCAAGTTCATGAGGTCCGATTTGACAGGGTTGATCTTCTTTGCCAAGCCGCCACACATACCTTCCTTCTAGACTCCTCAATACCAGCAATTATATACGTTATATGCAACTGACAAGAAAAAAACCATCTTTCTTGGTCCCTGCGAAAAGTGTACATGGATAGCTGTGGAAATCAGCAATCAGATAGAACTCATGTCTTGTGTACGTATATCATTCTCAGTTTCTTTAATTCTCACTGCTTCCAAGCAAAGAGTCAAAAGGTGTGGTGCAAGTTGTGCATGGCATGCCTTCTGCGAGAGGTCCGTCTACATACATCACGGAGGCGTGCATCCCTGCCAAATACCAAGAGAGAGTCTGAGAGAGAACATTCAAATCTTAATCAGATAGGAGTATCATATATGTCACCTCAAAGTATCAACAAACCAATTCAAAATTTGATTTACTACCATCAGATACTCATCTAGACTTCCTTCTTTACCTTCTTAATTGAGCTGAAGGAAGATGGTATGTGGTAAAGCACTTTAGAATCTGATATATCATACTGACTTGTTCTGATGATCAACGTAGGTCGAAGTCAATGATCAAGAAGTTATAAAGGATGAGAAGAAAGGCTTAGAACCCAAGACTGAAGCGAAACCATGCCGCGTCAGTGATCGAATATGAATCCAAAAAAATAGACTTTCGTATACTGATTCTCTAACAACCTTAACAGGTCAAAGTCGATTACGTCATTGTATTCTCTCTAAAACCTTTGAATGGGAAAAAGATTGATGATAAAGCAAAATATTCTACCACTTTAAAAGAAGAATATACGAATTTGTTATCTAGATTACATCAAGCTGGATTAAGCGCGATTGGTAGACCAGGTGCGAAAGGTAGTGATGAGTTACTGATCCTGGTGACTGCTCTTGATGAATCTAGAATCACAAGAGAAGTAGAAAGTGAAAGGTTTGCAAGACTATTCGATAAGCTTATCTTAAGCTTTCTTTATCTTTTCAACTAACTCTGGATTCTTTTTGTGGTTTAGGATGTTAGATTGGTTACATGGTATTACTTGTGTTAAACCTCAATCTCAATCAGATCCAACATCTTTTTCTTCTCAACCTTACAAACCATCCGATCGATTACGTCATTTATACAACATCATCACTCAAGAATCAAATCCTTCATCAAGTGAATCTCCTTTATCACCACAACTTCATCGAGCATTATCAGGTCCAGGTGCAGGAATCAATCCGGGTCGTGCTCCATTCGAACATGTTAAATCCATCTTTCCTCCACACGATCTTGAATTTAATCATCAATGGATCTCTAGATGGAGTGATCGATCTCATTTTTCAATTAAAATACCACAAGTTGAATTAGATCAAATCAAAGATATCTATGGTGAAGGAATCGGTTATTATTTTGCATTCCTTAACTTTTATTTTCAAGCTTTAATTTTACCTTCTATGATGGGATTTGTGATTTGGAGTTTTGGCATTAAGCTTTCGACGACTTATTCGATAGGTTTGATCTTATGGTCTTTAGTCTTTGTTGAAGCTTGGAGTATGAAAGAACGTTTGTTGGCTATCAGATGGAATTCTTTGGCTTGTTATAAAGTGGAGAAATGGAGAATTCAATTCAAGCCCGAAAAAGTCGTCAAGAATGTGATCACCAATGAACTTGTGGGTCACTTTCCTTGGTGTAAGTCTAGATTTCTTTTCTCATTCGTCTCAATATTATCAGCTTCATGTTTTGGTATATAAGCTCATACCCGCTCTTTTTTTCTGGAAAACTAAAGGGAAGCGTGAAGCCAGAAAACTTGTGACAGTGCCGGTCTTGATCATTTTTGCAATGTGTCTCGTTGCTATTATCACGGGTATCACTGCGATTGAGTTGATTGTAGGTGAGGTGTACAATGGTCCGTTTAAGAAAGTCTTGGTATGATTAATCTTGCCTTCTTCTTACCATCTCACCTTGGAAATCACATTTGCTAATCACCAGTGACTCTTACGACAGTCACTTTTACCTACCGTCTTGTTCGCTGCTTGTGTTCCTCAACTTGTCTCGTTATGGAAATCGGTGGCTATCAGGCTTGTTACTTGGGAGAACCATACTTATGAATCAGCTTACGATCGATCACTTACGATCAAGATGTTCATTGTAAGTTTTTTTCAAAGAAGACCTATGGCATGCTTATCTGATTTGGATATCTTCCTTGACACAGGTCCACGCTTTAGTCGCATATGCCAGTCTGATCTTGACAGCATTTGTTTACGTACCATTTGGATCCCTTCTGATCCCTCACTTAGCAAAATTCACACACAAAATGATCAAACATGACTCAATTCCAGTAGAAGGAAAAGCCGTGAAATATTTAAATCAACAAACTTTTAATTGGTCAACTTATTCGATTGATAATCAAAGACTTTATCAACAATTGTTTGCATATATCTTTACAAATCAAGTTGTCAATAGTTTTACGGAGATTGGATTACCTTATTTGATTAAAATCGTTTCGTTTAAATATAATCAACTTATTGAAGAACGTCAAAATAAAAAAGAATCAGATGGTCAAGTGTCTAAGAAAGATTTAATGGTGATTCCTGATTTGGAAGATGAGAAAGTTTTGTTGGATAGGTTGAGAGAAGAAGCTGGGTTACCTGAGTATCAACTTTTTGTTGAATATGCTGAGATGGCTATCCAAGTAAGTTTTTTTTGTCTTAATTTACGATTTGATTGGGATTCTGATGATGTATGACACACTGCCTTGATCAGTTTGGATATGTTGTTCTCTGGACTTGGCCAATCGCTCCATTTGCTTGTTTTATCAATAATTTCTTTGAACTACGGACTGATGCAATCAAGCTCACCAAACAAAGTCGAAGACCTATACCTACTCGAAGTGACTCAATCGGACCATGGTTAGATGTACTTGGTTCTTTGACTTGGTTTGGAGCGGTTCTGAATACAGCTCTTGTATATCTATTCCAACCAACTCAAGCGATCAATGCATCTTCAGTTCTTAACACTCGTCAACACGCTAACTCAACTATCAATACTCCTTTTACAAATGACACTTCATCAAACCAAACAATCTTTACGAATTTATTAGAAGCCACCATCATCAAAAGTAAACTAAATCATTCACAGATCACTAAAACATCTAATCAAGAATTATATCAATCATTATTATCAATCTTATTTTCGACTTTAATTCCGATTTTAATTTCAGAACATTTATTTTTGTTTTCCAAAGGATTAATTAAAAATATCATTAATCGATCTATGTGGTTAGATAGTGAAGCATTTGTTTTGAAAAGAAGATCAGAGTGGGAATTAAAACAAACTTTTTTAGATCGATTAGATTCTTCTGATTGGTCTTTAATCTTGAATGATGCTCATCAGCAAAAGAAAGGAGTTGATGATCAGTCCAAAGTTAAAGAAGATGGTTTGTCTAATGAAACTTTTTGGAATCGGGATGATTTAGGATTAGAAGAGATTAATAGGATGGTCAAGGTAGATTGAGGAATTTGGAATGGTTCTTTGGTTTTCTCTTTTCATTGATTATTGCTCAAGTTATTATGTGTTCAAGAAAAAAGAATAAGAAGATTGTATGTATTTTTTTCAAGGTTGTGGGTTCGATCCAAAATTGACAATGAAATAAATGATTATTAGTCACTTTTCGCAAAAGGTGAGCAGCATATTGATCTGTTTGAGATTGCTTTCGCTTTGGTTCATTTTCATTGCAATAGGTTTGATGCGCAAGTTGACTTGTATCTAATTATTTTTCGTGTCTTGTGATGCATGATGCAAGGTCAGATCAAGAACATCTAATGAAAACAAAATTTGTATCAACCGAAAGTTCAAGCATGAAAGAATATACTGGTTTTGATTGACTACTCAAGATTGATATTTTGATATTTCTACATTGATTCAAGGAGCCTGAGATTTTTTTTTGGTTACAAGTCTAGTAAAGGAAAGGAACAGACATTTTTTTGAGTAGAAACAAGAGACCATAAAACTCGATAATTCAAGAAGAAATCAAATCAAACAAAAAGAGAAGAAGAAAAGCTTAATTGAAAGTCAACTGTAACAAGATGATCAATATTTTTTTAAAACTTTGGTAAACCCCAAATCTCACGAGCAACAATCAAGGCTCTATGAAGTTTAGTTAAATAAACTCTTTCACCATTCCATTGAGAATAAGAATTATTGAAAGTGGATTTAAGTTTATGACCTATTTCAAGATAAACTTCAGTTGCAGCTCTAACACCCGGTCTAAAAGATTTAGGTAAATTATCTATAGCAAACTTAGATTTTAATTGATAATCTTTAGCTAATAAAAGTAATTTCTCTGCAGCAATTGCATAAGGGAATTGATTTAATTGATCTGATTGAGCTGATTTAAGTAATTCTAAATGAAGTGGTTTTAAAGGTTCATCTGAAGATTTAAACCAACAAGTCGGTAAATAAATTCGACCATTCTTGGCATCTTCTTTTATATCTCTTGCAATATTAACTAATTGTAATGCAACACCCATATCATTTGAAGCACTTAAGATAGATTTAAGAGTTGGGTTTGGTTTGGATGTCATGGAAATCTTTAACATTAAATCTACACACATCTCTCCAACTGAACCGGCTACCCATCTAGAATATTGGATTAAATCGGCTTCTGATTCAATGGTCTTTTGTTGAAATTCTAATGCATCATATGAATATCCATTGATCAATTCATCGAATGGTTGTCTACGTAATTCGTCTTTTAAAGTTGAAAATAAATAAAACGTCGGTCTGGCATGAATCGGGACTTTTTCTTCTATAAACTGATTTAATTTCTTTTCAAAATCTATTGGTTTAACTTCTTGAGATTTAACTTCATGATTCGCTTTAATGACTTTTTTCGATGTTTCTTTTTCTTCTTTTCCTTCTTCTTTTTGTTCTTCTTCTTCGGGCCAAAGTAAATTTAAAAATGATCTACAAACCAAAACCGATTCTTTGGCTGATTTTAAATCTATAGCATTATCAATCAAATCATCTGTTTCTCTACAAAACCCATAAAGAATAATAAATTTAGATCGAATCGATTGATAATTCGAAAAGACTAAACTAGCAGAATAAAAACTTTTCGAAGCTTTACGTAAGAGATCAGAAGTATGAGATAATTGATGAATACGATTTGATAGTTTAGGATTTTGATGATGGTTTATAAGATTTGGTAAATCGATGGCTATTCTAGTCGATTTAAAAAGTTTATAAACATATTCTAGTGAGAATGGTTGATTAGATTGTGAATGATGTCTTGATGATGATGATGATGATGAAACAAGTTCAGGCCAAGTATTAATGATAGCTTCAATCTTTTCAAATGCAGCTAAACCAAAAACTAAGATCGTATTGGTAATCAAAAAGAAAAAAGCTTCTTCGATTGGTAAATCAGGCCAAACGAAGATACCTAAACTAGTAGGAATCGAAATCGACCAAATCCCTCTACGTAAAGCAATTATATCAATAGCACAAAGATAAAGTGTTGGTAATAAGATTGAATAAATAATAGAAGTTGGTCTTAATAAGATATGATCACCTGCTATTGTCCAAAGAAAACAACAAACAGGTAAAGCCCAAAAACCAATACAAGTAATATAAAACTCATGAGTGTTGGGTTTAGATTTAAACCAAGATAAGATTGAAAATCCTCCAAAAAGATAAGTAGGTGACCATCTTAAAAATGACCAAAGTTTAGGATATTTAATTGGAAATGAATTCGGTTTTGGTAAAAGATATAAAGATGGTAAGATTGGAAATGTAAAGATGTTATATAGATATCCAGTTAAGAAGGTTTGAATTATAAAAAAGAAAACTTCTTCGATTGGTACACCAAAGATAGTTGCAGTAACAGCCCATGGAGCATAAGTCCAAGCCTGGAACGATAAAATGATCGAGAAAGATAAAGATAAGTTGATGAATGGTCAGTTAACAGGATTACTTTTTGATCTTGAAAAGATGTTTGAAAGAAAATATTAACTGACTTTGTGATGAATGATGTAGCTATCCCATGGTAAGGTGTATAAGACAGCCACGACAGTTAAGAACGAGTACCTGAAGCTATCAGCAGGTGATAAGATCGGTCTTAATACTCCAAAAAGAGTCAAGGTGGGAGGAAGCGTGAAGCATAGATGACTAAAAAAATCCGAGCATGATGGTTGGTAAGTTGATGTTGAAGTATAAGTGGTTATGTTGTATCGAAGAAAGAAAAGTGACTTACAACATCCAATACGTCATCAACATTTTCGGACGAGGTTTCCAATGGTGAAAAGTATCTAAAGCTTCTTGTAAGATTGATGTCGAATGAGTTGAATTGAGGAAAAGCTTGATAGAAAGTAGTGAAGAGAAAGAAATCAAGTCTTCTCTGAATGAATTCCTTAAAGAAATCGGGTTTCAAATTTCTAGAGACAAACTCCTTTCTAGATTTATCAGATCAAATCACCAAAAGTTAAATGAAACTCAATGTCATAATTCTCAGAGACAGTCGAGCATTTTATGTTGAATTTAAAGCTTAAAATATTTTCCGATTGGTGTAAAAACTCCGTGAATCTGGTGGAAATGGTTGAAAAGCTGAGCAGAAAAATTGATGAAAAAAAGGATACACTAACAGTGACACCCCTTTGTCCGACCGAATATCTGTAATCTATTCTTCAAAGGATGATAAAATATTAAATAGTGTTGTAGACTCTAGAGCTCTACATATCGCTTACAAATATTATATCCAAAAATACTTGTTCTTACTCTTATGAAACTTTTCAAATCTTGAAAGTACGTAGCGTACTAATTCCCCACAACAGGCCGGTGTTTAAGCCAGGCGACTTGATTATCAGATGAGATGAGAAAAGATAGAAAAGATCTTTAGCCGCAGGATTTGTATTGTAAAGTACATGACCATCGAGCTGAGTACCATGTAGATCGCGAGAAATGATCCATCAAAAAGACACTGTATATCACCACCGATCAAGGATTGTGCCGTGCGTTTGATCAAGCAAAGTCAAAAAAGATATCTTGTATGCATTGGGGGTTTGATTGGAGAACTACTTAAAACATCATCAGACTTTTGTAATCGGTTCAAAGTGCCATCCCCGCTCCCTTGTTACATACTTTCTTTATCAAAAAGCTTGTCCAAATTTTCCCGCAAAACTCGAACAGTCTGGCGTGGAATTTTCGACAAGCTTTGTAAGAACGTCAGTAGATGATCTCATTCTGATCAAATCAAATCGAATCATGTATCTATATGAAGATAATAAATTCAATCAGCCCATTTAAAAACATTGTTGTGACAAACAAGTGGCGAATCAGGAAACTTGTTATTATGCTTATCACTTGATGCCATTGATGCCATTGGGGACATATGTTGTACAATCATATATGATGCCGACAGGTTTCAAAAACTTTGAACCACAAAATCGCGAGAAAATCACCGCCTTGATTATTTGTTTGTGACTTTCGATCCTGACAGTAGTATTACTCAGCCAAATTGACTATGCGGATCAATCTTTGACACCGTCAATCGATACTCTCAATTACTCTCAGGATCGAAATATGTAGAAAGAACCCCAATAAATGAAAGAAATCGTAAGGAAATCTTTGTTGGGGGTCATCGATCCATAGATAGGAAAGGATGAACCTCAGCTGGCTTTGTTTGTAAGATTTAATACTGAGCTATGTACCTCACCATGATTCTACCGGTACACAACCTTGATCAGTTTTAGATAAATTAGAAGAGAAGTATTGGAAACCAAATTGAAAAATAATCAGTTAGGGCAAGAGGATTCCCACAAAGTGATTTGGTAGGAATATCAAAGAAAGGATGGTTCGGTTAATCAGTTATGTTGTGTCCATCAGTGGCAAGTACATGAAGTCCAATTCAGAACTTGTCTTCAAGTTATAGCGAACCGTATTGCTCCTTCTCTGAGATGAACTATTGAGACATACGATTGGTGTCAAATTTCGTTCAGCTCGTGATCTGCTTGGATTGATCGATTCTCCTGCTGAGCTTACATGGATGATTGCTTGATCAGGTCAATCCGTGTTCACTCCGAATGGCGACTTCTTTAGATGAGAGAATTCTTTCATACTGTGCAGACAGTGAGCCGATGTCTGGCTGCCCCGCCCGCCCACACCGAGGATACGCATATGTGATAGGGCGAAACTCTCAGATCATCAGAAGATAAGTATACGAAAGTCCGATGCTCCCCACTATATCGCCTTCTCCGTAAACTCAATCAAGTCCCTCGCTAAACTGCACTGGCCCTGGAGTGGTAGCAGACAAATAGCTTATTGATCCCAAGCAAAAAAGTCTATGAAATTATCTGATGGATGATTTATCTACATACACATTGCAGAACAGAATGGATCTCACAATTGAACAAATAGAATTGTGGACTTTTTAAGTTTTGAGGTCTAAAACATATCCATCAATTAGATCCTCTCAATTTATCATCAAGATCAAACTCAAAATCATCAGTTCTATTGAAAAACCTCTCTTGAATTTGAAAAAAAAATAAAGAAAAATAAAAGACCCAAATCCAGAAAAAAAGATCATGAGCTTTTTTTGCAATCAATACTTTGTAATTCAACCCTTCCCTTCAAACCCTTTCTCCCCCAAAAAATCTCTAATCAGATAGAAAGTTTCCAATCATGCTTTCTTTTTCCTTTTTGGTTTTTTCTTCTTACTAGCAGAAAGAGAACCAGCCTTAGACATCGGTCTAGAATCACCTCCTTCACTTCCACTTTCAACATCTTCAGTTTCAGGTGTACGAGGTGTACCACCATTACTAACACTCCTTCCTCCACCTCCAATACTACTATTAACTGAATCAGGTGGTCGATTGTCATTCTTAGAAGGTGTAGATACGACCGATCCTTTGCCTTTTTTCCCATTTGCTGCTTGTTGTTGTTTTTGTTGCTCTAGTAGTTGTTGCTTAGCTTGAGCTGCTTTGATGGCATCTAACATGGCTTGTTTTGCTGGTGATGGTGCTGCTACTGGTTTTGGCTGTGCTGCGGGTATGGCGGCCTTTGAATTTAGGATCGAAAGTTCACTCGGATTGTAAAAATCAGATGAAGGGATCGTTGCTAAATTTGATTCAAGAATGAACACGAAAAGATCAAACATCAGTCTCATTGAATTTCTTATGATCAAACAAGATTTCAATCAGATCAAAGAAGACCTTACCTTTCAACTTTCGATTTTTTTCAATATCTTTATAAATCTCTTTAGCCTTAATAGCTTGAGCAGCTTCTGCAGCCACACTAAAGATCATTTGACCCCAACCTTCGGCAAATTCATTCGCTTCAGAAACCACTTCTGATAATTCTAATTCTAATTCTTTTTCTCCTATTGCTAATCTTTCCCAAAGATCATCTCCTACTTGTCCTTTTTGTAATAAATTCGTCATAGCTTGTTTAGCTTCTTTGATGGCCCAGATTCGTTGTACATCTGTAATCGCTCTTGCAATCAATGCAGCTTAAACCAGAAAAGGTACATTCAAATCAGTGTTGCGTCAAGGATTTTTTTGGTTTGGTTCGATGGAAAGCTCGAGTATGATGGAAAAAACTTACAAACTAGAACCGGTTGTGGAGGTGGTGGGTCCATACTCAATAGACTCACGTAAAGATCTCGAGCCGTGTGAGGTTCCGGAAACCATGGTGGTGGTGGTGGTCGGCCTAGAACACCACATTTCAACAATATAAAAGTTAGTATTAAGCTTCTCCGATCAAATAGAACATTCATGTGAAAAGAAGATCAAGTGAAGAATCCATAAAACCTTCAACTTACGCAAGGCTCGATTACGATAATAACGGGAGAAGAGCCAAAGTAGCCCAAAGAGAAAGGTAATGTAGGCGAATGGAACATATAATGGTAGAGCCATACTTCTTGATCCAAAGGTTCGAAGGACTCGAGACAATCTAATTGAGGGCTTCGCTGAATGGTCGAATCAATCGGAGAGAAACCAACCGAGAAAATGGTGAGAGTGTGGTGTTCAAGCTGAGATGGATGACTGGAAATTCTTATTTTCCAATTTACCACCCGTGTTCGATCTTAAGGCGGTGATTGACTACGTGTAGGTTAATGACTTAAAATATTTGTCTATAACCGTTAAGTACATAATCCTTGACACTTAAATAACCTGTATTCACAACCTCAAAGCTGCTCAAAGCTGCTCAAAGCTGCTCAAAGCCAGACAAGTTTTAGCGACTGTTGCGATCTATCTGTTGCGCAGCGCGCTACATATAGGAATCCAGGATGCGGGTATTGCACCACACTCAGATAGATCACATTCCTTTCAACAAAATTTCTTAAATGTCAGACCAACCAACGCTTGCTTGAATCCCCCACTCACCTGAGGCTGGATGGCATGAGTTGATCAGCACCCATCCTCAAAGTTCAATTTGGTCAAAAACAACAAAACATGTGCTGACGTGTGTGGTATTGCAAACACATGATGTTGGTTCCTTGAGGCTTCTAATTAGTATCAGCAAAGCCTCATTATATTTTCTTTGATTTTTGTAAGCTCACATTTCACCTCCTTCAACAAGGCCAAAGACTTTTCACAAAAACTGGGTCTCCTACCCTAGTTGCCAAAAAACACTAGTGAATCAAGGTGCCGGTTTCAAATAAAATCATTGAAAAAATATCATCACTTTTTATGATTGCAAATTATTTATTACCAGATATATACCCAAGTGAATAGTGGCTCACAATCTTTCCTTGTAAAACCCCAACCTAAGAAAGGAGTGATGTTTGGATTTCTCAGAAAGACAGCCAAATGTGTTTTTGTTTTTTTCTTGTAAGAAAATGAATCTGTGAGCTTTTTACCAATGCCTAAGAGTATATATGCCACAGGTAATTGAAGTCACAAAATTACATGACCATTCTCTCAAAGATTGTGATAAGGTCTTACACAGAACCAGCCCACCAATTATGGGCACTCAGAGTATTGGAAAACATCTTATGCACACTACACTTCTGGTCAACTGCAAGGTACCAAGATCACAAAAGGGAACCATTCTTATCCTCCCATTCACCTCTTGATCCTTCCATCCAAGATAAACATGACCTACCCACCTGACAGTCTTGATTTGACAGCCTTGGGTCTATTGAGGCAAGTGTTGTGAACTTTATCAGAGGTCCTGGTGTTCTGGGTTCTTGTGTTCACATTGCCAATTGGCATATGAAGAAGAAAAGGGAAAGGGTTCTCAAGTTGCTAAATGTAAAACTTTAACTATACTATAATCTGTGACATGGTTGTTACAGGTTTTTAAGATTGTAAGGTAGCCCACTTGTAAACACATGTCCTAGCATCATAGCATATGAAGTCATATGGACCATTATTCTACCAGATTATGGTAGAATAGAATCTCTGTGCATACCAACAGCAAGAGATATAAAGAAAATCTCACTACTCAATGTCTACATTTTGCATTTGGGTTCTTGCTTCTTTCATTGGACTATGATTGAAACAGCTCAGGGCCTGTAAGAACACTTCAAGGAACATGTTTCTGGCTATGAGTAGTGTAAATATAATGACATTTCTTGAGCACCATCCAGATTCTACATAGCCAACAAGATCCAATTTCAACTTGAGTATTTATACAATCTTCAAAGATAAATAGACAGTATTGAATTATAAGTTGAGGAAAGGAATTTCAAGAAATTTTAATTGTTGTAATTGAGGTTAAAGAAATGGAGGTGCAGTGGTGCAAGTTGTGTTTCTTTTTGTACCTTATTTGTTGCTGTGTCCTGACTCTTAAATCTTTCTTTCAGTGATGTTGCCATACATCTGATCTTTGTATGTTCACTGTTAGAATGATACCCTTGATATCTGACTCAATCTCATTATATAATCTGTTACTCCCAAGCTCTGTGCCTTTTTGTGTATAATATGGAAGCTTGTTACTATTTTTTATCTTTTCAAATCCTGCTATTTGGCAGATGAGTTCTGATACTCTTCACACATCTTCCATCATAAATTTCTTTTGCTCATGTGATCTTTCATCTACATCTTGACTCCCCTTTACACAAGTTCTTTTTGCAGAAAAGCAAGAAATGTAGTTGATCAGAACCTGTGGTACACACCTAGCTTACAATGCTATTAACCAACACATTTGCCAAAGTTGCACCCCATGGATAGTGAGATCAAGCCTTTGATTATCTAAGGTTTTATACTTTGCACTGTACATTTAGGGTATGTGGGGTTATAGCTCAGATAACAGTTTTCCATGTTAGAAAAGTGTTGTGTTTTATTGAAAAAATCATATTTTTAGATATTGTGCACTAACATCTCTCACATCATGCTTCATTAACAACACAATATGCCAAGACTGGTTTCTTTACTTCTCATAAAACAAGTGAACACCATAGATGGTGGTGGGGAATTCTGGTAGTGCCAGTGAAACTTTGAAAGATACAAATGAACCAGGTAAGTTGCTTTGAAAAGTGTCAGTATGATTCATTTTTAGTCCTGAACTTAATGTAATTTCAATACAAGTCAAAGCCATGTATGGCAAGCTAAGGGCCCGTTCGGCTGGATTTCGAAAAAATTGTTACACAAAAACGATTTTTCGATCTGCCCCTTGAAAAAGGGGCAGATTGAAAAACTCGAAATTTTGCTTTTTCGTTTACCGAACAGTCAACCAAATCGGTCAACGAAAAATTGAAATGGAGGGGCAAATGAGCCCAAAAACTGTTTTTGGTCTCAAAAACAGCCTCAGGGCTGTTTTTCAAAAGTGAAGATTTTTTGATCAAATACCGTCTTTGGGTATGGATCAAATACGGTTTCCGAACGCTGGTGTTTTTGGCAAAAGCCAAATACGTTTTTGACCCAAATATCGTATTTGGCTTTGGTGGGGTATTTGGCCAAATACGATATTTGGAACCCAGCCGAACGGGCCCTAAGTATGCATGTATCTAGTTGTTATCCGCAAAGCTCTCTCAGTGGCTGGCATGAGGATGGCTACAGTCCAAGGGGTTGAGGGGTGAGAATAATGCCCACTTCCACCAAAAATACCAATTTTTTTGTCCAAATTTGAATTTTTATGGTTTTCTTGAGCTGTATAATGGGTTTTGAACTCTTGGTTTGTGAGTTGTTCAAGTGCTTAAATGCATAGTAAATGGTGTAATTTTAAAGCCATGAAAAATTTGTGTATGAGGTCTGTATTATGGATACGGAAGGTTCATATGCCTGGGGTTTTGAGAAAAAAATGCAGAAGGGCCCACACGGCTTCATGAACACCATCTTGAGGTTCTCCCTAGAAAAATGTTCAAGGAATTCACTGTTGAGTCAAGTGGTTTCGAGCAGCAAAGCACAAAGGAATTTCAGAAAGCAGTCTTTCAATATGAGAAGGTCTACTGTTCCAATACCTGTCTTGTTAAATGTTTAAATTTTATCTTTACATCCTTCTCTTATCTCCATTTCCTCTTACCAGATCAGATCACTCTATCTTACAGAACTACTTCCACGACCATTCCATAATATGATTCAATACACTCTTCAAACAGCCTGATATATAAACACTCACCCTCAACCTGTTGCTTCAACCCCTACCACCAAACATCCCACCTAAATTACCCATACCCATTTGTTCCATCATTCTTTTCATAGTCTCAGGATCTGGCATTTGACCTGAACCTAAACCAGGCATCATTCCTGCCAGTCCTCCAGGACCACCTGCGGCACCGGCGGCTGCTGCTCTTCGAGCACGAGATGCTGCCGAACTGGTTACCCCTCCATTTCGTTGTGCTGCTTGTGAAAGTGCATGGAATGCATCCACTCCACCTAAATCAAGACAAGAGATTTGAATAGATGAGCATCTTGACTTGTTTGACTAATTGACTCTCGGTGAAAATATTTACCAGCATCCTCGATTTGCTTCCGAACCGCAGCTGGTGCTTGACGCTATCAGGTAAATGAAATCATGAGCGAATCTACCATTTAATACGAAACGAGTGACTTTCGAAATACTTACCAAGACTTGTTGACGTTGTGCAGGATTCATCTTGACAAGTTGTTCAATAGTAACCTGCTGTTGCTTAATTCTTCCACCTCTTCCAGCACCAGCACCACCAGCAGCTTTAGCAGCTTGTTGTTGTGCAGCCTTCAAAGCTTGCTGTTGTTCCCACTTTCGTTTCCCACCTGCTGTCTTCACCATCGTAGCCACCATCACATGTTGTGCAATCATCGCTTCTACTTCATCTACACTTGTCCCACTCCCTCTAGCTATTCTTAAGATTCTAGGATGAGGTTCACGTGGTACGCCTTCATCCATACCATTCGTGTCTTTCTTTTGAGCTTTGGGTGCACGGAAAAGTTGTCCATCTGAATCTAGTTCTTTAGGTGACATGGCATCGAAGATGAATAACATTCGTTTCATCTTTGATGACATATCGTCATCGTTTCCTCCAAACATCGCACCCATACCTGGAATCATAGAAGCAATTTTACTCAAAGGGCCCCTGTAAAGCAAAAAAAAATCGAAATCAGAAGCATGATCAAATCTGCCATGATCAGATACGAACTGTGATAGCCCTACTCACATCTGGGCAACATTGGTCATTTGATCTCTCAGATCTCTTAAAGTAAATTCACCACGTTCCATTCTTTCTCTCATCTCTTCACGTTTATGAGCTGGTGTAGACTGTTGAAGGTCTTGCATTTTTTCAAGAAACCCATCCACATCTGCCATCCCTAATACTTTACTGATAAATGGACCTGGACTGAATCGTTCAAGATCATGAATGTGTTCTCCAGTACCGATAAACATGATCGGTGTTTGTGTTGCTGCCACACTGCCACATTGGAGACGATAGTCAGCTTGATATAGATGGATATGTTGGTCCTCCTAGGGGCTTTTCTGACTAACGCTGAAATCGCACCACCACCCTTAGCATGTCCATCCATTTTAGTAACAATGATCGCACCAAATCCCGCCGCTTCTTTGAATGCTCGGGTTTGGGCCTCTGCGGCTTGGCCTATCCATTACGCTCAACACATATTAGATAACACTGCTCTGATCTATTCGAAAAGGTCAAGCCAAATTTAAACTCACCGATCGCTCCATCAAGAACCATTATTGTCAAATTAGGCTGAACGGCTGATGAGATCTGTTTCATTTCTTCGAATAATTCGGTTTCTTGACTTTTGAGGGATAGTGTGTGTGGAGAATAGAAGGCCCACTACGGGGCAGAGTGAATTTGTGAGCTTCGAAATTATGCAAGTCACTCAGATGTTGAAATTATGTTCTGGGATGAATTATTCACCGATGTCGACCAGAAGTATCCACAATGATGACTTCAAATCGTTCGCGTTTGAATTTTGTAACACCAGCTGCTGAAATACGAATCGGATCTGTTTCGGTATGTCTAATTTAGGTACGAATCAATTGACTTGAAATCTTCTCTATCTTGATAGCAGAGACTCACGATCCAAAGAAAGGAACCTTTGCTCTAGCTGCATTCTGTTTAAGTTGATCAAATGCACCAGCTCTAAAAGTATCGGCACAGACTAAAGCAGTTCTAAAACCTTTTCGTTGATAATATACAGCTAACTAAACAAAGAAAGAAGAAAGTATCAATGATTAAATCAGAATTGAAAAACAAAGTCAGTTTAGATGTAAGCTCACTTTTGTGCAACTTGTAGTTTTTCCACTTCCTTGTAACCCTACAAACATAATCACATTTGGTTTTCCTTTCTTCGGCTGCCAAGGTAGAGCAAGTGAGCTAGAGGAAGTCGCATCTGAAGAAGCAGCTGTTGGATTAACGAGTGCTACTAGTTCATCATAAACCGTCTGAAAAGGAAGAAGTTACAAGTTAGTGGTATATACTAAATGAGCTTGGGAGCTACTGAATTGAATTTACAATACCTTTTGGACTAATTGTTTTTGTTTTGCAGGAGAGGAAATAAGTTTTTCGAGTTGAGGTGTGACTTTAGATTTAACTCGATTTCGTAAGTTTGAAACTAATCCAACATTAACATCAGATCCTAGCAGAGCAGTAGCGAGACCTTTGAGTAAGCTATCGACCGCCTGTGATTAATTAATGTAAAGCGATAGGAGAAGTGCCGGGTCAATATTGATCTCATTGAAGGTCTGAGCAGTAGATGATGTCTTTAACCTTTTCATCGATGAGTGGTGTTCGTTGTAGATCAGCAAATGCAGCATTTATTTTCTTTCCTAAGTCTGCTAATACCATCTTTTGGATCGAAGTTGGTTTTTGAAGTTGATGAAGTGGAATACTTGGATGAATGCGTTGGCAATGGCATGAACTTGAGTCTTGATGCTTTGAATGACATTTCTGCTGGACCCGAAAGGACCTGCGAGGAACCCGACTCCGCATACCCTCTACAAAAGCCACGATGGCCAAATTACTCGACTGGTCACTGCATTCCGCTTTTTGTTCGTCATTGACCGATCGATCGACGCAATCTCAACCTGGCAGAATCCAGTCAACTTCGGCAATTCAAAAGTAGACTCAAAACTATGAGTATATCTTGAGTGTATCATACCCTCATCACTTCATTTCAAGGAAATGTCTTTCTATCCCGACTTTTTACTTGCCAACGCAACTCGAATTACCTCCATCGAGTCAACCCTTCGAACTGCTACTTGGTTTTTACCTGGTCGATTTAAAGATGCTGAATTAGCATCAGAAGCATGTCAGTATACTGAAGACATATATCCTTGGCTAGATGATCATCTCTTTTGACTGATGTGATTCCCAAATCAACAGTGTTCTCTGCGCTGAACATTGTGAGCAGCTATCATGATTCGGTGATTACCAAGGCTGCCGAAAGTCTTCCTGCAGCCTCTAGACCACCTTCATCATCTCATAATCGCTATACTGCAGCTTGGTCCGAAAAATCAAATTCCTACAAAACACTTGCCCATACTTTATCAATTCTAGAAAATACTCAACGACTTTTTGAAATGTGGGCTCGTAGACGACTTGGTTCTAAAGGTCGTTGGCGAATCGTACTCTTCATTGAATGTCTCAAAGCTTTTTTGAGATTACGACTCGTACGTCTTACAGGTCGAATGATTATTGCTCCTAGTCTTCCAGAACGAACTGTAGATCCAGCTATCCTAGATGCCCACCGCCCTGTCCTACATGGTCAACCACCGAACGCTCAACTCGTCCTACCAAGCCCTAGTCAGGCTACAAGCTGGACTGGATCACGTACTGGATTCGAACGTCCTTCTATTGCTAGTTTACGTACTTCGACAACAGATCCTAATGCTCGTCTTCATAGTCGATCAAACCCACTAGTACCTCCAAACGTTGTGAATGATTTCCTTGCTCGAAGAGCTCTTACACCTGAAGAGATGTGTAAACCTCGTGAATTGGTTCATAAGCTTCGATCAAATCGAGCTCAACTTGCTGAATTTATCTGGAACCTTCGCCCGGTTATATATGGTAAGTTGAAATTATTCCCTAAATGACATTTAATCTGCATACACTTTATCTGACCGTTTTGTGTTTATGCGTTTGATAGTACTCGCCATCAATCGTTATGGTCAACGACACGTAGCCCCATTCTTATGTTCTCTCTCAATAGAATATTTATCATATTCACTACGACAAGCAAGTTTACAAGAACCTAATTCGCATCAATTTCGACCTAAAACTAGCAATCGACCTTCATTCCTTTCAGACTTGGAAAAGAATGAATTACTTAATCGACAAAAAGCCTTTTGGCAATACTTCTTACGTGGTCCACTTTGGGCTTTATGGACTCAACCTAAATTAAGTAGACTTGCTCAACGACTTTCTAATAAACCTTTACTTAATCTCGTTTCTACTTTCCTCGATGATTATATTCCTTTGATCGGTTTGTGGTTTTCTCTTGCTATATGCTTTACTTTTTGTCTTTGCGAATACTGACTTCATTTGATTTTTTTACCTTTGCTTGGGGGGTTTTGATTTCATATTCATCAGATGAGTATTATTATTACTCTTCCTGAAAGTCTGCTTAGCACATCTTATCATTTATCTACCATCAGTTTTTACTTGCATAAGCACGTAGTAACTGTTGATCTGAACTGTAATATTTATTAGACATTTTCCCTTCATATCCCAAAAACCGTTGTGTGTGTTCACCTTTCAACCACACCTATTACAGATGAGCATCACGAAATTGGGAGTCAAGATGAGATCATTTATCTCCTTGTATGTGTCTAGCGCATGAACAGTTTTCTATTTTGCTATATATATGTGTGTGTGGATGAAGAGACAATGTCATTATTACTATGAGATCAACCTGGATTGGCCTGGTCGTAACAGGCCTAAGTGGTTTAGTAATGGGAATCCTTGCGTGTCTTATTCCCAATGTGAGATGAGATGGAAATTCTTATTGATCATGATCCCATGAAGCTACTTCCAACTGATTTGCTTCAAAAGGAAGGCAGGGTGATGTTTTGATTGTGATTGAGGATACTTAGCTTAAGTTACACTAAGGTTTAAGCTAGGTTTTGATTTTGGATTACGTTGATTGGTCCGCATCGACCCGTTTAACACCACTCTCACTCGGATTTCATCTGCTTCGTCAACAGAACTCCAACCAAAAGAGAAGTCAACAGCTTTCTCCATCATGCTTCGTAGTTCTATTCTTTCCTCTACTTCTTCAATATCTCGTCGATCAATCAATAAACTCAATGTATCCAACACTCTTAAAGCGACAGCTGGCTTTAGTACTTCTTCAATTCGTAATGGTATGATTGAGTTAGAGATCGATGGAAAGAAAGTTGAAGTTGAACAAGGAAGTGCTTTAATTCAAGCGTAAGTTTTTTGAAAAGATTGGCTATCATTTTTTTATTTTTTGGCTGATTTTCCATTGATTGTGGTATATCTTTAGATGCGAGAAGGCAGGTGCTACAGTGAGTAGACTTATGACTTGTGACCCTTTAGTTTGGAAGATATTTATTAATGATTTTTCAATAGATCCCTCGATTCTGTTATCATGATCGATTGGCTATCGCTGGAAACTGTAGGTGAGTAGAAAAGTTTGGATTGGGATCTCAAGCATGACTCGATCAGTTTTGGACGCTTATGGATTGGCACTCGATTATTTCTTTCTTGGTTGAATCTAGGATGTGTTTGGTGGAAGTGGAACGTTCTCCTAAACCAGTAGCTTCTTGCGCAATGCCAGCAATGTAAATCCATCACTTTTTCTTTCTTCTCTGATCTACCGATCAATCCGAAGAGCATTAGACTGACACTGACTTGAGAATACGTGAACTATCAAAAACAGGCCTGGCTCCAAAGTCTTCACCAACACTCCTTTAGTTCATAAAGCACGTGAAGGAGTCATGGAATTCTTATTAGCGAATCATCCACTTGATTGTCCGATTTGTGATCAAGGAGGAGAATGTGATTTACAAGACCAATCAATGAGATATGGATCCGATCGATCAAGGTTTAAAGAATATACTGGAAAACGAGCAGTAGAAGATAAAGATTTAGGACCGATTGTGAAGACGGTGATGACGAGATGTATCCAATGTACAAGATGTGTTAGGTTTGCGAATGAAGTAGCCGGAGTAGAAGAGTTTGGTACTACTGGTAGAGGAAATGATATGCAGATTGGAACTTATATTGAAAGAACTTTGAATAGTGAATTGAGTGGGAATATAATTGATCTATGTCCGGTTGGAGCTCTTACTTCTAAACCTTATGGGTTTACGGCTAGACCTTGGGAATTGAAGAAGACTGAAACTATTGATGTGATGGATGCTCTTGGAAGTAATATTAGGGTCGATTCTAGAGGATTACAGGTCATGAGGATTCAACCTAGAATTAATGAGGATGTCAATGAAGAATGGATCAGTGATAAGACTCGATACGCTAATGATGGTTTGAAGACACAACGATTGACTGCACCACTCATCAAACAAGGTGATAGGTTTCAACCTGCGAACTGGACCGAAGCCTTGACAGCTATTGCCGATGGATTGAAGTCAAGTGGAGCTCACGGCAACGAGATCAAAGCGGTTGCTGGTGCTCTTGCTGATACCGAATCATTAGTCGCTTTAAAAGATCTGATCAACAAGCTCGGATCGGACAATACGACCCTTGAATCACCTCTAGGTGATCGTCTACCAGCTCATGGTGTCGATTTCAGGAACAATTACGTTTTCAATTCGACTATCAATGGTGCAGATGAAGTCGATTATCTCTTACTCGTTGGTACCAACCCTCGACATGAAGCGGCCGTACTAAACAGTAGATTCAGAAGAACTTATATTAATCAAGGATTGAAGGCAGGATTGATTGGAGAAGAATTTGAAAGTGTATTTGAGATTGAGAAACTTGGTGATGATTTATCAGCAGTCAAAGAGTTTGTTGCAGGAAAAGGAACGTTTGCGGAATCATTTAAGAAAGCAAAGAAACCTATGATTGTGATTGGAAGTGCAGTAACTGAACATGTGGATGGATCTGAGATTTATTCAACCTTGGCTAAATTTGTTGAGGAGAATCAAGCTCAACTATTGACGGATGAGTGGAATGGGTTCAATGTATTACAAAGAGTGAGATTGTCTTCTACTGTATGTGATCATGATATGTGTTTACGAAAGTACTGATCATTTTTTGAATCATTTTTGAAACAGACTGCCTCAAGTACAGCTGCATATGATATCGGATTTGTGCCATCAGGATCAGCTGGTGAAGCAACACCAAAATTCATTTATCTATTAAATGCGGATGATTTTAACCCGAATACGATCCCGAAAGATGCCTTTGTAGTATACCAAGGACATCATGGAGATTTAGGAGCAAGATATGCCAATGTATGTTTACCTGGACTTGCTTATACCGAAAAATCATCAACATGGGTCAATACAGAAGGTAGAAGTCAATTAGGTAGAACAGCAGTTTCATCACCTGGTTCATCAAGAGAAGATTGGAAGATCATTAGAGCGATTTCAGAAATCCTTCAAGTACCATTACCTTATGATGAACTAGTTCAATTAAGGAATCGAATGTGGGATGTTTGTCCAACATTAGTTAGATATGATGAATTAGTTAAACCGATCAATTCGATTGAAGCCATTCAATCACTTGCTTCATCATCCAAACTTAAAAAATCAGATTTGATAGGAGGTAGATCAGGTGGATTAAAGAAACCTATTGAAGATTTTTATTTAACTGATCCGATCTCTAGAGCTTCGGTGACTATGGCTAAATGTTCTAAAGCTTTTACTAAAGGAGAATGGAAATCACCACAAAAAGATGAGAAAACATCTGAGATGAGTTTGGCTTCTTTTGGTTAAGTTTATGTTTTTCCAAAAAGAAAAAAAATGATTATTACTCATCACTCATATATATATACGTAACATTGAAAAAGAATAGAATTAGATTGGGTGAAGTTTGTTTCAATCTTTTTTTCGATAGTTCACATATAATATGTGTTTGTTTTGTTAAAAATCTTTTTTTTTCCTGATATCGATTTCTTTACATGATTCTTTTTTCTTCTTTTTTTCTTCTTTGCAGTGTGTTTTGATTTGATACTTCTTTTAGATTGTTTTCTTTTTGTAAAGAATTATAAAATTCATATCATTTGAGTAAAGAAAATTGTGAGGTCCAAATAAGAAAAGAAAAGGAAGGAAATATCAACCGGTACATATGTATACATATATGAATTTTAAAAGTGATTCTGGTTGAGATTGGTTTATTACATAGCAATATTGGGGGAAATTGGTGTACTTGGAGAGTTCTTATGAAGAATGGGCATTTGAGAGAAATCGGTTTTTTTTTGTATATTCCAAACCCGTTTGAGAGATCTTTAGTGTTACAATTGTTGAGAGCTTGATGGATGTCAAACGCGCAATGATATGTATCATATTTTTTCTCTCGAAGAGAATTTGAGATATCAAATTGCACAATGTATACGATTGGATGATGTTCACGGATGGTGGGAAGTTGCAACTATCGACTAACTTAACTAAGCCCCCTCCTAGTGCCCGGGGGAAAAAAACGCAACAAACCCCGGAGGCACAGAGGGGACTTACATGCAATGTCCGTTTTCTTGGTGACGAGGTAAATTCACTTTTGGTGGTAAAAAAAGGTCCACCAATAATTTTTTTTTGTCTAATTATGAAATTTCTTGTATCTCCAATATGCTGTGTGCCAGCTTCTTGCGCATCTTTCCCTCCGCTCACATTTCTCCTTCTTTGTGAAATGAAAAACTTTTCATTGGGCTCCAAATGAGCTCTTTTCGAAATTGGGTTTTCTGAATTGCTGCGAGGTTACACTTGTTGTTTGTGTATGTAATCTCAAAACCGAATTTGGAATCCATCAAAAGTTGTGAGCCTTCACAATTCAAGATTGTCTGGCCCGGTCTAGACATTTCCAGCCAGCTCTTAGGACCTTCTCTTGAACCATGTCATCAAAGTACAAGTAGATTAGAGCCCGGTGATTGACAGGTAGACCAGCAAGGCTGGCTGAGCAATGACTTGGGCTACCTAGGCAGGAAGTTATTAATATTTGTTCTATCACTATATATCTTGTGTCTCCCTTTCTCGTGGCCTTTTGGCTCTTGCCCATTCATCTTTGATCTTCAATTCTTCTCAAGCACCTGCTTCCTTGATCCAATTTTTGATTACTCATTCAAATCCTCACAATCAAAACATGTCCTCTACCAACATACCAACCAGTATCCTGCCAGCGGGCAAAGAACCCCAAGAAGCCCAACACGGGGCAGAAGCACAAGAAGACCAAAACAACCCAGCAAAATCCAAAAATCGTACAGTTGACATATGTGATTATATCCAAAAGATGGGGTCAGATCCGAAAAAATTCATACAAAACTTACTCGATTCTACCAAACCTGAGATTATCAAGAAGCGTCAATTTTGGGGCACATCAAGAGGCTGGTCCTCAACCGAGAAGATCCTGCTCAGCATCAAGCGGCGAATCTTGGATGGGTCTGATCAGACTGATATAGAAAGATGGAATAATTTCATCCTGAGAGAGGTCAGCCATTTTCTTCAAGCAGAACAAAAATCTAATAATTGTGTCAAGACATTGATAATGACAAGCTCATCATTTTTATAGGCAAAGTTCATTGTCAATCAAGAAGAGCTACCACGAGGAACCGGTCCACAAGGTGCTTTCTACAGTGCTAATAAAATAGATGAATCTTTCTTGGCACCTCAAGCTGAAGAGAACCGTGCAAACCTCATTCGCGAGAGCATGCCTTTCCTTCATGCATTGATATACTCAAAAATTGAAGATTCTAACATAGCTCGTGAGAAAATTTGATTGAACAAAGCATCCAAAGAAACCAGCAAAGGGGCTGAAGTCGAACCAACTGCCACTTCAGGTCATCAGGCCGACTTTCCTGAACATCTTGAGAGAGTCTCGCATTTGGTTCCAATGGACAACACAAATTTAGACTCTCATCGACTCAGACAAGTAAGCAAGATCATCTCCTGAACACTTGATGATCCGTTCTGACTATTCCAACCCTCAAACGTAGATTCCCATTGCAGTGTTATCCATGATAGCTTTTGCTTGTAACAGACGATTCAATGGTTTGCAATTACAGAACTCCCTGTCGTTTGTTGCATGTGGAGTCTCCGATCGTGTGAATGACTATCTTCACTTCCTTGGATTGACCTCGTCAAGACAGACAGCTCTGTCAGCTATGGATACTCTTGGACTTGCCGCTGAAAAGTCTATCAAACACATGTGTTCGCTCCCTTACGCCATCCGACCTTTCTTAGTACTCGACAACATCGACATACAAGCTCGTGTGCACGATCCTCGCATCGAAGCAACCACAAAGATGTTTCATGGCTCATATGGATATCTACACGTCCTTCCAGATCATCTAGTCAAAGATATGGACCCAGCGGAAGCCAGTGTTGATAATCTTCTAAAATATGTTCGCCAAAGCCAAGCGCAGCCCTTCGAAATATCTTCTTTGCTTCCCAATGAAGAAGCAAGCATCCATTGGACTTTTGTGCTCAAATCCCAGCTCTCCAAAGCCTTCCTTAATTACGTCCTCAAAAAAGACTCGCCGGGCTATCTTTGTTCTAAAAGGGAATTACTTACATCACCTCCTCCCATTGAACCAATCGAATTGTACACACCAAATATCTACATACTGAAGATGATGAGTGCTTCTGACAACTCGGCTTCAGGAGTTGCCGAGATGCTTACCCAGTGTAACAAGCAGACCGGTCACGATTCATCCATATTCAGTGAATCCCTGCAAGTTATAGAGGGCGACATGGGCACCTGCCTCAATTTTGAATTGCTCATACGTCAACGTTTCCCAGCAGGCCACCAGGACGAGGCCTTACAGAACGTTCTCAACCTTCCCGGCCTATCGCATACATTATGGAACATTGCAAGTAAGGTTTTAAGTCACCACTGGGGTGAACCAAGGGACAGCTCAAACACTGGGTTACATAGGACTGCCGCTGCGCTTGGAATGAAAACTGACAAGCAACCATCACAGCAAGATTTCAACTCGCTGATGCAAGTTATTCATAAAGGTCACACAGCAACAATGGTGTTCTTGTTGAAGTATGTCCAAGATCTCTGTATGTATATCTCACATAAGATCTGACCTTTGCCTTTAATGTTCAGGCAAACCATCAAAGCGTTGCCAACTGGCTCTACGTTGGAAACACCCGGCGTAGCTCAATCTATCATTGACCAATGCTATGATAAGTACTTCACTCGTCAGTCTTTGGAAGATGCTTCAAAAACCGGGGACTGGACAATGTATAACATGCGTCTCAGACTTCGCGACTTTGCTTCCATTGTTGAAGGTGACAAAGCAATGAGATTGGGTGACATCGGCCGAGTGCTGTTGATGTGGAAGCGGTGGGCTGTAATGGCCCAGGGAACGTCTGGTCTCTCACATTACGCAATTCATCTTCCACGCTTCATCATGATACTCAAAAAAAACTTACCCAGCGCTTTGTCCAAAGCCATAAAACATTCGCTCCTCATTCCCACAGGTGGCCGAGATGGTCACTGGGTAGCAAAAGACTTCTATCTTGAGATTCAAAATTATTGGCTCAAGTACTTCTTTAACAACTCAGTACGCATCCCAATATATAGATAGATATGCCTTCCTTCACTAACTGACAGATTTTCTTGTTCAAAGGGTCAAGGAACCAAGATCGAGCGTCTAATGGAAAGGTTTTTGATCATTATACCTTTGGTTAGTCCAGTATCTATTTTCATGGACTTCGTAAAGCACTCGAATTGATATGGTGTGACATTCAGCTACGTAAACAAATCCAACAGTTAAAACAACGGTCAGGCCTCAAAGACATCCAGCAATCAAATCCACACATCATTACAGCGGCCTCATTGCAATCGTTCTTGAACATGGCTCAGGTTCACACGTGTGATGTAGAGAATTCAAATCACACAAGAGACACCAATGATAACGATGAAGTGGACAATATCGAAGCACTTGGAATTGCCAAACTCAAAAGCATTTTGAAGGACGAGTCAAGGAAAAAAATACCCTCTCGATTCATTTGGGGATCTATGAAAGAAAGGAACACAGATGCGGATGAATGTGTTGAATCAGACGAAGATCAGCATAATGAAGATGAATAGATCGACCATGCGAGACTGACCGTGCTTTCAAGGTCCTGTTGTCGCTGTTTCATCTTTATTTCCTTATCTCGCTGTTTCTCAAGTTCCTTTTCATGTCGTATACGCTTGCGTTCGGCAATCACTGCCTTCTTTTCTTCTTGTGCTACTTGTTTGAGTTGCTTTTGCTCTCTGTGCTCCTCTTCAATAAGTTCCATATCGAGAATCTCTTGTTCATATTGTATGATTTCTTCCTCCAGCTCTTCTTTATGCTTGAGATACACCGGAGATTTCATCCACATGTCTATACATTTGTGGACCATTTCAAACTGAGCCGGGAGTGTCTCACCTCCTAGAATCTCACGTAAAAAGACCCCATTGTGGATAGCTTCGTAGTTCTTAACAATTTGCCATGCATCTTCATGATCAAACAGGGATTCAGGTGTCATATGAGATCCAGTGGGATAAGTTTTTCGAAAAAGAAACTGGAAGTTTCCCATAAGCATCACAGTGAGGTCGATCTTGGGAACACTGAGACGTATTGGGTCGTCTTCCTTGCATACCAGCGGGATGTCGGCCGAGAACTTACGCTTAGAGGTCTTTTTTTGCATTTTGAACCAACTCTCATCTTCGGTGTGTGTAGGTGAAGTGTTCATGAGAGTATCAAAGTCTTTGGTATGTGTAGACCAAAGCAAGCGTATAATCCTAGCGCATCCTTGAGGATCGCATGTGGAACATCTACAAGGAGCCATCTCTTCAGATCGCTCGCGTTCCAGCTCGCCGAGATATTCTGGATCCAAAAGCGAGACTGGTATGTAGCCTTTCCTTTTACCTCAGTATGAAGCGAGGAAGAATATCAGAAATCAAGTATCATCAATCGGTATCAAATCATTGTTCACTCACAAGCTATCAACTGAATAAGCTACTCGAAGACAACACGATGTGACTCGAAGAGCGTGCATTCAATCTTCATCTACCATTTTGGGTCCCACTTTGAACTCTTCTGCTGAGTTCTTTCCTGGGGTCATAGTCGGCTGAACAAATTGAATAACTAGGCCATTACGACACCCACGCCCATTTGATTCGATTCAGCTGGGTCCATTGCGCCCATGATAATCACAACCCTGACTCGGGTCCAATTTTGACCCATACCGAGTGCTGAAGTACATGACAAGATTGGAAACTTCCCTTCGCCGTAATCGTCCACACGCGTAAGTTTGTCTTTATCACCTGTTACTGAGTGATAACGTCGGATAAATGTACTATTGCCATTACAAGCCCCATTGGGCACTCCACGAGCTTTACACACAACATCAATCACGGTTCCAGTAGCGTTTCGAGTGCCAGAATAAATTAACATGGGTGGAGTGTCTTCATCAGATACAACGGATGCTGGAGAAAATAGACATTCAAGATCCTCGGCCGTATTTAATGGTCGAGTGAGATACATCCGAATGAAACGGATCTCGGGTCGAGTGAGTTCGCCCTGGATCACGGTCATATTTTCCGGCAAGATATTCAGGCTGGACTGTATTTGCTCAATTGCACACGGTCGACAAGTTGCAGACATAAGGAGAACAGGGACCCCGTCGGTCGCCATGAGCTGCTGGCCGAGATTCCCATAAGATGAGCAAAATAGGCCAACGTCTTTGGGTGTAACACTACAGAAAATGTAATCTTTACCGGGCGGAAAAGAAAACTACTGACATAGAAAAATCCTGAGGCAACAGGAAAAGAGCTAAAAATCTGAAAAAATATGCACCTTTTTCCTAGACGTTGGGGCGTCATGATGAGTATTTTTTTGTATTTTACGCACAGATATTGGTTAATGTACTAACAATAAAGGCTGAAAATCATCAAAAACCTGCCTGTAACAATAGCTGAAATTTGGGTCATGATTATGAAAACAATATTTTGTGGTCTAAAAACTTCAATAACTTTGGCAATTCTGCTCCAAATAACTTGATTGTTGGTTCATTCAAAAGCTAAACCATTCTCCTTTACACTTCATAAAGGCAGCAAGGTGTTATCTTGTCATGTAAACACTCTACATTTGTTCAAACAATTCTACATGAATAGCTCTGTAGGATCTTTTGCAGACCAGCTACAGATGTGATATCACAATAATAAATGTATAGGAAAGGCCCACCTTGTTTATGAACTTGAAATTGAGTGATTTGATCCAGAACTTCAAAAGTTATTGATGTTTGAAGATTTCAAAATCCTGTCTTCAAAATCATGGGCCAAATTTCAGGTATTGTTACAGGTGGGTTTTTGATGATTTTCAGCCTTTATTGTTAGTACATTAGCCAATATTTTTGTGTAAAATACAAAAAAATACTCATTATGACGCCCCAACGTCTAGGAACAAGGTGCACATTTTTCCAGATTTTTAGCTCTTTTCCTGTTGCCTCAGGATTTTTCTATGTCAGTAGTTTTCTTTTCCGCCCGGTAAAGATTAACTTTTTTGTAGTGTAAGATGCTTTGAAAAGTGTTTTGATTTACCGCTGGCCTGAAGTCCCCAGAGATAAATGCAATGCGCTTTGTCAACCACTTTTAAGATAAGATGACGCTGAAAATCTTTGCTGTGATATAGTGTTTGAAAAGCCTCGCTATTCAGGAAAATCTCTGGACTCTGTTAGAAAAATGTGTAAGTCAATTTGTGACCAATTGTACTGTTAGATGCAATGATGACTAACCAAGTAGATGAATGAATATGCATGTTCTTTCAATTTTGCTAGCTCTGCTGGACCAAACGTGGTCTTAGTGAGATTGATTGACTTGATCCCAATTCGACTCTTCTCCAAGACCTGGCATTATCAGACCCGAGTCAGATCAGGTCAGATATTATTTTATTCAACAATATCAAAACCAAAGTATATACTGACCTGATTGTTGCCAAGAGTATCCAGAGGATTCAAAACCAAAACCACTGGTTTCTTGACCTTGGGAAACATGTGGAAAAATAACTCAGGAACTCGGCTCTTTCCGGAGCCCGTTCCAGCCAAAAGAAAAGTGTGGTCCCCGTTTATCAGGCTGACCGTAGTGTTGATCTGAACCTTTGTTCCTTCTTGATTAGGGTACTTATCTCCAAAGCGGGTAGAGACTGCTTGTTGCTGCTCCACAGTGCTGGATTGCAGCAGCTTCTTAGTAAGCATTGGTGTTTCAATCTTCAAAGCTGGGGTTGATAGACTGATGTCAAGAATGTCGGTGAGCTTGTCATTCTTTTCTACAGTACTGCGAGTTCGAATTTTTGGTTGGGACATGTTTGCACAGAACAACAAGAGATGTTTGAAGATTTTTGGGAAGGAAAATGGGCAGATGGGATGAAGGAGAACTTCAACAAGTCAAGATTCAAAAAATGGCATCGAAAAATTTGATATACCCCTGGACCCTTTTGTGGACCCTTTTGTGATTTTCACGTTTCAAATCTGGATATGTTACATAGCGTGTACTATCAGCCGCAGTCGCGACTCTGGATTTCGAAAAGAGCTCATTTGGAGCCCAATGAAAAGTTTTTCATTTCACAAAGAAGGAGAAATGTGAGCGGAGGGAAAGATGCGCAAGAAGCCGGCACACAGCATATTGGAGATACAAGAAATTTCATAATTAGACAAAAAAAAATTATTGGTGGACCTTTTTTTACCACCAAAAGTGAATTTCCCTCGTCACCAAGAAAACGGACATTGCATGTAAGTCCCCTCCGTGCCTCCGGGGTTTGTTGCGTTTTTTTCCCCCGGGCACTAGGAGGGGGCTTAGTTAAGTTAGAACTATCGAGCGTGTTGAATAGGATTCAGGAACCTTCCAGGAATGTTGTCAAAGTCCATGCTGAGTTTTGTTTCTCTGCTAATTTGCAGAATGCAAAGAATACAAAACCTGTATGAAGAGTTTCTTCTTCCGTTTCGAACACTACGGCGAGGAATTTTCTGCAAAAAAAGTCCTCTGTTGAGCCGGCCAGTACAGCTCAAAACGTGTAGACAGTAGGACTTTGTTAAGTTTGAAAAAAAGTGTAATATCTCTCAAAGCACACCCACATTTCCTAGACAGACTCCTGGACCATGTCGACTTCACCAGACAATGGTATCTCACGGAACGCGTCTAAGTCTCTGCCCACCGAACTGTTGAATCAGATCTTTACTCAGGTCGCAACTCACCTTCAAAAAGCTCGATCCTCACGTCGCAAATGCCTTCTCGACCTTCGTTTGGTTTGTAAATCTTGGTCAGATGCAGTTATACCGATAGTTCTGAGGTCCATCCGTATCAAGGATGTAGAGCAAGCACAATATCTCCTTGAGAACTGGAAGACAATCTTTTCCTACACCCATGATTTTCAACCTCGGGTCTTCCCTGTTCATCGGCTTGTATTAATCGACCTGTTTGGGGACACCGAGTCGAAGTCACACGCTTCTATCGACAAGGCTGTCGAATTGATACGACTATTCAGCGGGAACCTTCGGTCACTAACTCTGGATTTCGCCTCGATGGGTTGTCCAACTCCACTGGTGGATGCTGTGAAGATGGCCAAATCGCTCAAAAAACTTGACATACAATCTGATCGTACAGCGGGATCTTCGGACCTAGCCAATCTGTTGGACGCCACCCCTGATCTCGAAGAGTTAACGATTGGATATAGTGCCGTACCTCCCATGAAGTTTTCCGAGTCAGCCCTGACAAAATTGCGCTATTTGGACTTCCCGTATGCATATGCCGATGCCAATTACGATGACAGTAGCCGGTATGCAGACCTACGTGGGATCGTCAATATCTGCGAGAAGGCAGGATCAAGCTTGAAGATCATCAAATGCACTCCTACGGAAGAGAGCGGTAACGGACTTCTACCTGTTTTGAAAGCTGTTCAAGAAACCTTGGAAGGTCTGTTCACTCTCAGTCTGTGCCATCAATGGGACTACCACGCGCTTTTCGTGGAGTGTCCACGTCTCCGTGTGGTTGAATCACATCCCTGGGATGACTTGTACCAACACAGTGCGGACACTATTGCATCCGCGGGCTGGTTCAGTTGGCCACTACTTCAAAATGTACGAACGCTTGTCTTCCCTAACGATGACGCCCTCGATCCATGGCTTGAATTCTTTGAGTCAGCCAAAAAAGAAGAAATCTTTCAGCCTTCAGCGACATCACGTGACAAGGGCCTTTTTCGAAAATTACCCCACTTGAAACAGTGTCTATTCAAGTGCGGAGTCTCCGACAGCTTGATTGAAGACTTTGAGGCATATGGCATCGAATGTTGGATGATTGATGATGACTTGGAACCAGTTGAAATCATGGTCAGTGACTCCCCTGAAACAAATTCCCCCTCACATCGAACGCCCGTTCTCTGATGCTGTTGATCATTTATTGTGATGGATCGATAGAAATTGGATGCCCAACTCGACACTGATTTAGAAGATCAATGAAATACCCACTGTTCTCCACGCAAGATCGGGTCCATGCATTCACCACAAAAATTTGAGTATCTTGCACCCCGAACTTCAACCCTCAAGGTCCAATCTCTTCTTGGGAGATCTTATCGATGTACTTATGAGCAGCTACTTAATGTTGACTAACATGTGAACATTCAAAAGTTTTGATTTTGAACAAGCGTAAAACACGGACGAAATATGATGCAATTCTTTGTTTTTCTTGGTTAGCACTTTATAAAGAATGCGTGGGAAGGAATGAAACCTGTCGTGCTTCTTGATTTAGTGTTTCAAAGTTGGTCAACCCAAATTAATCTTTCACAATCTTGGCCTGTCTCTCAATTATGCAGCGAATCGATCAACATAGCATCCTTGTAATGTAAGGAAACAATCAAGAATGAACCAATACCAAACAAAGTTTTAAGCAAGCTTGTCACAAGGGAAATCTTTAAACATTTTGACCAAACTGCACCTATGAGCTTCCAAAGGGATAAAGTCAGGATGATGATCTGGACAAACGTTCTCATTTAAATAATGAAAATTCCTAACCACTTGATTCTCAAGACAAATTACTGATTCAACTGATGATACAAAATGTAACCAAGGTGTGTATGCAACATTTACCCAGTGTTATCAAGTAATCTTCTGTGTCTAACCAAGACGTTGCCAAAGGAAAAATTGATATTATCATTTAATTTTCTCAATTTTTTTATGATCATTTTCATAGTTTCTTTGAATACTCACAAGGTTGGCCCCACCCACAGGTAAAGTCCCTGAAAATTCAAAGAAATACTTACATTCCTCCAGTAAATTGCATACATCCTCAGCTATTATTTGGTGTTTATCTGTCTACAGCTTGACACATTATCGATCTGCATCCCATGCAGGTTTTTTCTTGATGGAGAACAACCCAATAGCAACACCATGTCCGGTAAGATTTGATGTCAACAAAGTGTCCCAGCCTTGCTCCAAGACTTGGCACATTAGTATATTTGATCCCTCTCCTTCCTAATCTATTTACTAAACAATCCACTTCCAAATGAATACCCCAGTCAACAACTCTACTATAGGGGCTGTGCTGTCTTGATTATACGCGGACTAAGTCTTGTCACACTACCTTCTCTCAATTTTTAGCCCTGCGAGCTTTATGTTCTAGGTGAAGCCATGCCCCGGCCGGAAGCTGGCACGTGATGTAACTGCAACATCAAAAGACTGCACCCATTGGGGAGGAAGAGGAAAAACAAGAGACTTGACCCATAAGCAAGATAACAAAAACAAGGATGACAATACAAAACGAGAAATCAGAAATCTAGCAGACAAGAGACTTCTAGGTATGAGTATCTATTGATTTGTGATAATATGATTCTATATACATATCCAATTTTTATGAGGTTAGCCAGATTAGTGCTGTATGAGTATAAAAAAGGGTAGGACAAAAATGAAAAGGGAAACCATTGTCTCTTTATTTGATGTATAATAACTATCCATTCTGCATCAAGGGTGGGGCTCAGTCCTATTACGCATAGGTCCTCCCGTAGGATAACCCTTAACGTGAACTTCTCCTGTAGAGACTCCATGTTCTAGAAGTTACTCTGTCAGCCCTGAGCCCTAATTACAGGACCATGGGATAACAGTACCATATGTAATATCAAAATATTGTATAAAGCCATAAGTTACATCTCAAGGCTCAGTGTCAAGAGCCACTTACACGCATGTATGTAATGTATTAAATACATAGTAAACCTAACCCAAGTGTCAACCACAAGTTGACACGTGAATAGACAAGACTCACACGCCAACCACAAGTTGACGCTGGAACTGAGACTATATAAACTCACCCTTCTTCCCTAGAATCACCCCCCATCTTTTACTACAATCACAACACAGAACCACATTTTACTTGACTCCTACTGAGAGGACCTTCAAGTACGTGGTTAGTTGTGTAGCTTGTTAAAGACTATTCTTGAGCATTACGGGTTCCATTGCTGAACACCCAAGGTACTGATTTCTACAAGCCCAGGGCATTCATTGTGTCTAGAAATAAACCTTAAAGTAGCAAAGCTTCCTCCTTTTTAAGGAGTCTAAAGTAGCCTTCAGGATCTTTGGTTTACCAAAGTGTAAAGCCTGCCCCTCGCAGTCTCACAAGGTTAGTGCACATTAGCTCTTTATTGCCCTTATATTTCCTTTCCCTTTCTCAAATCCTCTTCTTAGAGGTCAACTAGCTGTAGTCTTCACTTGGGTGTACCACGTGAAGACCGCACCTTCCTTTTCCTACTCTATTTTCTGTGAAGAGTACGCCTAACAGACGCGTACTCCTCACATACTCTGCTTCCTCAGCTTGTCCTACCACTTTAGTAAACTAACCACATACCTATGGCAGCCTACTAACTGTGTGGTTTGGGGTGGGTCCCAGAAGTCTGATATTCTGGGGTATGGTTATTTACCATAACCCAACCAGACCTCTGGGACGAGAACAGTGCCTAAGAAGTTTTGGACTTCTCAACCCCCGGGTGGTGGGTGGGTTTAATGAAAAGATTTTATATGAAAAAGAGAAATAGGACTAAAGAGAAATCCCAGAGCGCAGACTGAGAGTCAGAAGTGGAGCTATGGAGAGGTAAGTGAAAAGTTCTTACTCTCTCCCTACACCACTTCCCCGCACTCTGTGTCCCCTGTGACATATGATATCACACCTGTCCTGCGGGCCCGGGCACACTGAGTCCGGTTCAGTCAGTGTCTGTTACTTGTCCACCCTTTTGAGAATGGACTACAGATTACCTCCACAAGTTCTGGGAACTCTAACAATATATATATTTTAAAAAACTTTAAAACTGATATTGATGGAGAGAAAAAGAGAGGAGTAACTGAAATTAGAGTAATAGGTGAACTGGTCGGGGGTGGACAGGTGTCTCTGAGGATCTTAAGAAGAGACACTGTGAGATGAAGACTCTGTTGATACAATGAGTTCATAAGTTGGCCTGAAATTCCTCAGGTTGGAACTACTACTTGTTTTCCTGGGGAAAAAGGAGTCCTACAACCAACGTAGCAACAGTTGCTGTACTATTACCGGTATAGTACAGTATAGTAGGACCCCTGATAGTCCCTTTAAAGGTCCATTGTGTCAAAACAAAATTTTTGGCCCTTTCAGCTCTGAGTAGATCCCCTGGCTTTTGCCCAAAATCCCATTTGGCTCCAATTTGCCCACATACATTTGAAAAACACACCAAATTTTGCCTGATTTGGCCTCCAGGGAGACAACCAACATCCAAAACTTGGATTTGGGTATTTCAAGAGCCTTGAATGAAACAATAAAATTGGAGAAAAAGGTTGAAAAAAGAATATTCTTAGAAATGAGAATTTAGAAAGTCCACAGCCTTTAGACATTGAAAAATCTTGTTTCCGTTTGTATTTTTTGGGTGGTTAATGTGGAGCAGAAGATTCAAAAGTTGCTTGTTGCTTGAGTCAAATTGAGCTGATTGGTATGAGTGGACCCATAAGTCTGGTCTTTTCCTTGCATGGCTATATATGACATATGTACCAAGAGCTTATAGCAGATTGACTGTGGTGGATTCAGACTTTTCTTTGTAATTTAAGTGAAATGTGCTGGATTATACACACTGGATTCCCAGTGTACCTCTGCATTCTAACTACATGGACCTTGGAGTTTACTTTGTTTCTTCTGAAGACTGCAATGTCAAATTGAATAAAACAAACTTCCTTGCTTTGTTATCTTACAGATACCACACAGGTTTCAAGGACATTGGGAGAGTACTGTATCCGTGTCAAAGGGTCTGCTTTGGCTGGTAGACAATTCTTTGTGACTTTGTGGAGAGTAAAAGTGCTTAAAAATGGTGTGGCTAGGTGATTCTTGAGTTTTTGGATGGACTGAGACTGTGGCCAGTATGACCACATGGAATTCACCCTGGGAAAATTGAAGTCATGCAGTGCATACAGGTTGTGCGGTCCTGAATGCATATCTGGACTGGGTGCACCTGTCAGGCATGCAGGATTCTTCATCCTGTGCGCATTCTGTACCACTCATACCAATCACATGTATTTGAGTACACACTGAAGGGTACATGTGTCACACCCATATGTCACTCACACAATCTGTATCACACTATTCTTGTAGGCCCCACACACATCTCACTTGTATGAGTGGCAGCGGTGTGCTACATGAAGACATGTCATGTAGCTGTGACATGACCAAGGGTGTGGAAATATATTCTGTTTTCAACATGACCACACAACCTGTATTCACTACATGACCTCACTTTGCCCAGTGTGATTGCTCGTTGGAAACAATATATAAAATTTTAGAATAAAAAAGAGGTAGTTTTGGCTCCAAGGGGACAATGACCTTAAACAAGAAAAATCCAAAAATTTGGCTTTTTGGCTCCAGATTTTGCAACAAACATATTCGCTAAGAATTGAATTTTGGCTCCAGCAAGACAATGGGGCTTTGGTGGTGCTATTGGGGGTCCTAGTATAGTACCTGTTTTTGTCAGTACAGTCCCCTCCAAGAAGTTTTGCAGTGACAGAGCCAGGGTTTGTCCTGAACCTAATGATTATGATTCCTAGGCGCGGGGACGTGTACAGTACCTGGCAGACTGGTACTTTACTACGGTTCCAGAAATTCAGTATTTTTTAAGAGGTACTGTACATGGTATAGTACCTCACATTGAGGTACAATACCGCTACTGTGATTGCGGGTATCCAAATTTTAGGTACTATACTCAGTAAAGTACCACTAATAGCACCCACTATCATGAGGGTGATTTATCATAAATTTTGCGTTCCTGAGCGCAAAATTTAATCATGCGTGTTTTACCTATGTTGGTAACCACATGAAATCCACTATGGGATGATGTAACATACACCGCGTCCAAATCAGACCGTCTTGACGTCAAGACGGTCAAAAGGCCACAAATTATCAGAACTTTGTCAGAACTTTGTCACTCGACAAATGCCTTAGCAATTGCTGAGGAATACTTGATCGTGAAGCTCTCAAACTGAGGCTTGCTTGATCCTTAGGGCCTCAGTCCCAGACTCACTCTTGGCTGAGATGCTTGAATTCAAGAGTTCAACCTGTTCATTCACTTCTGAAAACGCTTTTGATCAGAATTTGCACATTGCCTATGTCCTCAAAAATATATTTGAATACCGATGAACAGGGAGGCGGTACAACGGTCTTCCTCGTGTTTCCTGATTGTCTACCCGGCTCTCGGTACCCAGCGTCTCGGGAAGTGATGCATAGAGAAAAGTCCAAACGTCTTGCAGCTCTGAGTCTGGGTCAGTCATCAAAGATCATCTCAAGATCAGTGCTTTCAGAAGTAAAATCAGATTGAACAAGGACAGAAACAATTCATTCGGATCCAGGTCTATCGAATGCATCAATGGATGGACAAGAAAGGGAAGAAAGACCATGGCAGATGGCACGACATCAGATGGTTGACCAAGAGATGGAATTAGAAGATACTAGTAATGATGATTATCCAAGGATCAAAAACATCAAAAAAATCTTTGATCAGTCTCCTAATAATAAGTTTGTTTCGATGGTTATTAAATTATTCTTCAATTGCTTGGTCAAATGAAACTTGGAGAATTGGGTCCGATAGGATTGATTGGGATCATCAAATCATACATGTTACTGGTGGCTCCGATGGTTTAGGTAGAGTAATTACTGAAACTTTGGCTATTAAGAATATGAGGTTTTTTTGGGATATTAGACCTCTTACTGCAAATCCATCTGACTCAGGTTAGCTTTTTTTGGTTATGGACTCACTATTATTCAAATCAAGCTTGTCATTGACTTTGGTTGTCTTTATCTCTAGATGTCCATCACTATGAGTGCGACATATCGGATGCGAAAGCTGTAGAAGCTGTAGCTGATCGAGTCAAAAACGAAGTAGGAGATCCAACAATCATTATCAATAACGTTGAAGTAGCGAATGGAACATTTATCATCGATCTTAATCCTAGTGAAATTCAGCGGTTTGCCACTTTGTCTTATAAACAATCTCATTGGAAATCATAACTGACAATCACGATGTACCTCTTAACCACTTTGTAGGAGCTTTGGAGTGAATATAATGGCTCATTTTCACCTCTTGAAGGCTTTCTTACCAACATTAATTGAACTAAAGAACGGATACATCGTCAGTACGATTTCTATTGTGAATCTTGATATCATCACTAAACTCATCGCGATCATCTGTTTCTACTTGTTCTTGTCATCTCAGGTCACTGTAGCTTCAATTTTAGGCACTTTTGGCGTCTGTCAAGCTTCAGATTACTGTACTTCAAAAGCAGCTGTTTTGAGTTTACATGAATCACTTGAACTAGATTGTAGGTTCCTAAATATCCTCATTCCCACTGTATCTTTCTTTATTGAGTGAACAGAAAGATAGTAACATGAACCAAAAAAATGAATATCAGTGTTCAGGGGTTCGTGCCACTTAAGTAAGTCCAGGTAGATTGGAAACCAAAATGTTTGGACCCTGTAAGTTTTATTATTATTTAAGACCTATCGAACTATTCAACTTCCAATCCAAAAAACTAATCAAATTTTGCTAGAACTTCTCATTAAGAAGTAAGACCACAGAACCCATTTTTATTCCCACAAGTTGTACCTCATGATCTAGCCAAACTGGACATTTGAACATTAGGTTCATAAGTTTATCTGAATCATCAAAGTGTTTCCTTCTTGGTTGAAAGATTTGGCTCATTGGTTTGCTGGCTCTACTGAGGCTGTGATCGATTTCAATAAGTGAAACCAGTCAGTTTTGGGGGATAAATAGATTGTGTGTGTTTTGTGCATACCTTTTTTTCAAAAAGTAGTATGAGGCACCACAAATGGCATTAGGTGTAGTTCCTTTATAATATTTGATTGCTTAAGAATCTAAAGAATGAAGATTCCGAGCGATTTTTCAGTGTGATTCATAAGAAAGTCGATGATGTTATGAATTTGAGGGAAATTTTGAACACAAAAGTCTAGATGAAATCTCTGATTCCCTCCTAAAAAAACTCACAAGATGTGGAAAGAGAATAGTTCATCACATCACTCATAGAGTTTAGAAGTATTGGAATAGATAGAACAGTGGGCAGTGAGAACCTTCTCTTTTATTCTTTTAATTTACACTTATTCATTTCATTGAGATAAAATCCTTTTGGAGTAAAAAATCAGTCCTACTCACCGTGTCCGGGACGTTCGCTCTTCGACGAGCGCGCACGACTTCCCTTTCTGCCTCAAAGGGAGTTGGTGTGCGCTCGTTGACTAGCAAATCCTACACAGACACGGTGTACTAAGCATCTAAAACTGACTTTGATTCACAACTCTGGGATGTTAATTGGATATGGGTCCACATCAAACGATACAAAAATGTTTTTTTGACAATTTCAAAGGTAATGAATCATTTCATTTTAGCCATCTTGTTTTTTGACAGAGTGGATATACATTTCATATCACCATATGCTGTTGAAACGAAAAGTACACTGGTTTTCGAATCGAATGTCTCTCTAATTTGATTACTAGTGGAGCTGTACAGTGTCCCTGGGTGGCCATACCCAGTATTGTATCTGGGCAGAGGCCTTCGGATCACCCGTCTGTTCATTGGTACACCTTATTGAGCAGCGTGACATGGTAAAACTTTTGTATCGGTCCAAGATCTCCCTCAAGCTATTTGCGCAAGATTATGCCAGCAAATAAAGCACAGGTTTTGAACCCCATATACCCTTATGATTTGTCTCTCAATGTCAATTGACAAGACCGAAACACAAAGCGTACCAGAGTCTTCCTATACACAATTTTGATTCAGTCTCTTACTTAGTGGTCTAGCTCGTTAGATCACTTGCTCATGATTTTAATGGTGCACTGCCTAGTTACACTTATTGTTGATCTTAGAGGTGTGCTCAGGTTTGGCTGAACTTGCCAATTGCTAAACAACGCAGCGGCCCTCTAAGGTAGCTCGGATCAAAGCTCTGAGCTCAGATTGAAGCTGCTGAACTGGGGCAGGGAACAATTGACACACTTTCTGAAGAACAATATGCATGCCTTCTGACTGTCTCGACGTTGAGACGGTCAGTGGCAGACGCAGTGATATGATTTAACTACGGTAAATCACTGTGAATCAACCAGGTTCACAGTGGTATGATTTTGAAATGAAATTCCTTATTTCTCATAACTTTCATCCAAAAAAATCAATCAAAACCCTGCCACAAGTTCCTTGAAAAGACAACTCAATGTCCTTTTGAAGTCTTCAAATGACAATGATGAGCAGCAGTATTATGACCAACTGGTCATCGACTGTCTCTTCAGCAGGCTCCCTCCACCTCCTGAATGCCCTCATAGTCTTTTACACACAGATCGAGGCTGTGTTGCTCGTGGTCACCAACTCTTTTGATTTGGACCGTGATGTTTTGGAGTGTGATGTCTCAATGTTGACTTTTGAGGATGAATTTTGAATTTCAAACTTTGAAGTTGTGGTTTTGAGGGTTGAGCTTTGAGATTTAAAGTTTGAAGTGTGAAGCTGTGAAGTTTAGTTTTAAGCTTTTGTAGATTTGAACAAGTGCAATGCAAAATTTGATGCAGTCGTAGGGACCGCAAGTGTAAAACAGGCCCATAGTGGACCTGTGTGCAATTTAGCGGTAGAGTTACGATAAATCACCTCGTTACCGCAACCATAGTGGGTGCTCTGAGTACCTAATTTAACCCCCTCTCCATCTCACCTTGGTTTACCAGTGAATATTTCAATTTTTTTCCTTTCATGCATTATATTTATCTTTAATAATATGTCTCTTGTCTAGTTGTTTCTTTTTTCCACTGTTCTTTAGTAATACATATACTTTATCTGTAAATATTACTTCTGTTACTCTTGAGTTTGCAGGTACTTTGACAGGTACGGTACAATACTGTATGGTACCTACCCAAGGTACAGTATAGTACCGTACCTATGTGTCACCTTGTGATACTAGTATTGTACAGTACCTTCTGATGGTAGGCAGTACTGTACTGGAGGGGCAATTTTACAGTACCTTGATCTTAGGACTGTACTGAGTACCACTGTTCCTAGTATTTCAAGACTAGGTACTGTACTACACCACGGGGGGGTTTCAAGTCAGAAAATGGACTGACCTGGCCTGAGAATGGCCTGGTCACAGCACGGCCTTGAGAATAGGCTGCAGGCCGTATGCAAGCGGCCTGCTGACCAACAACTTACAAGCGGTCTCAAGGCCGCCACCACGCTTGTTTTGAGATGGTCTGAAAAGCGCCAGGCTGCAATTCGGCCTATTGGCTGTCTTCAGACCGCATAACCAGCTTCTGATGGTCTGTTTGCTCTGAATGTTCTGAACACGGCCTGTAGACTGCCCACTTGGCTGGTCTCCAAACTACATTTTCAAACCTCTGCAAAAGAATCGAAAGTTGCCATACAAGCCCAATAAAAAAGACAAATTTGGTTCAAGTATTGTACGTGACGTGATAACAGATGAGATGTGTTCCTCAAGGATGTTTCTCAAGTCGGTTAAACAATACACTCAGCACTTGAGAAACATGTAACGCAAAAAAATCATTGGCTTTTTGCTCACTTCGTTGCCAAGGTTCAAACTTTGAGCTGTTTGCTTTTGTATATAGTGGTACAAAGGGATCAACCAGAAAAAAACATCATGTGGGTGTCTTGGGTGGACTTGGGTTGGCCTGTGTTAGATTCACCGTGTCTGTGTAGGCTTTGCTAGTCAACGAGCGCACACCAACTCCCTTTGAGGCAGAAAGGGAAGTCGTGCACGCTCGTCGACGAGCAAACACTACCCGGACACAGTGATTGGTACGCCATTGGGGTTCCACCCTTATTTTGTGTCTCTCGGCTTCACTTTCTTAACAACTTGTGAAATCTGGATTGGGGTCTGCAAAGTCCAAAAATTGAATATCCCCCTATTGAGAGACTTCAAAGTAGTTGACTTTGCTGATTGATCTTTGCATTGATTTGATAATCTGATTGAAAGGTCATTGGTGGTAAATTGACACTGGAGTCATTGTGAGATATTGCCTAGTTTTTGTGATGCATGATGAGAGTGAGATGTTTTGGTGCTGTGGCCAAGGTGAAAGTGGTACCTTGATGGAGTAAAGTAGGACAGAAATTGGGGTGTGACTTGACAATTGAGCAGGCTATAAATGTTGCTAGGCTGAAATGACGCTATGCAGCAGTCCAGTACAGGGTATGGTACATATGTAATATAGCCATGTCAAACCTGACCCAGTTGATACAAACACCCGGTACACCCAATTGCGGCTTTTGTGTATCTATTGACAGCTCTTGACAGATTACAGCCAAAAAGTCAACCAGGTGTACTGGGTTTTTGTGCAACCCGGTTTGGCTTGGACACAGCTTATGTATAGTGTGTGTGCGTTCAGAATGTAAAGGGTAACCATGCATAAAGGAAAGTAACAGTAGAGTAGGAATTGGAACCATTGACATGGATAGTTATTTAAGTATATACTAGATATTAGGCGGCTATCTGCCACATCAACTGACAACTTTCATGCTCTTGCCATTGATACTGAATCCCCTTGCAGTTTATAAACTTTTCCTCATCAAACCAAAGGCTAAGGCAATTGCTGTGGAGTTTGTGCCAAGCTGTGTTGTTTTTATTTTACATAATAGGAGAGGTGCTCCTCTACCATGATACAAACAATCATTTCTTTGTTCCTCGAATAATTGTCTGGCCCCAACCTACTTAGCTCCCACTGGTGCTGAACAATCTTATTTCAAGCTGTTGCTCAAAAGATGGAAAGTTCACATGAATTTGATTTTGTAATGAGAAGACAATGGTTGAGTAGAGTCCTCAATACACTAATGGAAATAAGCAATATAGTTTCTAATTAGGATCACATGATTCATCAATTTACCAAAATGACAGCTCAGTAATACAGAGGGTTGGAGGAGAATACTACACAAGTCACTTCAAATTTTGTTATCCTCAGTGCATTTGTTCAACACTCTGTCAATGAAACTTTCAGTTTCATTGATACCACTTCATCATTGTGTCTTTTTTCTCTTCCTTCATCTTCAACAGAAGGTAAATGGACACTGACCCAAGATATAGAAAGACTTGTTATGTAACAGGGCCAATCAAGTCAATTCCACAGGTTGAGGCTTACTGTGACCTCATGATTCATAGCTGATCTGATATTCCGCTTCTGGGAAAAGAGGGTTTATTAATCAGAGAATCATTCTAAAATGATTTCGAGATCCTCAGCCAGGAAAGGAAGATAGAGAGCAAAATAGAATGGGGTGACAACAGGTAACTGCTATTTCAGAAATGAGCTGCTCATAGATAATGGGAATGGATGTATGGGAATTAATTGATTGAAGTACACTGCCAACAAAGAAGCAAAGAACAATGCACATTCACCAACCAAAGAAGTCACATGGGAGGGGATTATCTTGAGAAGCTTCAGACATGTCTCAACTGATCTACTACCAAGTCTTTGCAAATAATTCACCTTTGGGTCTGATGCGGAATTGATTTTCTTGTGATCTGTGATCCTAACCTTGAAATTTCTACAATGTAATTCAAAGAAATCAAGCTTTTATCTGGATCTTGTTTTGCATATGAAGCCAAAACAAAAAACACCCTCTCAATGAGCCTTGAAGTGCAGCAGGATATGCTACTACCAGAAGGTTTTGAATACAATTATGTTCATTGAGTGAAGCCGCTTGAATGAAGGATGAGGAATGATATTTGTATGTATGCCAATACAACAAATCCAACTTTCCTTGACCAGATGAAACATTTTTACTTACTTTTACCATCAGAGGCTTGATACATGTAGGAGTTTGTGTTTGTTGGGCAGATCCAATGCAAATCACAAAAATGTAGTGCTGTTGGATGAAGTCACCATATATAGACATAGATTGAGAATTTTCAGAGAATGGCACTGACACATCATTGGTTCCATAAGTATCTATGGTTTTTCTGAGGCAGTTCAAAAAACATGAATTTTCATGGCTTTGACTGTGATCATACTTAATCATTTCTTTGTTTGATTGCTGGACTTTCTTGAAAGACTGTTGATTGTTACATTTCATCCAGAATTCCCAAAATCTATTCAATCAAGATATCCTCTGGAAATTTGGAAATCCTCCATCAAGTTCTTATATAAAAAACATTGTTGGATCCCAAAGATTGTGGTTTATATTCATGCAAAGAACCGTCCACTCTGTAAAAGAGTTCACCAGAGATAATTTTATGGTGCTATGTGTGGCAGAAGACAGGATGCAATTTTTAAATTGCCCTTTGTCATGAAAGTCAAAGTCTTCAAGGCAAAATATTGGTAAATTAAGATAGAGTTAAGCACAATGTACAAGCAGGCACAGAAAAGATATGAGACCCTTGGGGCCAAAAGATTATCAAAGTGCATGCAATACATCCAAGTGTGAGCCATTCTGGCCCTGGCAGTGAGATATCTTTTCTGTGTCTGCTCTTACTTTGTTAACTTCTGTCATTGTTTTATAACAACAGCATTCAACTCATGACTGTGATTGTATATTAATGCTTTTTTAATTAAGATATATTTGTGTTTGATTATAGGGCAAATTCCTCTCTTTTGATTTGGTAGAAGTTTGAGTTCATTGTGAGAAATTGGGGTAAGACAAAAACATATGTTGTCCCTGGGTCAAGACCATGACATACACATATTGAAAATTTAGGCTAACTTGTGAATTTTGTGATACCATCAATGAGAAATCCAAAGCAAGGGGAAATTCCCCACTGGAAAGCTAGGGATATCATCTTATCTTTCAATGTGCTCTTGCACAGGTCCATCATTATTTTAACCTTGATCTTTTATCACTTCATCATTTCCAACCATGTCTCTTCTACTTCTTGTTTTGTGTTTCAATATCAAAACATAAGGATCCTTCTCAGATCATATTCACTGCACACTTCTTGGCTTTTACATCAAGCCTTGATGTGGGGCTTGGCCTCAATACTCTTTATACTCAAACTTTATTTATCTATAAATCCACAGCAGGGGCATCCTGGAAACACTTACAAAAATCTTGAGACACTCATGATTTCTACATAATGGCTATTTCTACCATTTTTGTTCTATAACTCTTGGAGCCTCATACTGGTTCACCTTGATTGATAATCATCACCTGAAAGTTTTTACTTGATACTTCTTCAAGGATACATTTTTTAATCCTCTGTGTCATTACTGGGGCCCAGATTTTTTCTTGATCTTGGCCTACCAGGCTACTCCCACTTCAAGGATTTACCCCAAAAGAATCACTACCATTTCCAGTGGGAGTCATTCTATCCCTACTGGAGCCATGCAGTTCACCTCTTGATTTGTCATATTACACACACCAATGGTTACTTGTGTTGATGTACTTTCAAGACTGCCAGTGCTACCAAGGCTGCATTTACAGATTTAGGGCCAGATGATAAGATGACTATTAGTATTGGGTCAGTCAAACTTATGGGAGCGGTGCAAAATAAATCCCAGAAAGGGGGTATGTGTGCCTTTTGAGATGTCACCACAAACCCAAAAAGTCTATCACCACAAGTTCAACCATATTTGAATTGTTAAAACCAGCTGGGGGTAACTCTAAAGTTTCATTGGGACCTTATGCACTGGTAGAAGGTGATATTGGAAAATTTTCAGTAGAAAACACACCAATCAATACCCTTTTGCTCATGCATTTGGTTTTTTTTGATGGTGTGGTTGTGCAATTTTGATTTGTACTTCAGATAAGACATTTCTGCTGTCATCATTGTAGTCCCAGATCAAAATTGAAATACATAATGGCTACATCACTTTCTTTGTTGTATCCACAAAATAATAAACTTTCACAATGTTAAGCATTTTTTGAAAAACACACTGTGGCATGCCTAGTGGCGCCTAGGAACAAGGACAAGCAGAAAATTGTGCCTTCAAGTCAGGATACCTGTAGATTATAAGAAGTGATTCTTGTAAGACAAATTGTTGAAAATGATAAATTGTTTAATGTCTAAAAATGATATACAATTTGGATTGTGAATTATAGCTTCTTTTACACAGAAATAAGTTGAACAAGCTCATTTCTATGCTGAGTCCAAATGAGGTAAGCAAAAGTATTTGAAATAAAATTAACATCTTTGATAAAGAGGGAATTGCACATATAGTAGGATGGGACTATTATCATTTTATTGTCTTGAACAGATGTGAACAGAGTAGATGAACTAATAATCTTGCTCAGAACGGTCAGCAAGCTGAGCTTGACAGTGTTGAGTAATAGTCTTGGTAGGAATTATGTATCAACAATGGCTTCCATTCCATTCCAATGGAGACATAATTAGGCAGAATATGCAAAGATGGGAGACAAACCACTCTAGCCTATCAAGATTGATTGTTGGCACTTTTGTTATGGATTGCTTGGTCAGTAGTTTTATGCTTGATACAAAGACATTGGAACACTTTCAATGCCAAATGTCTTGTTCAAAATGTCCTTCTGTTTCTTTAAGCTAAGACTTCTGGAGAGGACCTACCAAATCATTTTGGTGTTCTAGATTCATTTGGCATGCTATGTATATGTACAATAGAGTGGAAAAGAGTATGAAATAGAATGAAAGTAAACACATAAGAAATGAATATTAGTAAAGATCACTACAGCTAATTATTGAGGATTAGTTTGTTAGAATATCACCTTTAGAATCTTATTCCTCAATGAGGGGAAAAGATTCTGAAGGGAAAGAGAGGGAGGTTTATGAGAGAAAACAAACATCAAATAGAAAAGCACAGACATAAATGCCAAACACTTCAATCAACAAGCCAACCCTTAATCACATCCGAATGTGGAACTTCTTCTGATGATATCTTATAAACTCAACCACTACATTTCTCTTTACCAGAATTGGATTATCATCCTTACCCAATCCGTCCAGAAGGATATGTAGTACACTCTTCATCAATGGTTTTGAAAACACTACATTGAGAATACATTATCAGTGTCAGAAGAATGTATTCTCCAACAGTATATTAAATATCATATTGATTTAGAGGGATTATGATTCTCCATCTTTTCTTCATTCAAATGTTGGAGAAGAAATTCCTGAACACCCATACTGGTAATTAAGAGGTTGCCTATGTAGTATGTACTATGCATAGACATGGCAGTTTTTAAATGAATATAGAACTGAAAGTAACATGGCTTGGAGACTTAACTTTAGTCAATGAACCTAGGCATGCCAACTTGGGCATGGCAATTTTTTTCACACTAACATAAAATATTTTATTATGATGGGGGATTTTTTTTGTTTTTCACCGTTGACCATAACTAACTCTTATCTTAACCTGGTGCTCAACTTATAGGAATCAATTCAATTGTAAACCAGATTGATGAAATCTCCTTATTTTTGACTTTTAAGACTGCACCTCGATCCCAGTCCCCACCCTCAGATGTTGTTGACGAATTACACAAGTTAAATAACCGCGGCACATATCGTTGTTGTGCAATATTCTACACGCGGGCGTCTCACCCTCCACCAATGTAGAGAACTCCCGCGAGGAGGCCTGTAACAATCACGGGAGATGAAGGGCATATCAGGATCACCATGAAGGTTTTCGAGCTGTCTTCTGGAAAGCCAGGAATTGATAACAATGACTCGATCTTCCATTCCCTAGTTGTTTCACATACCAGTTCGATTTCTGTTCGTCTTGTATTGCGAAGTCTCAAAAGTCTCCGAAAATCATGAGAAGATAATTATCTCATCAACGATCAGAGCACTGTCGTACCACTACGGGAAAGCAAAGGCATGTTACAAGTCCCATCTATAGTACGAAAATTCAAATGGGTAGAGCCCAGATTTTGAAGAAACCAGGTATGCTGGGCATAGAAAATGATTGAGATGATTATTCCGACATTTATGATTCTTCTGCAATAGGGTCGACCTTCATGCATTTAGTGGCTTGACCGTTTTTCTTGTCCAATAAAATCATTGAGGTGATATATCAGCTTGAGAATCATACAATGCTACATGACGAAAAAGAACATTACTCACAAGATCTTCAAATGCACAACAAAAACAGCCAGCTTTTTTTTGATAATCACATGACCACCGCACAACACCGTTGACTATTGTGCCACCCGTGTTTTCGGCCGCGGAAGCTATATACCGAGATGTTCGTGAGAGGAGAGGAAATTAATCTTTTGATCGGTTTGATCTAGGGTTGTGACCTGTTGAGACCTCTAGACTCACCACCCTGGACTGTTTCACAAGTATTGGACGAGGACAGTGTACTCCATGAGTTAGCACAGACAGCGTGAATACGAGTTCCTCTGCAGGGAAAAAAACTATACCATGCCATCGAAGAATCGATGCCGGCAAGGAGCAACACCAACAATGCTAAGAGATTTAATTTGTACATGCTCAAATACTTGCAATATTCTCTGTAGCTGATACGTAGAGAAAGTTTGAAAGTTTTCGAAGATGGTGCGTTAGAAGTTCGATGGGTGGACGGAATTGACTCTCTTTAGCATTACGAGCTCCCTACTTTATATGGACCCTGAGGAATCTCTACCTCAGCTCTCGTCCATTGAGTTCCTGTGGCGACTAGAGTGTTGAATCATCAGTTTTTGGGAAGCCTTGGTAGGCCTTGGTGGCTTAACTTGCTCCCGTGCACGGCAGGTTATCAGCCACTGCTCAATTAATTCTGAATACGATTTCTTGGATTATATTGCAGGCGCACTGACCCACTTGACTTCGCAAAAACCGCTGAAGCATCAAACTTAACTTATGGCTGCTGGCAAACTCATCCATATGCCCTGGCCAAAAAATCACCGGGGCAGAACCGCCTCACCGGGGTGAGAGAGAACCCGCAGAGGGGTTTCTCTTCCTTGGGACACAGGGTGGGTGTCTTGAAGAAAAAAAATCCCAATAAACCTTAGTTTGTTCAAGTTATAAGGAAATTTCAGATAGCAAGGTGCAAGTTCTGACTCACTCAAGAACTGTGATTCAGGGGAGATAGGTGATGGCATAAGCACACTTACCAATTATGTGGGCACTACATCTAGACGTGTTACCATATTCAAGATGAAAGAATCTTTCATCATGAATATGGTAGCATGAACAGTTTAACATGGCTCCAAGGAGAGCTCCAAGATGGTGAGGTCGGCAAGTTTTCAGCGCTCACGAAAACTCTTATCTACATACCCCGAGGTATTGATATTAATTCCTTCACTACGCAAAATATAAACTCCTGATATCAATCTTTCAGAGACATATGTGATCTCCTCATTCAGAACTCAGCATATGGAATTCCTAGATCTGATAGACTCATTATTTGCGTGTTCAAAAGTCTTGGTATACCAAAATTCTCCCGTTCGATCGAAATGTCCAAAAGCAACACTGAGGAAGTTTTAAAAAATGAAATTATATCCAAATGTTTGTATGAGAAAAAACCTCTGAATTCAGGGCATGATAGTGATCAGATGAAAGATTTGACACAAAGCAAGTCCAAGCAAGAATTAAGACAATGATTGAAACATAAGACAACAAAAAATGATAGGCAAGCAACGAGGAGAAGCTAAAATGTATAACCAACTATCCAGTGTTGGCGAATGATATTGTTTTTTCATCAGCTTTACTATTTTAGTCAACCTATCAGGGCTCTGATGGGGTCTTTTTGAAACCAAGTCGAGGTTTTTTTGAATCTGTTCCTACTACACCTCAACAAAGATCATGGTGGTCAGACTCCAGAGGAACAATCGAAGGCTTTTTCAAAAATCATACATTACACACAACATGTCACAACAAGTTACACCTGACCCAGTCCTCAATCACCTTTCTTTTCTTCTTCTGAAAGACGATGAGCTCGAGAGTGTTGTCATCAAGGAAAGATATCAGTACATAGTCAAAGTCAGATCTATTCATCAAAACGAGACTGATATGTATCAGTACAATTTTTTTTTCAAAAAGTATCGATTTTGCAAGTGATATCTCAAGCAAAGGAATGTGAGGATGTGAGAACACTTGTCCAAAGCAGACTCCGGAGAGAACTTCGATTGGCCCTATTGGTCTAACTCTGTTTCTATCTTTCAAAACATACGTGATCTCTTCAAGAAAAATGGACTCGAGAATCTGCTAGTCGATTCTTATCGTTCAACTCTGGATCTTACTAAAATGATTGCTCTCAAGAAAAATATTCACACCCAATTACACTAATGATGGTTCTTGCAACAACAATCAAATCGAACACCACATTCAAAAAGGTTAAATAACCCAGATTTTTTCAGATATGGTATGATAGTAAGTGGTACAATATGAAGTAAAAAGAAGCGTATGTAAGAGGTACAGAAAGAAAGCCGAGACCCAAGAACACAAAAAATGAGAAATCAAATATACAAGAACGAGGTATATAAATCAAAGGACATGAAAAACGACATTGAGAATTCCAAATATAAGACCAATTTTTGACTATCGTGACTCATGATTTTGTCCCATAAGCTTGACTTTTTTTGTAGGACTATTAGATGAATCGCCTGATCGAGGTCTTTTCATAGTAAAACCAGGAGAAGTGGAATCTGAATCATATCCTCCTGTGGGTCCAGGTTGAGCTTCTCGGTCGTCTCGAACGATACCAACAGGTGAAGCGGGTGCATACTCAACCCGCTCGTTACGAATGATATTGTGCTCCTCTTCATGAACTCGAGCCGGAAGCGGGATAAAATCTACAGGCCAAAAGGTTCGCACTGTCAGTGTGACTGCTCCAGTTGAAGACGAGGTGAGCTAAACATGACTAACCTCTCAAGGCATGATCATGATACATCAATGGGATATCGTGATCAAGTGGGTCCTCCACTAAGTTGCGGTCATCCACATCTGCATCGTACCTCGATGGTGAATCACACCTAGAGCAAAGTGATCGAGGGCTTGAAGTCCCGTTAGAGTCGTACATCGATGATGAACCAAACACAGAACAACCCGAAGAACTTGAAGCCTGCGAATCCCAGACATCCACATCTCCATGATACCTTGATACTGAATCAGACCCAGAAGAATCTGAATCAGAGCTTGAACTTGAAGGCTCCTCGTCGTAATCACATCTTGAATCACAAGAACCATTCGAATCAGAGCTTGAACTCTGAGAATCCGAGTCATCCACATTGACATCGCATCTTGAGTCACTGTAACCAATTGAATCGGAGGTTAAAGTCTGAGAGCCCGTATCACTTTGAGTGTCCAAGGGTGAAGTATCATCAGTCCCATCTTCGTGATCATCATGTTCTACTTCTTGATAAGCTAAGAATTCATCGGAGCCGTAGTACATGTCAATGGGTTGATATATTGGTGGATTGAAGTAGAAGATGGGATCGGGGATCTCAATGAATAGACGATTCCAGCTGTGTTGGGCGAGTATGGGTTGATTGGTTGTGGGAGTGAAGTTGAAGCGGCTTTGGTGATATACGTGTTGGATGGGTGGAGGATTGAAGGCAAAGATGGGAGACTCAGGTCGAATGTCTGGGATGTCTTGCGGGACAGGGAGTCTTTGAATAGCAGAAGCTCCTGGGATGGGTCGTACAAGATCCGTGTACTCTTTGTGATGTCTAGATGGAAGTGCAATAGAATCTAAAGGCCATGAAGGTCAGACCGACTGTTTGATCGTGCTCAGGTGAGGACAAGGTGAATTGAACCTGACTTACCTCTCAGAACAGGCTGACTACGCAAAGACGGTATATTATGAGTGACCCGACTTGCAGACATTGGCTCAAGAGTGTTGTTACGAAAGGGCAATGATGAAGAACGGGATAGGAAAGTTGGTGAAAATTGTGGATACATTTTGAATGAAGATCGTTGGATAGGATCAAAATCCGAGTTTGGTCTCTCCTGATATGAGCTAGAAAGGTATGATGGTAGCAGTAGGTGATTTGATGAAGGTAAGTTTGAGATGGGTCTTCCCTGATATGAGCTAGAAAGGCTTGATGGTTTCAGTAGGTGATAACTTGATTGGCAAATTTTTGATTGTAGTTTTGAAGAACGTGACGAGCGAGGTGTAAGCTAACTAAAGATACGTTGGCGTTAAGAAATGTTTGATGAGGATGATGATGTCAAAGATTATCATACCCTTCACGTAGGGCAAAAGTTAAAAGGAGAAAATTGCTTGCAAATCATCGGTCACGTCCTTATTTCTTTCTATTTAAAATTTTTCTTTCTCGTGAGTCCTGCCTTTGGAAACGTGTTGTAACGCATAAAAGAGGCTTCTCTACCTTTATTATGTTGTATCCCTCACTCATAGTTTTGGCTGACTTGATAGAAGCCTCATCCGTTGATTTCAAACAGACGCTCTCTTTTACACCCTTGCCTCCTTTGAATTTGTGCAATCTTGTGGCCAAACCTCAAAGAAGCGGGATTGATTCACAGTGCTGCTTTTCAATGATAGTACTTTGTTGATCCCGCCTCATGTTCCATTTCCTCAAACATCTCGTAAGCAACAGATGCACAATTATTTCCTCCTGACCAAACTTGTGCAGGTCTCATAATTTGCCATGGAGAATTCATGTCTTGATAGATGTGTAATGAGTTAAAAGCCTGATAGTCAAGCCATGACTGGCTACAAAGCGCTTACTGGCTCAAATCTAAGGCACAAGAGAATACAGCCTGAAGCCTGGCTCGTATGAGACATCAATTGCCATTTTTACTCCTGATTCACTCAAGAAGCGCGATTCAGGGCAGATGGGTGATGGAATATGACTGCTTACCAATCATGTGGGCCCTATTTTCAGTCTACAAAATTGTACCATATTCATGATGAAAGCTGCGCAGAATGTACTTAACATGGCTCCAACATGGCTAGGTCGACGAGCTTTGAGCGCTCACGAAGCCTGTCATCTCAATACCTCGAAGTATTGATATATATTGTCTTTTTCACTTCTCAATAGCAGGTCATAAGTTTAGAGACTCCAGTGTTGTAGTGTTTTGGTGTTGAGCTCTCCACTGATGAATCCAGCCCATCTGGGCCTCTCAAGAATCTTCTATTAAGTCAGACAAAACTATAAGTGAGGAATACAACATAACCAATGTAGAGAAGCCTCTTTTATGCGTTATACCGCATTTTAAAAGGCAGGACCACCGGCAGGACTCACGAGAAAGAAAAATTTTAAATAGAAAGAAATAAGGACGTGACCGATGATTTGCAAGCAATTTTCTCCTTTTAACTTTTGCCCTACGTGAAGGGTATGATAATCTTTGACATCATCATCCTCATCAAACATTTCTTAACGCCAACGTATCTTTAGTTAGCTTACACCTCGCTCGTCACGTTCTTCAAAACTACAATCAAAAATTTGCCAATCAAGTTATCACCTACTGAAACCATCAAGCCTTTCTAGCTCATATCAGGGAAGACCCATCTCAAACTTACCTTCATCAAATCACCTACTGCTACCATCATACCTTTCTAGCTCATATCAGGAGAGACCAAACTCGGATTTTGATCCTATCCAACGATCTTCATTCAAAATGTATCCACAATTTTCACCAACTTTCCTATCCCGTTCTTCATCATTGCCCTTTCGTAACAACACTCTTGAGCCAATGTCTGCAAGTCGGGTCACTCATAATATACCGTCTTTGCGTAGTCAGCCTGTTCTGAGAGGTAAGTCAGGTTCAATTCACCTTGTCCTCACCTGAGCACGATCAAACAGTCGGTCTGACCTTCATGGCCTTTAGATTCTATTGCACTTCCATCTAGACATCACAAAGAGTACACGGATCTTGTACGACCCATCCCAGGAGCTTCTGCTATTCAAAGACTCCCTGTCCCGCAAGACATCCCAGACATTCGACCTGAGTCTCCCATCTTTGCCTTCAATCCTCCACCCATCCAACACGTATATCACCAAAGCCGCTTCAACTTCACTCCCACAACCAATCAACCCATACTCGCCCAACACAGCTGGAATCGTCTATTCATTGAGATCCCCGATCCCATCTTCTACTTCAATCCACCAATATATCAACCCATTGACATGTACTACGGCTCCGATGAATTCTTAGCTTATCAAGAAGTAGAACATGATGATCACGAAGATGGGACTGATGATACTTCACCCTTGGACACTCAAAGTGATACGGGCTCTCAGACTTTAACCTCCGATTCAATTGGTTACAGTGACTCAAGATGCGATGTCAATGTGGATGACTCGGATTCTCAGAGTTCAAGCTCTGATTCGAATGGTTCTTGTGATTCAAGATGTGATTACGACGAGGAGCCTTCAAGTTCAAGCTCTGATTCAGATTCTTCTGGGTCTGATTCAGTATCAAGGTATCATGGAGATGTGGATGTCTGGGATTCGCAGGCTTCAAGTTCTTCGGGTTGTTCTGTGTTTGGTTCATCATCGATGTACGACTCTAACGGGACTTCAAGCCCTCGATCACTTTGCTCTAGGTGTGATTCACCATCGAGGTACGATGCAGATGTGGATGACCGCAACTTAGTGGAGGACCCACTTGATCACGATATCCCATTGATGTATCATGATCATGCCTTGAGAGGTTAGTCATGTTTAGCTCACCTCGTCTTCAACTGGAGCAGTCACACTGACAGTGCGAACCTTTTGGCCTGTAGATTTTATCCCGCTTCCGGCTCGAGTTCATGAAGAGGAGCACAATATCATTCGTAACGAGCGGGTTGAGTATGCACCCGCTTCACCTGTTGGTATCGTTCGAGACGACCGAGAAGCTCAACCTGGACCCACAGGAGGATATGATTCAGATTCCACTTCTCCTGGTTTTACTATGAAAAGACCTCGATCAGGCGATTCATCTAATAGTCCTACAAAAAAAGTCAAGCTTATGGGACAAAATCATGAGAAAATGGATGGAAGGTGATGGGTGTAAGTGGTTGTGACATGTTGTGTGTAATTCTACAATTTTTTCAAATTCCTCCACTTGATTTGACTCGCTTCGAATGTTCTTCGCCATCACACCAACTATCAACTATCAACTATCAACCTCATTCAAACAATATCGAACTCAAAATGACACAGGATGAGTAAGTTATAATCCGATCCTCTCTATCATCTTTCATGTTTATCCACAAAGGCGGCAAATTTCAATAAATAGCTGACCGACCGTTCTTTTATTCTTCCTGATGACTTTTTAGTCCCTCACTCAAGCCTCGACCACCTTCTCGAATACGTACCACAGCCACGACCAGCAACTCACGAACGAATCGTCAGTTTCAATTCCAACTCAATTTGACACGAAACATTTCTGATCATAGTTGCATATGAACGCGTTGAATGTGTTGTTTTCCAGCTCCCAGCTCTTCTTCATCTCGCGCTACCCGGCTAACCATTGGATCATCAACAAACCCTAAACCAGCAAGACCTAGCTCTCGTGTTCTCTTATCCCCACCTAGTTCGACCCCACGTTCACCTATCAAAACCACTTCAACTACACCTGCCAAAACTCCACAACGTACTTCAGGTCGACCATTATGGAACAGCGGGAAAGCAAATTGCGGTCTAAGTCTCAATTTAACAAAACCTACACCAACTAGAGCGAGCACACGAACAGCATTGCCGAGATCGAGAGGGGAAGAAGCAAGTGATATGTCATTTGCGAATACCACTTTTGTTAGTGCAGCTAGTGGATTTGATGAAAACAGAAGACCGGTTTCTCCCTCTAAATCACCTTTGAAAGGATCGCATCCATCAATACTGGCTGGTTTAGGGTTTGGAAGAATGGCGGGTAGTAAGACTCCTACTCATGAAGCCAAGAGTCTCGCATCACCAACCAAAGTGGGATTCAGTGATCGGACTATCGCTGGTTATGACCCTCAGAAAGAACCAATCAAAGTAAGCTCTCGTTTTGTTCAAGGACTTATAAGTGATCCTCATTTAAGTGAATTCTTCATCTTTAGGCTTTTCTACGTATCCGACCTCCTCATGCGTCTTCGACAGCAAGATCACCATATATTGAGATTCTCAACGATACAGAAGTTTTACTCACCCCACCTACTCAAAGTTCTGCAACGACTTTCAGTTCTCATGATTCAAGTGCAAAGTACAAATTTACACGTGTTTATGGTCCCGAAGCAAGTCAAGAAGAATTCTTTCAGGGTACTACATTACCACTCGTTGGTGACTTGCTCGAGGGTAAAAGTAGTTTGTGTTTTGCATATGGGGTAACAGCTTCAGGTAAAACTTATACCGTTCAAGGTGGACTTGATACTTCTCGTGATGGTACTTCAATGGATCCTGGACTCTTACCAAGAACGATGGACGTATTATTCAATTCGATTGGAAATCAACAAACTGAAATGAGAGTTAGACCTGCAAGACTTACTGCGGTAGAAATCGCACCACTGATACCTGATCAACCTACATTTATTCAACGTTGTAGTTTATCAAATGCACAACTTGAAACAGCTACTCAATCCATCTTGAAAGACGAAACGGTTTTACCTATCGATCCTAATTCTGAGTATGGTATATGGATCTCTTATGCAGAAGTTTATAATGAAAAAGTTTATGATTTACTTGATTCACATTCATCACTTTTGACCTCATCATCATCTGGTACTACATTTCAATCATTAACCGCCAATATAACAGAACAAGTTAAAAACGTGACTCAAATGTTACATAATAAAGCTTCTAGTTCAGGTGGAGTGATCAAAAGAAAGGCATTGATACTTAAACATGATAAACCAAATGGAAATAAATATATACATGGTTTAACTGAAATGAGAGTCAAGAGTACAGAAGAAGCTAAATTATTATTGAGACATGGTCAAATAAATAGATCAGTTTTTTCAACTTTAGCAAATCGAACCAGTTCACGTAGTCATGGGATCTTTACAATCAAAGTTTTAAGAATTTCAAAACATGTTAATGGAAATGAGAATATTTTATCACATTCCCAAGTTTCGAGACTTTCAATTGTAGACTTAGCTGGATCTGAAAGAACAAGAAATACACAAACTACAGGAGAAAGATTAAAAGAAGCAGGTAATATCAATAAATCTTTAATGGTTTTAGGACAATGTATGGAAACTTTGAGAAAAAATCAAGACTTTATACATCATTCACGTAAACAATCTATCGTACCATTTCGTCATAGTAAACTTACCGAACTATTTCAAAGTTTTTTTACGGGTGAAGGTAAAACGGTGATGATTGTAAATGTAAATCCATTTGATACTGGATTTGAAGAAAATTCTCATGTGATGAAGTTTTCGGCTGTTGCAAGTGAAGTTTCAACTATAAAAGAAGGTCGAAATTTTTTACATCCTGAACTTTTGAAGCCTATTGTTGGAAAAGTTGGTGAAGATGACGTGATTAAAGAATGTAGTCTTGTCATTGGTAAGTTTTTTTTTGACAAACTTGTTTCTTGTATTGATTTGAAAAAAAGGAATATAAGAAATGTATTGATAGATTGTTATCGTTTGCGTATTAGAAGATGAAGATGAAGATACTGAAGAGATTGAAACTGAGAATAGTGCAGAAGATGATGGATTCGTAAATCATTTATTAGATCAATTATCAATTATGAAAGTCAAGGTAATCATTTATCCTTTTCAATATTCTGAATCACAAAATGATTTTTCCCTGTTCTGATACGGTTTTTTGATATTTTGTTATAGCTTGTCGAAGCTGAAATTCGCGCTGCTATGATTGAAGCTGAAGTTAGAGAAGAAGTGATGCAAGAGTATAAAGAAAGAATGATGGAAATGGAAGAGATGTTTTTGAAAAATATGGCACTTGACGTAAGTCTTCATTCTAATAGCTATAGTCCTTTGAAATCTAGATTAGTTTTCAGTGATTGATTTTTTTGAATCTGTATCTGAATTTGAATTGGGTTTTGGTTTTTTTAGGCTCAAGAAGCTGAATTGAAAACTGATAGAAAAATTGATATTTTTAATCGAGCTACACAACATCAACATAATGAAGAAGATGAAGAAGAAGACGAGGAAGAAGATGAAGAAGAAGAATCTTTTGATGAAAAGGTTTGTACTAATCATTTCAAAAAAAAATGTCTTTCTTGTACTTATCTTAGGGTATTTTTGTTTTATAGCTTGAAGATATAGATTATGGCGAAGGAGAAGAAGAAGAAGGACCAGAAAGTCCTACACCCAAGAAAGTTGTAGAAAACGAAGAAGAAAAGAACGATGAACCTAGAAGGTAAAAGATTTTTCCTTTTTTGGTTTGATTGTTTGATAAAAAAAATTGGCTTTGGAGTAGGTATTTGATGATGGGTTCTTTGGGTTGTTTTTCTATAGGAAATTACGAAGTCGGGTTATATGAGAAATGTCTGTTTGTTCAACTTGTTTTATGAAGATTCCTATTATGTATGATTTGATCAAGTTTACTTGGATGTTGGTTTGAAATTTTAAACGATTAGTAGTTTTAAGTTTGATTTGAGATGTAGATTTCTAAAGTGTTTTTGAGTCATGTGGAGTTCTTTGATTGTTGGACGATTTTGAGGAAAGTTGAAGGTTGCTTGATGTACAACAATTATTTTTGGTTGAGAATCTTTGGATTTGTTTGTAGTCATTTTCATCTTTTACAATTTCTTTATAAAGCTTTATCTTAAATCTTTTAGCATACCAAAGTAATCCACATCAAGGTTACAAGTCCAAAAGGTACAAACTTCATCAAAATGAAAATAATCCATTTGCAACGTTGTTGGTGTTGTGTGACTTATGGAGTTGCAATGTTACAATTTGCGAGGCCAGCAAGGCCAAGAGTAAAAAAGAAATTCCGGATACGGGAATCGAACCCGTCTCTGCCGCGTGAGAGGCGGCCATACTAGCCGATATACGAACCCGGACGACGAGCGGGTACCTGCGCCGCCTCTTATATACCGGGGTAGCTCCCCTATCGGTCGGATCTTTCGGCATCGTACCTTTTACTTCTCTTCCAATACTGAGGTCGCTTGTTGAACCCGATTCAGGGATGCATCTGGAAACCTTTCATTAGCATCACATCAAAATTGAAACCTAGAATGACTTTGAAGAACATCAGCAAAGTGACGGTCTTGATTGAAGTATTTGCAAGAGGTTGTCTGTGTATACGCGACTTCACGACGTGAACCTCACGCACCTCCTTGTGAGTTAAACCTGATTATGGCTGGTTGGATATAGGAATTTAGTTCGACTGAAATTCACACTTTAGCTAGAGTGTCTCGATTGCTCTCCACTCCCCCTGTCGAACCACGAAGTAGCTTTCATTATTCGGCAGGCTTCCGAGGATTCTCGCCTTTTAAGGGCTAAGCGCACGATGCCATTCCGGGGTGGTTGTCGCTGGCTCCGCGCATCCTCAAAGTCGAACGGATACGAGGGCTCATACTAATTGATGGATGTGAATCAAAAAATATCATCAATGTCATTGCGCTAAATTCATCATGCCGTCATTGGGATTGCTAACGTTGTGGCAAGGTGTGAAATTTGGCTTGGTCGAAATGATCGGTTGGATGTTGCTGTGAAATTGGAATCTAGTAATATCCTTCAAATAGTGAGCACGCCCGCTGTCCGTATCAACTTGGTGCTGATGAAGTACACGGATCCCCCCAAAGTGTAGGCTATCGCTTCTGAAAGCAGGAGAATGCGCAACAAGGACAAGTGATTGCTGGGTTTGATCAAACTTCAGATGTGCAATTAATCGGTAACGGCTCGAGTATTGTCGAAGCTTTCTGAGGACAACGTTGATGATTCGAAAGAGGTCTCTATGAAATACGGCGAGCGCGTTGGTACGTTCCTTGGAACGCGCCGCCTATACACATGCTCCACGCCATATATGGTTATCCGTTATTGACAATCACGTTGCTGTGAGCGGTGAGCGGCAAGCGGTATATAATGACCTATTTGATTGCTCCCCTGGTCCCGCATCTCTTCAATAGTCCACCAGTGCAGTAGTCTCATCTTTCAGGACTCGCTAAATAAATTCTTTGATTCCTAGATTCAGGCATTCAAACCTCTTACATCTTATCAGTTAAGCAACAACAGATGATTGTCGTTTACGCAGAATATAGTAGCTGATTTTATACAATTCTTATAGCCTTGCAAGATGAGAACTCTACCTGTGACACTATCCTCAGATATCAGTAAACGACATAGAGTGACCCTTCCACGAAAAAATTGTCCCTACTTGTATCATGACTCCAAGGAGTGGGAAGACGTTGCCAAAGGTGGAGAAGAAGAAAAGAATTATTATCTTCAAGTGAGTATTTCAAATCCTGTCTTGATAACTTGCATTGGTAGTAAAAAGGAGAGCATGATGATGAAACTTTTGTTTCATTTTGATTTTTTAGATCTATAATCACTTATCACCTTTACAGCGAACAATCTTGACCCAACATGCAGCAGATATTAAGAGCTACTCAGATGATCGGAAATCGATTGTTTCTAAAATCAAGGCCACTCAAACTTATCGTCTCGTCTCGTCTTCGTTCAAGATGCTCTTCCGTAGCTTCCTTATGATTTGTGGTAACCCCTTGTCTTTCTTCACCCGTCCATTCAATACTATGTACATGATCCTGTACTTTGGGGTCATCTATTCCGCGTTGTTTGTGTTGAACATCGTTTTCCTTGCGGGTCAGTCCGTCTTCCTTTCGATCTTTGACATTCCAGTGTATTTCTTTCATCCTTGATTACTAAGAGATCCACTATCCAATAGCACACGTTTTGGGCGTTGGAAAGGTCTTGAGTTACCTCGGGGGCAAGTACGGAGGTGGTTGGACTATCATCAATTGGGTCGACATCAGTACGTCCATATTACTCCAAAAAGCTCTGCGGCCAACAAGGACATGAGCTGACTTCAAGCTTGACTCTATTTAGACTTGTTTGACTCCAAGAAACATATTTTTGATAACGCCTTACCTGCTTTGGGAAGTGACCTAGACGAGCACCTACTTAAAGTCGAAGAACATCCTGAGATTGTCAAAGCACTGTCTAGCAAATCTCTCGAGTTCAATGTTGACATCGCTAGAGCAATCCTTCTAATGTGCTCAATCGTGTATGAGCGTGATACGGACTTTGTTCAAAAAGCTGCTCATGCCAGTGTCTCGAAGACTCAACCTGATGAAAGCGTGTTGTTTTTGATCAAGAGCGAGGAACGCATGCTTCAAGTCGCTGATGAGTGGGGAATCGGCTTTGTTTCGGTTGCGGGTAAGTCCAAAAGCTTGATTATGTCTATTAGCTCAGAGACTGATCAATCACACTGTTTTGCTCCTTGTCAATCCCTTTTTTATATCTGAAATCGTCTTTTGACGGTATCAAGATTTTCAAAAGTTGTCGGGTCCATTTGCTGGATGTTTCTATTCTTATGAACATATCGGGCAATACGACAATCCTTACATAGTTTTGGTGATGAAAGGAACCAGTCCAACTGATTTCACTGAATGGATTCAAGATTGTGAATGCAAACTCGAATCAGCCGGTGACTTCCTTGCTACCGGTATGGCTCATGAAGGTTTCTACGACTCGCTTTTTCCATCCAAGAGCTTCTGCCATCAAGTTCTTCCTTACTGTAAGCATTGAGGTCCTGAGATTCAATCACCTTGAACGCATTCTTACGACCATCCTTTGGATCAATAGTCCGCATGATTGAGATGGTCAAAACTATTGCAGCGGAGGCATTTAAACATACTGGCAAGAAGTGTAACCTTTTTGTAGGAGGACACTCGTGAGGTTTATTGGCTGAGAAATTCTTCGTCGAGTTAATATGCTGATTCTTTATCTTTGTTCCGAAAGTCTGGGAGCTGGAATCGCATCTTTACTATATGCTAGACTGCTTGAATCTCCAGAAGATTTGGGAGACCAGATCGTCTTGCGAGACGCTTACACTTTTGGTACACCTCGAACTTGTGATGCGAGATTAGCTTCAAGAGTCGATTACAACTTGAACAAACCTATCAATCGGGGTCGGCAGATGTGGCGTGTCTGCAATCGTTCCCGCTCTCCCATCATTGGTGATTGCGTAACGCGTGAGCCTCAATCACTTATGGTATAAGGTCTAGATCATCAAATGACTTTCTTCTCTTTGATCTTGTATAAAGGTGTTCCTCCCGGCATTGCCTCTAATAGAGGCGTCCGCGGTGCGATTCAAAACGGAAGCTATTTCTCATACTCAACAATTGGTATCCAAGTAGACTTGAAGGTCAGAAATTCACTTTGCGCAGTACACTGAGATCTCTGGGAATGCTAACACATTGGAATATGTATCACCAGCCTTTCCAATCGGCTCCATTTTACTCGATCATGGAGATCCCAGCTGGTCACTGCGTGAATGTATGCAAACTTAGCAATGAAGCTGAGATCGAGTTTGCTCGCAACCAAGAGATGTCACAGATTGGCTTCCCTCAAGATATTGTTCAAATCAGTATGGAGCTTGTTGGATTATTCCTTCCGTTTTTACATGATCATTGTGAGGCTAAATTTCACTTCTGTCTTTATTGCCCGTACATTGGCTGACTATATACACCCTGTCACACTAGTCCCGGCAAGCTACATGGACGCCTTGAACAAAATGCAGGCAATGATCGGTTCACAATCCAATATTAACAAACAACAAGAATTGAAGGAGAAAGAATCGAAGCTCAATGAAAGTACTCATATGTTAAGAGATGCAGTTCAAAACAATCGCCTCGCTTTACACTCGATTTGACATCATCAATACTTTGAAGGTTAGATTCTTTTTCTCATTTGTAGCATCTCACATTTTTTTCACAGTACTACAAAAAGTGTGCGATGTCCTATCAATCGCAATTCAAAAAAGTACACCACATCCTTTTCGTTTTCATTTCTTCAATCAATTGTGTTTCAAAATTACATCCTGGCATTTGTTCCATTTGTATTTGAGTTCAATTTGAACAAAAGCGATCTAATGTCGCACAAACACACGTTTTTTCTAATCACCTGCTGCAATTCTTTGTCATTCCATCTTCGCTCATGTTTTGCTACACCTGATATATTATGTTGATTGACTTGTCCTCAAGTTTATTGTACACATTTCTGTTGAATGCATGTCTTCCATTTCGATTCACATCCATGCCGAAGCTCACTAAGAGATCAGCTTTAATAAATGTCCCCCACCAATGGATGCACTATGTCAAATGCGAAACAAGTCGGGTTTTGCTTTTGAAGTGAGTACTAAGATTTTTGGGTTTGTGCACATTCATCAGCCATTTACTCCTAGGATTACATAAGTCCACTTGCTCCGCTCTACCCAGCGGCCAGCGCATTCATTCCTTCTCAAAGCTGCTGGCACTACAACATAAAGTGATTTTCACGTGAGAAAAGTGATCACATCTAGAGCAAGAAATGATTGAAAATGCACAGAATCTGCATTATTCTGCATTATTCTGTATTAAGTCACCAATTTCAATCATCCAATGCATTAAATGTAATAATTTTTTCTGTGGGAAAATTGCTTTATGCTGGTAGTCCGGGATTTTGACACTGTTTTTGGGCAGAGAAGCTCCAATTAACAAGCCCTCTTATGTACTTTTTCCAACTTTTCTGCTTCCCCTGTCCACAAAATGTTTGAGAAATTTGACATCTTGTTCTCCATATCTTTCTACAGATCTTGGTACCTAACCTGTGGTTCAAGCTGAAAGGAGTGCTCTGGTTCTGTGACATAAAATGGTATTTTGTATGCCTCCAATGAAATTTGAAGGCTTGCCCAGAAAGCTTAGGCTGGCTCCCATTTCAAGAGGATGTAATTTTGAACTCTGACTGAAATAGCCAACATCCCACTGATCTTCATACCAACCGTTCCCATATAGGTCATAGTATTGCACATTTCACTTCTCATTCTCTTTGTTATTGTGTACATTTACCTTGTCCCAAAACCTCATGTCTTGTCAAACCTACCTCAGGCTCTAGAAGAGCCATCACTGTATAAAAAGCTATTGTTTTGTGTATTGCTGGTGTTTGCTCACTCATACATTATTGCTCTTTATCTGGCCAACTTTCAACAGGTGCTTATTGTTCTTCATCACTCGTTAGTGACTTCATAGATGCCGCAGTGCTCTTATTCATCATGAATTTGCAATTCCTATCAGGTCTGTATGTTCTTTATGCCTTTTCCCCTATAATGTTGCTGCCCATGGGAATTCAATATGTAACTTTCACCCCTGAGTACTAAACCAGAGTACCAATGGGTGATGTAGTATAATAAAAACCTAAACAGCAATTACAACTCAAGGCAGAGTTTCATGAGTCAAGTTACATATTATTTAGCATATGTCACATGTGCAGAACTTACATGAAAGAATGTGAACATACACAACTTTGATGCAAACCAAAGCTACATATACTTCACAGTTGTAACACATATGTAACAAGTCAAATGTACTTATAACCCAATAGTAACTGTGTTACTGTAATTAACCTAACCATAGAACCACAATTTGTGTGCACTTGTAGTCAAAGATATCCAAGGTTGAGACTATATAAACCCTGAAATTCTACCCATTTTCAGGAGAATCACATTATCACATCATTATTCAACAACTACACAACTTTACTTTTAGGATCGCACTATTTGGCAACCGGTTTGGAATCCTCCATGCCCGGTTTCATGGGCCAAATTTGGCCGCAGCCGCAGCAATTTGACAAACCGGGCACAAGAATTGAATTTCGGGCTCACACAACACCTAGCCGGACATCAATTTCATGAAACCGGGCTATGCTTGCACGATTCCTGCAACCTTTAACGATATCGCTCAATGCTGGGCCTGGCGCTGGCACCTGTTGATGGCATGACACCACTCACCCAATTTGGACAACCTCACTGCCTCACTCTCGAACTCGACACATTGGAAACGTTTCAAGAACCACAACCGTGCACATGCCAAAGATGGTAAGCTCCATTCTCCTGTTCACTCGTGTTGCTCCTCTCTTACTTTCTTGCCTCCGAGCTGACCAACATTCCTTCTCTAGGTGTTTGTTACCATCTCCTTCATTGGTATTACTTCTGATAATCCCTTTATTGTCCGTTTCGAACTGTGCATCGAAGTTCCCCTTATTTGGATTCGCACGCTGAACTGAGGCATCCGCAGCCAACTGTCTGCTTGCTCGGAGCTTCTCCAAACGCTTGGATTGATCAGAACTCAATTCAGGAAGTGAGATAGGTCTCAATTTGGCTGGATTGTCCAGCAATCGGGGACTTACACCGTATAGTAGTTCAAATGGTGACCATCTGGTCACCGTGCTCTTGTTGATTCAACAAGAAAATAGAGCCTCTGATAGAAATTCGGGCCAACAAGATGGGTCTTTTGAGGTGTTAGCTTTGAACAACACGTTTTCTAAGATACCATTGAAATGTTCGTTCTTGCCGTTTGTTCTAGGAATCCAACAAAAACAGGTCAAACCCGAAATGAACTTGAGACAAGTTATGTGAGAGTAACATCTGATCTATCCAGAGCCAACCAAAATTGGGATGTGAAAGTTGAAAAAAGCGGTTTGCCCGGTTTGATTTGAAATCAGAGCGGGCGACAAAAGTTTTTGAAATTTTGAAACCCGGGCATCGAATTCCAAACCGGTCGCCAAATAGTGTGATCCTTTTCAAAAACTTTTTATCTTTTAGTCATTTTTCTCTAGTCCTCCTTTTCTTTTATTTACCTCCAGATATGTTTCACTGTTTTCTTAAACACTCCCCCACTCTCTCCTTATTTTTCTCTTTCCCATCAAAGTCCAATTCACTAAAAAAATGATAAAAAGTCAACGACGATATTAGAGACCTGAATGATAAAAAGAGACCAGAAAATAAAAAGAGACCTAGAAAAGAGAAAGAGACGTGAATCATACAAAAAAAACATACAGAGACATGAACTAAAGAGACCTGAACTAGAAAGAGACCTGTGCTGGAAGAGACCTTAATTGAAAAGAGACATAAAAAAAAAGACAAGAGACTTACCAATGATTCGTTTTTAATATTATTTGTGTGATTGATAGGTGTGATTGTCAAAGATATGCCAGAACCGACTCAAATCAAGATAACCCACCAAAAGTGGATGCATAATATCAAAACAGCCGCGACCAACGCAAACACTCCTTTGTATAAAATGATGCTGGAAGGCTATGCCGATTGGTGTCGTGATGAAAATACCCCTGTTAGAAAAATTTTATTATGTGATTTGAATATTGAAGTTCCTGCAGTACAAGTTGTCAAAAAAATCATTGAGAAAACAACGGAATCATCAACCTCAAAGAATACATACAATACAACAATGATGGAAGGCGAAGACGTTGGACACACCATGACTAACCTCTCCGATTACTTTGCAAAATTGATGATTAATAAAACATCTCATGTACCAGTATCAATCTTCGATCCAAAATGGTTGATTCAGGATTCTTCTTATATGAGAACAAAAAGAACAAAATCAACTTCATGCTCATCTGATACTGTAACTTATAATGGATACCCAGTCTTAAACGAATTTCGACTTAGTTTTGCAGAATGGACAGTTCGATATGATTTAATGGTGAAATATCAGGCCATGAAGTATGATATCTTGGAAGGACAAAAGAATTCACCTATTGCACCACGCATTTTAGCTCATAAAGAAAATGTTCTACAAATCAAGATTGATTGTGATGGGAAGTGGACCCCTGCGATGCGTTATGATGTAGCGCATAGAAGAAATGTTTGGGAAAACCGTTTACCAAATGGATCTATGGCGGATGTTGGAAAGCTAAACAAGAAATTAGCGGAACAATCAGAAAAAGACGCAAAGAACTATGGAGACTATAAGTAAGAAATGACTTTCCTAGATCAAAAAAAAAAGAGGTCTAGATAGCCTAAAGAGATACAGAATCCTGATGACTTGTAATGTTTTTTTTCCTGGTTGAATTTGACAGTTATATGGATAATCCATTCGTTATCGGGGGACCTTACCAGAACATGAACCCTCTTGACGGGAAAATCAACCCATCCTGGGATACGATGGGTACCACAATTGATAATAACGCAGAGTTACTAACTGGTCGAGGTCTGATGGTTTGGGGAAACCACTCAGTTAGCGCTTTTCAACCGGAAACATCAGTAGTAAATACGAACCAAAGACCAAGTAGATACCTTGGGAACAAATTTGATCCACTTTATCATGAAAAGAAGAAGACAAGACATCAGCCTTACCCTAATAACAACACTCAATTTTATCACGATACCAGTAATCAACACCATAATCAGACTTACTATCAAAATTCATCTAACCATTACCAAAATCCCAACGATTATCACCACAATCAGCCAAACACCTTTTATCAACCCAGAGGTGGTCAATTCAGTGGAAATAGAGGTGGAGGCAATGGAGGTGGTAGAGGTGGTGGTAGAGGTAGAGGCCGCCCAGGAATAGGACCAAACAGCTTTCAGAAACTGTTAATTGAACCTGTGGCGAGCCCAGAAGTGACAACTCCAGGACCTTCCGGTTCCTAGTTAGTTTTTCCTTTTTTTGTTTTACCCCCTTAAAAGATCTCCTGCCTACCTATTCAATATTTAGAAGTAAAAAGAAGTTGTTAAAAAAAAAAAAACCCAAAAAGTTTGCTTACCAAACAAATACTGTTGTTGTGTGCGCAAAAAATGGTTACTGATATATCTTGTTATTGAATCTCCTTTTTCCATCCTTTGTTTCAAATCTTTGAATGAAACGCAATAAAGCAATGTTCCCCATTGTCCTATTGATCCACAGAGGGAGAGCAAGGTTCGACTTGAGCAACCAGCAGAAATGTCAGAAATTTACGTATTAAATGAGCCCGAAATGTTGAAGAATTGGCCCAAAGAAGTCAAAAACAAAATGAATATAGAAAAGTGGAGGCTTCTGTTAGACGAGTGCAACTTGTCAGAAAAGTGGAAAAAGGTGTGGTTGGGACTTACAAAAGGATTCCATCAAGGTATTCCACCTCACAAATTAGGAGGAAGGAAATGGTTTACACCAGATAATCATAGGTCAGCTTGGGCGGTTCAAGGGAAAATCTTGAATAATTTATTTAAAGAGAGGAAGCAAGGAAGAATACTTGGACCTTTTACCCACGACGAAGTTTACCAAAGATGGGGATTTTTCCGCTCAAACCCCATGGGCAGCGTAGTGAACAATGATGGATCCCTAAGGATGATAAACAATCTATCTTATACTAGAAATAAAAATGTACACCCAAGTCAGAAGAGGAAGAAGAACATCATTGAAGAAGATCACGGTTCAGAAGACAAAGATGAATTATATTCAGATGGAACTTACAGGTTACTTAAAACATTGAATTACGATAATGAAGAACAAGATATACCGTCCTTAAATTCGTTTGTAGATAAGGCAGACTTTGAGACAACGTGGAGTGACTTTAAAGTGGTGGAAAGTTATTTCAAAACTTTACCTGGGATAGTTTTGCTATTAGCAATCATTGACTGGCAAAAAGCGTATTGACAAGGTGCAACTCACATATCGCAATGGAAATTTCTCACCATCAAGGATTTCAAAGGAAATGTTTGGATTGATACGAGAATACCTTTTGGTGGTGTGGCAGGTTGCGGTACGTTCGGTTGGCTGGCAGACGCCTGGAGAGATATTATACAATCAACATTCAAAGTCAAAGCCATCTTTAGATGGGTAGATGATAATTTATTCATCAAATGCAAAGGAGATAATTTAGAGATGACAGACATACTTCAACTTTCTAAGGAAATGGGAGTCCAATCAAATAGCGAGAAATTCTCAGATTGGAAAGAAGAGCAAAAATATTTGGGTTTTATCTGGAATGGAAGAGATAGAACAGTTAGACTTCCAGCAGAAAAATTAGACAAACGGGTGAAAGGAATAGAGAACTTACTAGCTAAAGGAAAGAAATGTAGTAAAAAGGAAATCGAACAACTTACTGGGCAATTGAGTCATTTGACATCCATCCTACCCAACATGAAAGCATATTTGTGGAACCTGTATAGATTCGATAAATCCTGGTACAATCATAAGGCTCTGAGGGATCTCCCAGAAGGAGCATGAACGGAGTTGCAAGATTGGCTGGATGCTTTGAAGAGTTTTGACAGAATGCAGATAGTAACCGATCTAGAACCGGAGGAAATTACGTGGGTGGGCGACACAAGCACCGGTTACGGGATCGGAGTTTCGATTGGTGATAGGTGGTCTCAATTTGAGCTAGTGCAGGATTGGAAATCACATGGAATTTCACAAGGATGTCAACAACGTGACATTGCCTGGTTGGAGACTGTTGCGGTTCGCTTGGGCTTACATATGATTGAGACCCTTATACCCACCTCGAATCGTCGTTTCATAGTCTATTCCGCCAATACTACAACAGAAGCTGTAATCAACAAGAGAAAATCAAAACATAAATTAGTAAACGACGAATGGAAGCTCATACAAAAGAAACTTAAACACCTTGATTGTGACATTGCGGTTAAACGGGTGACCTCTGGAGATAACGACGCAGATCAACTTTCAAGAGGGATCAAAGAAAAAGGGAGTGAGCAGTTAGAAGTCGTGATCGAGATATCAGCTGATCTAAAGGGTTTACTCACAAGATCATAATGAACGATGAAAGAAAGATCAAAACGTTTTTGAAAAATAGAGAAAAGTGAGTTAAAAAAATAATAATAATAATAAGAAAGAAGCGAACATACCTTCTGAACAATTAGGCAGCTATGATGCTAACTTTCCCTTCCTTCTTTCCCTTCGTTCTATAACTGGAAATCGTTCAATGTGGGTGGTAGTGATATTGATTGGAAAACGAGTCATTTGAAAACACACTTATTGTGTGGAAGTTGGACACAATCAACCTTAGAGAACTATAGCTCAGCAATGTCAAAATTGGAAAAATTTGGTGAAACACATCAAATAGAACGTGAAGACTTACTACCTTTAAGTCAAGACCTGTTATGGGATTTCGCAGTGTGGGCTGGAAGGCAATATAACATTAATTTAGAAGATAGAGAGATTTTAGAACACCTACACGCAACTCATAAAGTAACAGCCGGAACCTTGCTGAAATACATAACTGGCATCAGATCGTGGCATCTATTCCACGATCTTCCATTCCCCCCCGAAAATGATAAAACCCTGAAATTGTTAATAAAAGCGTCAAGTGTAGCGGATGTCAAGGCGAAAGGGAACTCAGAAAGGAAGAAAAAGCCCGTGCAGTTAAGGCATTTAGTGGAGTTGGCGAAAGAGTTGTCAAAAGGTACTCACATCGAAAGACTAGCATTGACGGTCGCTTTAGTGGCCTTCTGGGGGATGGCAAGATTAGGTGAATTGGTGACGGATGATACAACAAAGCAAACAGTTAGAAGCATGGACCTGATTTACAATCCTGGGAAAACTTACATAGAAATAGCAATATATAACGCGAAGACCGCTAAACCAGGTGAAATCCAGTGGTTACGACTTCAAAGGCTCGATTCCTTATTATGCCCGGTAGCAGCACTAGAGCAATTATTCGACGAATTGTTTGGAACGATAAACAACCGCTGGAAGAAATACGTTTGTTTAGGAAGATGGCAGTTGAAAGCCTATCAGGTTTATCTGAGGAAATATTCTGATGAAGAAATTAAGGACGCATTGTACATTTGGGGTATTACGAAGGTAAAGAGAGATGAGTAACCGTAGGAATGAGCGGTATATGTCAAAAACATTAGTAGTACTTACTGTGAGGTGCTTGTAGGTGTTGATGGAAATTGATTGTGAAACGAGTTCATCCTTTTGTTTGTGTTATTGTTTTCTGAATGAGTTGAAGTGTGGAGATATCCTTTTGTTTGCGTTATTGTTTTTCTAGATAAGCCGAAGTGTGGAGGTAGTGAATTTCTTAGCCTGTCAAAGATGAGGTTCATTAGACTTTTGGGAGGGGAGTGAGTAGAAAGGGCAGTAGGACTCTCAGTCCGTACCGAGGTGGCTCTCCGCAGGCTCCGGACGATAAGTCCTGAGAGATGGGAGCAGAGAGCCTACTCGGCCCCAAGACCTACGGCCTGACGGCCCCCCCCAAAACACGCGAAATATGTTATTAACATGTTATAATGTATTTAGCCTAAAAGTCTCATGGCTGAAGTAGAATTTTTGTGTGCAATGCTAATGATACATTTAGAGAAACAATTGGAAATTGAAAAAGCATTAAAACTAATTTGAAATAAAAAATAAAGAAACTAGATTACGAATCTGACTTTAAATGGAATGTTACAGGTGCCCAAAGGCACGACGGTACCTGTATAATTCCACGAAAAGTCAAATGGATGAGGATAGGATAGGTAAGAACCCGGTACAGGAAAACTTTTGGTACCGGGCAGAAAAAGTATATTGCATACCAACCCCCAACGCTTTTTCCAGAGTAAGAAATATATTCATCTTTCTTACTCTTCACTTTCTTACAAACATTATCCTAAAAATCATCTCATCCAACCTTTCCTCTTCCTCGCGACAAAAAGCAAGAGGTAACAATCCTAGTAATCTTTTCTTCTTTTAATTTCAAATAATTTCTTTTGTCCATCCCACCCACCCCTGCACCCTGCCGCGCAGAGAGCCTACTCGGCCCCAAGACCTACGGCCTGACGGCCCCCCCCAAAACACGCGAAATACGTTATTAACATGTTATAATGTATTTAGCCTAAAAGTCTCATGGCTGAAGTAGAATTTTTGTGCGCAATGCTAATGATACATTGAGAGAAACAATTGGAAATTGAAAAAGCATTAAAACTAATTTGAAATAAAAAATAAAGAAACTAGATTACGAATCTGACTTTAAATGGATTTGCTTCAGAACCGCAAGATATATGGATGTTTGAAAATTTCAAAATACTGTCTTCAAAATCATGGGCCAAATTTCAGGTATTGTCACAGGTGGGCTTTTGATGATTTCCAACCTTTATTGTTATTACATGTACCAATACCTGTATGTAAAATACAAAAAATACTCATCATGACACTCCAAGACCTAGAAACAAGATACATATTTTTTGGATTTTTTGCTCTCTTCCTGGTGTCTCAGGATTTTTCTACATCATTACTTTTCTTTTCCGTCCAGTAAGGATCATATTTTTTGTAGGCTGTTGCTATTTGCAGCCCGTAGAAAAACCATGTAGGCGCTGGGCAAATTACGCCTACATGCGGGTTTGCCACAAAAAAGCGCCTACATCATAAATGTAGGCGCTGAAAGCTTTTTAAAATGACACCTACAGCACCGTGTCCGTATCCGTGTAGGAATATCTTGGCTGGACTCCTTGGAAAAGGTCTGTCCAAGGATTTGCCTCCAATCCAATGATGCCTCAGATTTCTTGACCCAAGGTATCTGGGTTAGCAGTGTTGAATTATACGCAGACTGTGGAGTTGAGGATAACAAAGAAGACATTGATGAGTATGGTTTGGTGTGAAGATGAGGACAGGTTGGTGTGAAGTATGTGGTTATTGGTTCCCTTTTTCACTATTTGGGAATAGGTCACATGTGACCCCAGTTTTTATCATTTTTTATGTCTGTGTTTATACTAGGGTGTTTCAAGAAGAGAACCGCGAGCCACATGGTCGCCGAGTTGCGGTCAGTCTTTTTAGGGTTGCTCAATCCTTAAAAAGCTTGATTGCAAAGTAACAAATGCTCTAAACTTAAGTTTTACAGCTTTGTAAATTCAGGAACACTGTCCCAATTTTTTTTTTGGCCTTGTTTTCTTTCACGTTTTCTTGTGTTTTTGTGCAGACTTTTTGTTAATGAAAGAGGAAGACCTTGAAAAAAAATACAAGAAAAAAAGGTCCTTTCCTGACCAAAAATCGTTGAAATCCAGGAACAAAACAGACAAAGAATGGAAGGAATTTTTTTTTGGCTCAATTGTCCCTGTCTTTTGAAAATTCAGGGACAGGATTTAAAACTTTTAAGGCCGATTACGAGATTGCAAAACCGTGAACCACCTCTAAAGGTGGTTCACGACCTGAAAATTTTACTTAAAATTTCTGGATCCCAAACAAAATGTAAATTATAAAAAAGGGCTGTAAAAGCACTTCTTGAACCACCCTACTGTGTCATTGTTAATCTATATAAATCTTCTTCCTCTTGACTACTCAGTTTCTTTTCCTCATCAAACAGAAACTGTAAGTGTCTCCACTTGTTCTATATTATGAATCATTGTTTTTAATGATTACTCTTTACAACAATACCTTTTTTGCTAGATTAATAACTATTTTTACCCACATTTGTCTCATCAAATATTTGCCTGCAATCTTTGTTACTTTACACCCAGGTCTATTTTATTTTTAGTTGTGTTTCAAAGCACCTATGTGGCTTGTGCCATTTAACTTACCTGTTCCTGATTACCCCAGGGTCCACTTCATTAAACAGCTACACCATCAAATCTTTTGGAGCAAAAGTCTTTTTAACTTCTCATGCCAACCAGACTACAACATTGTCAGCAATCTCATCAACTCATACCATCACCAACACCAATCAACCTTACATTACCCATGTAATGTTCAATCACCGCTCTGTTAACAAAGCCAGGTACATAGCTTCTTTGGAGCATGGTTGGCATTTCTGGACACCTCTCATGCTAGTCCATTTCATGGACTGGGACCTTGACTGAATTTTTTATGGCACTCAAGCAGCTCCTGGTGAATATGCCAGCAAAGCTCTCAAAGTTGACTACCTTAAACATTGTAAGAAAGCTGCCGGTTTTCTCTCAATGAAGTTAAGTCCTGGGAACCATCCTCTAGTCATTAATGCTACTAACATTAAGGATCTCAAAGACATCTGGGATTCCTACTTTCAGTTGTACACTTCCACCAAGGCAAGTACAGCCGTTAAAGGATTAAACGGCAGAATTCTTTGTCTGTGTGATGCACCCGAAGTAAAATCTGAGAGCCCAAAACTAGATTAAACCTGGTTTTGGACACAATTCAACAATGTCTTGCGGGAGACCTGTCACTTTTGATCGGATTTAACAGGTTTTATACTTTTGTATTAAATCTCGGTGCGACACAGATTTGTATTTTTATGCCTTTTATATATTTAGTAGCTGTAATTGTTCTTATATCATTCAAAATTTCTTCAATCTTCAATGCTCCAAGAACTCAATATTAGACTCTTTCCTCACTGAGTATTGCTGAATTACTCATGGAATGACTGAGGTCTTAGTCAAAATTGACAATGATATTAGTATCCTGGCTCATATGCTACTTTTTAAACCCTCACCTTGTTATCATTCTACTCTTGATATGTTAGTGCATACTTCCAAAACTGCTGATTCTCTTCTCACTCTTAATCATGTCTTTGAATATTTACACCTGCACTTCTCTATACAACTTCAGGGTTTCCAGATTGTGGCACATTGGGGATGCTCTAAGAGCATACATAATGGTACACCTATTGTGCGGGGTCTTGCACATTTAGGGGATCAAAACACAAAAAAGTGCTTCATCAGCTGTTGCAAAGTACAAGGTGGGGTATTGAGAGTCTCCAGATATGGAGGCCGTAGGGGCTCTTGACATCACATGCACTCATCAGAAGCACAGAACACACATTGAAAAATTTGACTCCAATAATGAGTCCAATCCACTCAACATCAGGGGAAAAGCATATGTGGTGTTGAACCAAGGTTTTTTAACCCAAGCACATGTGGATTTGAGTGCTACATTGTGCACACACTTGTCTTCCAACCCCCACATCTGAAAATCAAGGTCAGCAGTCCAATTGTGACCCCTCAAGATGAGTGACCCATTGCCAATGCTCTGAGAGCACTTATTAGAGCATCTATAGTGGTTACCCAATTGTACAAGCTTGAAAGTAGACCCTCATTCCTGGTTTTGGGTGTAGGGGGCAAAAAAACACTGAGTGCACAGAGTAGACCTAAGAATGGGGGGCAAAACTTAGTTGAGTGAATGAAATATTCTTGAAAGAAGATATCAGAGGTGTGATACAGGTGTTTTCTCAAAATTGGGTTGTACAAGGTTGTGTAATTGCCATGTGAAGTGATTGCACGTGATATCAAGGGCCCACATAGACCTTGCAGATGTGGAGGGCCCGTGTCAATATCTGGAGGCTCTCAAGGTCTCACCCCCAGTTGTGCAAGGTCCATTGCAGTTTTTTTTGATATTTCACCCCCTACATCCTTGAGAGCCCGCACAATTGGGTGAGCGCTGCGGATGCTCTTAATCCTAGGAGCTTCTCTACCAAAAATCAGTGTTGAAATTCCGCACTACCAGCATAAAGCAATTTTCCCTCAGGAAAGATGATCACATTTAATGCATTGGATGATTGAAATTGCCAACTTCAGAGTGCGGATCTGATACAGAGTCAATGCAGCTTCAATGCAGATTCAATGCATTTTCAATCATTACTTGCTCTAATTGTAATCACTTTTCTCACGAGAAAATCGGTTTATGTTGGTAGTACCGGCAGCTTTGAGACAGAGTGAATGCGCTGGCCGCTCAGTAGAGTGGAGCGAGTCCACTTATGTAACTCTAGGAGTGAATGGTTGATGAGTCTGCACAAACCCAAAATTCCTGGAACCCACTTGAAAAGCCATATCCATCTTGCTTTGCGTTTGACATAAAGTTGAACCCCCATTGCAATGGTGCATCCAGTGGTGGCCGACGTTGATTAGAGCTGATCTCATTGTGGGCTTCGGCATGGACTTGAATCGAAATGGGAGACATGCGTTCAACAGAAATTGGTATGACAGACTTGAGGACAAGTCAATCAACATAAAATATCAGGCGTAGAAAAAAATGGGCGAAGATGGAATGACAAACATTTGTAACAGGTGATTACAAAAAAGTGTCTTTATGCAACATTAAATCGCTTTTGATCGAGTTGAATTCAAGTACATATGGAACAGATGCCAGAAATGTGTTTTGAAACATAATCAGTTGAAGACATGAAAATAAACAGGATCTGATGTACTTTTTTTGCAGTACGATTGATAGGACATCACACATTTTTTGTAGTACTGTGAGAAAAAAATTGGAAGATCCTAAAAATGAGAAGAAGAATAGTACTGATGATGTCAAATCAAGTGTCAAGCGAGGCGATTGTTTTGAACTGCATCTCTTAACATATGAGTACTTCCATTAAGCTTCGATTCTTGCTGCTTCGATTCTTCTTGCTTGTTAATATTTGATTGTGAACCGATCATTGCCTGCATTCTGTTCAAAGCGTCCATGTAGCTTGCCGGAACTAGTGTGGCAGAGTGTAGATAGTCAGCCAAGGTACGGGCAATAAAGACAGAAGTAAAATGTAGCCTCACAATGATCATGTAAAAACGGAAGGAATAATCCAACAAGCTCCATACTGATTTGAACAATATCTTGGGGGAAGCCAATCTGCGACATCTCTTGGTTGCGAGCAAACTCGATCTCAGGTTCATCCCTAAGTTTGCATACATTCACGCAGTGACCAGCTGGGATCTCCATGATTGAGTAAAATGGAGCCAATTGGAAAGGCTGGTGATACATATTCCAATGTGTTAGCATTCCCAGAGATCTCAGTGTACTGCGCAAAGTGAATTTCTGACCTTCAAGTCTACTTGGATACCAATTGTTGAGTATGAGAAATAGCTTCCGTCTTTAACCGCACCGCGGACACCCCTATTAGAGGCAATTCCAGGAGGAACCCCTTTATACAAGATCAAAGAGAAGAAAGTCATTTGATGATCTAGACCTTATACCATAAGTGATTGAGGCTCACGTGTTACGCAATCACCAATGATGGGAGAGCGGGAACGATTGCAGACACGCCACATCTGCCGACCCCGATTGATAGGTTTGTTCAAGTTGTAATCGACTCTTGAAGCTAATCTCGCATCACAAGTTCGAGGTGTACCAAAAGTGTAAGCGTCTCGCAAGACAATCTGGTCTCCCAAATCTTCTGGAGTTTCAAGCAGTCTAGCATATAGTAAAGATGCGATCCCAGCACCCAGACTTTCGGAACAAAGATAAAGAATCAGCATATTAACTCAACAAAGAATGTATTAGCCAAGAAACCTCACGAGTGTCCTCCTACAAAAAGGTTGCATTTCTTGCCGGTATGTTTAAATGCCTCCGCTGCAATAGTTTTGACCATCTCAATCATACGGACTATTGACCCAAAGGATGGTCGTAAGAATGCGTTCAATGTGATTGAATCTCAGGACCTCAATGCTTACAGTAAGGAAGAACTTGATGGCAGAAGCTCTTGGGTGGAAAAAGGGAGTCGTAGAAACCTTCATGAGCCATACCGGTAGCAAGGAAGTCACCGGCTGATTCGAGTTTGCATTCACAATCTTGAATCCATTCAGTGAAATCAGTTGGACTGGTTCCTTTCATCACCAAAACTATGTAAGGATTGTCGTATTGCCCAATATTTTCATAAGAATAGAAACATGCAGCAAATGGACCCGACAACTTTTGAAAGTCTTGATACCGACAAAAGCCGATTTTAGATATAACAAAGGAATTGACGAGAAACGAAACAGCGTGATCAATCGGTTCTCACGCCAATAGACGTATTCAAAATTTTGGACATACCCGCAACTGAGACAAAACTAATTCCCCACTCATCAGCGAGTTGAAGCATGCGTTCCTCGCCCTTGATCAAAAACAACACGCTTTCATCAGGTTGAGTATTCGAGCTGCTGGCATGAGCAGCTTTTTGAACAAAGTCCGTATCACGCTCATACACGATTGAGCACATTAGAAGGATTGCTCTGGCGATGTCAACATTGAACTCGAGAGATTTGCTAGACAGTGCTTTGACAATCTCAGGGTGTTCTTCGACTGTAAGGAGGTGCTCGTCTAGGTCACTTCCCAAAGCAGGTAAGGCGTTATCAAAAATATGTTTCTTGGAGTCAAACAAGTCTAAATAGAGTCACACTTGGAGTCAGTTCATGTCCTTGTTGGCCGCAGATCTTTTTAGAGTATCATGGACGTACTGATGTCGACCCAATTGATGATAGTCCAACCACCGCCGTACTTGCCCCCGAGGTAACTCAAGACCTTTCCAACGCCCAAAACGTGTGCTATTGGATAGTGGATCTCTTAGTAATCAAGGATGAAAGAAATACACTGGAATGTCAAAGATCGAAAGGAAGACGGACTGACCCGCAAGGAAAACGATGTTCAACACAAACAACGCGGAATAGATGACCCCAAAGTACAGGATCATGTACATAGTATTGAATGGACGGGTGAAGAAAGACAAGGGGTTACCACAAATCATAAGGAAGCTACGGAAAAGCATCTTGAACGAAGACGAGACGAGACGATAAGTTTGAGTGGCCTTGATTTTAGAAACAATCGATTTCCGATCATCTGAGTAGCTCTTAACATCTGCTGCATGTTGGGTCAAGATTGTTCGCTGTAACGGTGATAAGTGATCATAGATCTAAAAAATCAAAATGAAATAAAAGTTTCATCATCATGCTCTCCTTTTTACTACCAATGCCAGACAGGATTTAAATTACCCACACGGATATAATACTTTTCTACTTCTTCTTCTCGACCTTCGACAAGGTTTTTCCACTCCTCGGAGTCATGGTACAAGTATGGACAATCTTTTCGTGGAAGGCGCATTCTATGTCGTTTACTGATACTTGAGGATAGTGACACAGGTAGAGTTCTCATCTTGGGAGGCTATAGGAAGTACAGAATCAGCTACTAAATTTGTCGTAAACGTCAATCATTTTTTGTTGCTTAACTGATAAGGTGTAAGAGGTTGAAATGCCTGAATCTAGGAATCAAAGAATTTGATTTAATTCAATAAGTCTTGAAAGATGGGACTACTGAAGAGATGTGGGATCAGGGGAACAATCGAATAGGTGATTATATACCGATTGCCTCACACAGGTTATGGTCAATACCGGGTCACCATATATAAAGTGGAGCATGTATATAGGCGGCGCGTTCCAAGGAACGTGAAAATGCGCTCGCCGTATCTCATGGAGACCTCTTTCGAATCATCAGCGTTGTCCTTAGAAAGCTTGGAAAACAATCAAGCCGTTGCCGAGTAATTGCACATTTTGAAGTTAATCAAACCCATAAATCATTTGTCCTTGCTGCACATTCTTCCGCTTTCAGAAGCGATAGCCTATACTGTGGGGGATGCATGTACTTCATAAGCGCCAAATTGATACGGACATCGGGCGTGCTCACTATGTTATAAAGATTCACTAGATTCCACCTTCACAGCAAAATGTAACCGATCATTTCGACCAAGCCAAGTCACTTCACACCTGACCAAAACGTTAGCAATCCCAAAATCGTGAAATGACCCTGACACTGACACTGATGGTATTTATAAATGCACATCCCTCCACGACATGAGTACGATGATCGCCCTCGTGTCCGTCTGAGGATGTGCGGAGCCGGCGTCGACGTCCCCGGAATGGCATCGTGCGCTTACGGCGAGAATCCTCCGAAGCCTAACGAATTTTGAAAGTTCGTGGTTCGACAGGGAGAGTCAAGAGGAATCGAGACACTCCAGCTAAAGTGTGAATTTCAATCAGACCAAATTCGCATATGTATACTACCAGCCATAATTAGGTTTAACTCACAAATCTCAAGCGGGAGTTCCGTCAGCCTGAGGTTCACGGCGTGACGTCGCGTATACACAGACACCATCTTGCAAATGCTCCAATCAAGACCGTCACTTTGCTAATCTTCTTCAAAGTCATTCGGTTTCAAGTTTGATATAATGCTACTGAAAGGTTTCCACATGAATTCTTGAATAAGGGTCAAAAAGCCGTCTCAGTAGTCTCAGTTAAGCATTGCAAGAGAAAGGTAAAGATTTGATGCCACGGTATCCGATTCCGACAAGCTGTACCAGCTCGCTCAATGGTACAGCTTGGTACAGCTTAACAAACGACTTGGTTAAGTTTGACCCTTAGGGCGCGTTCACTTGAGCAAATTCTATAGTCAGAATTGGGATTTTGCAAAATTTAAAGTGTTGGTTTGATGTCTCAAGGTATAATTTTTCCGATTTTTGCACTTGAAGGAATGCATTCTGATCAGAATGTGTTATAATGTGAGCGTGCCCTCAAAGCCTTCATCAATCCATGCTTTTTTGATCTTTAGTATCCAAGGAACCAGATCAACAAATCACACTACAGAAATCAGTAACTGTGGGATTAGCCTAAGAGGGATTTAGTTAGTTGTTACGATCTCTTGATTGATCTAGATTAATCTTATACAAAGTTCTAATTACCAAAAAATACCTCCTGTAACCTGAGATCAAAATTATCTAAACCAAAAAAAACATGTTGTTGTACATACATTTCTCTAAACTTCTTTCAAGACTTTGTCAATGGAGATATCGACATTTTGAGCCTAAGAAAAAAACATCATGAGTTCTAATGATGCAAAACATCATGAGTTCTAATGATACACAACATCATGAGTTCTGATGATAAAAAACATCATTCAGTAAGGGTACTCAAAGTAAGTATGTACGTGTACATACTTTTTGCTATATACTTTTTTTGGCGGGGAAGGCGAGGCCAAAAGTATATTTTTTTTCTTTGTCCCCGCCAAAAAAAGTATGTAGCGAAAAGTATGTAGCGCTACATACTTTGCTTTGAGTACCCTTAGTCATCATAAAAGAAACAACAGACTATACTGAATCAAGATGAATTGGAACATCCAATTTGTACATACTTCTTTGCAAGCGTTCAACTTCTACAACAAAAGCAAAAATTATCAACATAAACTCTCAAATCAAGGAGAATAAAGCAAAGAAGCTCAAAGAAACGCACCGAAGTCAAAACCAACCGCCTAAACGATGACTACCATCAAAAGTTTTTGAGCCTAATTTTGGCAAAGTAAGTGAACTAAGATATTCCGGTATAAGTTTGACTTGATCTGGATCCCCTAATTCAATATCCCAACCTAAAGGAACATCTGCTGAAACTATTGGTGGTTTTGATTGATGATTTTCTAAGAGGGAGATCATGAGATCAAATGGACTACGCAGAATTTCTTTAAATGAAAATCCTATCAAATGTTTATTGTTATGTATGACCATTCTTTCTTTTAGAGCTCAAGAGATTGGATTGGTGGTTTTCATTCACATCAAAAAGTAAGTAAATTGTGGCAACACTTTCAACAGTTTCTTGCCAGTTATCATAATAGTAGATCTTACAAAAAATTACATTCATCAAACACTCCCTTCTTGGTGCTGAACCTATGATCTGAGATCAAGTTTCAAGAAAAGTATCTAAATAAATAAACAAACGGTGTACATTTCATTCAAACTTTCAAGAGTTTATTAAATTTGAGATATCCACAATTTGAGCCTAAGAAACAAAATATCATCAGTTTTGATGAAGAGGTCAATCAAGAACACATATCAATCAATGATCATAAAGAAAAAAGACTAAACTGAACCGGGGTAAATTGGAACCTGTAATCTATACTTCCTTGCTAGTTTTCTAGATATTTCAAAACAAGATCAACAGAATTCCCTTCAAAAAGGTGATGGTGCAAGAAAATCTGAAACATACGGAGGTAAAAACCTTCCACCTAAAAGATGAATTCCATCAAAAGTTTTTGAACCCAATTTTGGCATCGTAAGTGAAATAAGCACTTCAGGTTTGAAATAAGAATGGTTTGGATCTCCTAATTCGATATCCCAACCTGAAGGAATATCTACTGAAACTATCGGTGGTCTTGGTTTGTAATTTTTTAAAATGGAGATCATGAAATCGAATGGACTACGTGGGAGGCCTTTAAATGAAAATCCTACAAAAGAATACATTGTCAGTCAATGATGATATTTTATTTTTCATTCTTTATTTTGGGAATCGATCAAGATATTATAACTTACCAAAGATTGCATCTAAGATCACATTTGAATCTTTCATAAGTTTTTTAAATTCTTCTTCTTTTGATTCTTCATTAAACTCTTTTTCAAAAGTAACCGTTTCGATTTCTAATGTTTCACATTGTTTTAAAAGTCTCTGGATTTTCAGCAAGAAGTCAATCAATCGAATAAGTTTCAACATCATCTTTGAATACCTAAATCTGATCCTGACTGTGAGAGTTGTGACTTGAAATGAACTCAACTTGGTATAAATCTTTGTTAGTTTGTTTTGGATAATAAATCGTAACTTGATAACCAAAATGAACTGTGAAACCATCAAAACCATAAATCATCAATCTCAGGTCTAATCGTCAGAAAAGGTTTTTGATTAACATACACAGATGACGAGCAGCAACTAATCCATCACCACCTTGATTACCAGGTCCACAACAAACAAGTACACGAGGATGATCACTTGGAGGATAAACTGATTGTAAGGCTTGTGCACAAGCTAAACCTGCTAATTCCATTAACTATGAAGCAGTCAAAGTCACGATCGCTTCAAATCGATCACTTATTTAGAGAAAGTGAGCAGTGCGCTTACTTGTTCTATTGTATAACCATATTCTGGACTCATAAGCTCAACATCTAAAGATTGTGCTGATGATTGATCAAGGTAAGTGATGGACATGATGTATGTAGAGATGTATGCGGTTTCAGTTGACCAGACTGCAGATGTGAATGGATGCGATGGGAGAAAGAAAGAAAATACAGTTGTGGAAGTGGTTTGTACACTTTGGTTCAACCGAATTCAATTTTCAAACAATCGATCTCATCAGACAGTCGACTCTGAGTTTCCTTTTCAATCTCAACTTGACAACCTACAACATTCAAAGAAGAAACAATGAAATCGATTCGTAAAGTAAACTTCTCTTTGCTCTCACAGCCATTCACATCATTGAAATCTTGATGGAATCTAACTTGAGATTTGCTTTTGATTTGACAGTGGGTCATACGAGTTCCATCAACTTCTGCAAATATAGGACCAGGTTTTGATGTATTAGGATTAGCTTTATCACTTTATTTAACTATCAACTTACAAATCGATTCAAACTCAACATCAAAATTAACTCAATTAACTTATGAAGGTTTAGGATCCAATGAAGCACCCAAAGATCCATATCAAAACTTAATCACAAGAGTAGCATTATACGTCTTACGATCAAATCAAATCAAATCATTTCCAAATGGATTAACACTTCATATCGAAAATCAAATTCCATTCGGACGAGGATTAGGTTCATCAGGTGCAGCAGTGATTGCAGGAGTGGAACTAGGCAACATTTTAGGAAATTTAAATTTAACCATCAATCGAAAATTAGATTATGCATTGATGGTCGAAAGACATCCAGATAATGTAACAGCTGCCTTATTAGGAGGATTTGTAGCATCTTATTTAAAAGAATTATCACCCGAAGATTTAAATGTAATCTCGATCCCATTAGCCGAAGTTTTACCTGAGTTTCCAATCGATGCCAACGAATCTTGGGGTTATGATCCTCCTAAACCTCCGATTGGGATTGGTCATTATATCAGATTAGATTGGTCTAAAGAAATCAAATGTGTGGTCATCGTACCTGAATTTGAAGTCTCTACTAGTAAAGCTAGAGATGTTTTAAAAGAGCAATATAGTAGGAAAGATGTGGTAAGTTTGATCTGTTGGTTTTCATTCAATCAAGTTTGGTTTTTTATTTTCATTGGATTTTTCATCAAAGACACTCACTCCTTGTTGTGATCCCAAAATAGGTGTTCAACTTTCAACGTTTGGCCGTTCTTACTACTGCACTTGGTAGATCACCACCTGATCCTGACTTGATTTATCAAGCAATGCAAGATCGAATTCATCAACCTTATAGAAAAACTCTAGTAAGCTTACATTTCTCCCCATCCATTCGAAAAAAACACCTAAATCATCTCAATGAAATTAACTATTGACTTTTTTGCTTTTTGTTCGAATTCAACAGATTCCAGCATTACCAACACTTACCAGTACCATGACTCCAGCCACACATCCAGGTTTATTAGGAATTTGTTTATCAGGAGCAGGTCCTACAATATTATGTTTAGCAACTGGCAATTTTGAACAGATTGCAAATGATGTAATGGAAGTTTGGAAATCAGAAGCAGGGGTGAAATGTTGGTGGAAAGTTTTAAATGTAAATTCAAATAATCAACATTCGGATTTAAATCTTGATCATGGTGGTAGTCATGTTAAAGAAATCTTTGATTAGGAAAAACAGATCAATTGAAAAAGAGTTTTTTTAGAAATTTGAAAAGCAGTTTGGATCTTAGTTTTTTGTTTCTTGAATTGGTTTGTAATCTTTGAATATAGAGTTAAAAGTATAAGATTTCTTAAAAAAATCATAGATTAAAACACCGTCAATCCAAGAGTTGATCATAAGAAGATGATGGGAGATTATAGTGTGTGAATGAGGTTTCACAAATTTCAAATCTTGAGATCATAAAGATTAGTCTTCTTTTGAATCAACTCCTGTGCAGAAGAATTCTTTAATTAAGTAAGGTCTGATTCTCAATCTATTGATGAACATTCATCTATTTGTTCTACCTTTGAACAAACTATCTGGATTAGAGTAATTCTATAAAAGATTTCACTTATATCAATAATTTTCAATTTTCTTTTTGCCAATCCTAATGACGCTAAAGGGCCGTTCAGGGTTCAAACAATGAGTTCAAGTATTGACAGGCCATTATGATGTTTCATGTTTTAGTGTAAATAAACGCTACCTAATGTGGCCTAAGTCTGACAAGCGCTGCTGGATTTTTGTTTGGGAGATGCGCCATCGGAGGCCGCTTGGTTTTGCATGGGTGAGAAAAACTCCTTGCCTCACAATCCCTGTGGTCTTGACATTGCCTGGGTGGGCTGGGTGATAGTTTAAAATGCGATGACAATCTTAAGCGGTGAGAGCTGAGATTTTTTCAGATGTGTTATGCTTGAGTGCGGAAGGTAGTCTGGTAGTGAGAATGTACACTTTCATGGGATGATTGAAGCCTTTATATCATCGGGCAATATCTCAGACGTATGCTATCAACTGGACAACTGGGACACCCTACAACCAATAGCTGAATTTTCTTGAAACGATAATGCAATCAGATCATGAAGTGCTTCTCAAGTCTAAGAATTGCAAACCACCCAGTGGGTGGTGAGCTCAATCGTGATCTCCAATCTGAACCAGAGCGAGCCGCATGCCCACATGATCCTAAGTGAATGTACTACTACCACCGTGTCATGAGTAGCTAAGCACCAAAAATGTTCGCTTGTAAGCACTCACTCGAGTTGCTTACAACTTTCATGCTGGCATCCACCTTATTAAAGGTCCATCCGCCTATAGTTGGTCATGTTGGACATATCTCCTTGTTGGCGCAAGTTTGACTTGATAGCTGTGAGTACTGCTCGCAGTGATTTGAGTTCTGAGTCGGCCTTGATAAATATCACAAACAAAGCCGCTAGTCCACTGTCCGGTGAAGAATTGAGAAGTCGTCAACTGTGCGCAGACCAGTCAAGGCGAAAGAGACATCACCATGAAGGTATATTCACTGCAAAGGAAGGGGTGACTCGATCGAACTGGACTTGAGATGATCTACTTGAATGATTTGTAACCTGTCCAGCTTGAAGACGGCCTGATATCGTTTACCGCTGTCATTGGTCCAGATCAATTCTCTCAATAGAGGCTCTTCTCAATTCCAGTCCGGGATGAACAATCGAGGAAACCACGCTGAATTACATCGCAAGATGCAACTCTTGCCCGGTTCTGATTCAAACCCTCTACTCCAAGCCCACCCAGAAGGATCATCAGCCCTTCCAAAGAAATTGGCCGACTTCTATGGCGTGTATTGCGATCATTAATGCCTCATTGTTCACGGAACGCTTTCGAGTATAAAAAGACTCGTTTACTGCCTATTCCCTACCGTTTCTCATCCAGCTCGTTTATCACACCGTACTTATCTGCTTTCCCTTCCAGCTTTTCAACTTCTCTTCATATCAACTACATCACCTTCACTTTCACTTCTTCGAACAAATATACCACAGACCTTATATATCATATACTTTCTTTGACGCACATATCATTTTTTGATTATAAAAACATTTTCATCTCTTCTCAATTATCCTTACATACTTTTAACCTACAACACTCTTTAACAATATGCAAATCAACATCGCTTACGTCGTCGCTGGTCTCCTTGTCTTTGTCTCATGTAAGTGCACAGCCCTTTTTGACTTATTCTTTTATTGTTTGCGCAACTCACTCAAGTCCCTTCGCTTCTCAGCAAACCTTGGTGAAGCCGATGCTCGCATGATGACCACGAGCTACAAAGGTGCCGAAGCGTAAGTACATTTTCTTCATCCGTATCCCAGTGCTACAAATATCTCGACTGACTCATCTTTTCCCCCTCAGTCATCGTGAACATAAACGTCAGGCCGCTGGATATGTTCCACACACCGCTACTGCTTATGGCGGCCCCAACAATTCCGCAACTGCTCAACCAGTCATGGGAAGTGGAAGCGTCCATAACGTGGCAGCGATGCCTACACCACCTATCAACACACCTGTTGAGGGCTCATCTCACCCGGAATCAGGCTCAATTGTTTCGCCGATTTCTAAAGCGCCCGTCTCTGCTACCAACCCACTGCCTCCTTACTCTTCGCGTCCTAACGCTTCAGCTGGAAGTGCCCCCGAAGCGTCCAGCCCACAAATGCTTTCGCCTACCTCTCAACGCCCTGTTGGGGGCCCATCTCCTGCGGATTCAGGTTCAATTGTTTCGCCAATTTCCAAAGTTCCCGTCTCTGCCACCATCCCACTTCCTCCTTACTCATCGCGTCCTAACGACTCGGCTGGAAGTGCTCCTGAAGCGTCCAGTTCACAAACCCATTCGCCCACCTCTCAACGCCCTGTTGGGGGCTCATCTCCAGCGGATTCAGGTTCAATTGTTTCGCCAATTTCGAAAGTCCCCGTCTCTGCCACCATCCCACCGCCTCCTTACTCATCGCTTCCTAACGGTTCAGTTGAAAGCGGTCCCACAGCATCCAGCCCGCAAATCCTTTCGCCTACCTCTCAACACCCTGTTGGCGTAGACTCACCATCATCATCAGGATCTGAAGGCCCAGTCCCAGCACCTATCAATGGCGAAGAAACTAGTACTTCATCTGGACCCCCTCATCACGGAAAGGCGCCTACCACTCCAATTACTCGGGCTTCTCCCGTTCAATCATCAGGCGGATCTCCTTTTCCTTTGTCTGCCTCTACGCCTATTCCCAACGGTGACGTCGACACATCTCCCATCCCCATCCCATCAGGCGGTCCCCGAGGGACACCGACTCCATTCGGAAGTAACGCTCCTCTTCCAACCGCTGCCCGACCGCTTATTGCACCGGGAGTTGGATTTGGAGGACCTGGACCCGTGCTCGGTGGACCGGCCTTTGGAGGCCCCGTCCCTGTACTTGGTGGACCGGCCTTTGGAGGCCCCGTCCCTGTACTTGGTGGACCGTCCTTTGGAGGTCCCATTCCTGTACTCGGTGGACCGTCCTTTGGACTCGGTGGACCAGCTTTCGGACTAGGTGGCCCATCAGAAGGATTATTCGGTGGCCCACATTTCGGTGTTGGAGCACAAGTTGGTCAAGGAGTCGGGTAAGTTATTTACTTTCTTCATCAGAAATATGAAAAGGCACTCATCAATTCTCTTTTTGAACAGTCTTGGTCCAGCAGGTGTTGGAGCTGGTGCAGGCTTTGGTGTTGGAGCTGACTTTGGGTGAGTAATTGTATATTGTATTCATATCAAATCATGAGACTGATGCTTTTTCTATAGTGTCGGTCAAGGCCTAGGTATCCCTGGCGCTGGTCTCTTCCAAGGTGTCGGTGCTGGATTCAACGCTGGTGCAGGCCTAGGTGCTGGTTCTGGATTAGGTGTTGCACCTGGTGCTGGATTAGGTGCTGGATTCAACGCTGGTGTAGGTGTTGGCGGTGGCGCTGGGTTAGGCGGCTTCCCAGGTGTTGGCTTCAACACTGGTGCCGGTTTAGACGCTGGATTTAACGCTGGCGCCGGTTTAGGTGCTGGTGCAGGATTTGGTGCTGGTGTCGGTGCTGGAGTAGGTGCAGGCGCTGGTCTAGGTGGCTTCCAAGGCGCAGGATTCAACGCTCGGCAGCATGTTGGTGCCGGTTTTGGAGCTGATGCTGATGTTGGAGCCGGTGCTGGTCTAGGTGGCTTCCACGACGCTGGATTCAATGCCCGTCAACATGTTGGTGCGGGCTTTGGAGCTGATGCTGGTGTTGGAGCTGGTGCCGGTGTTGGCGCTGGAGCTGGAGTTGGTGCTCGCGCAGGTGTTGGAGCTGGTGCTGGAGTTGGTGCTGGCGCAGGTGTTGGAGCTGGTGCTGGGTTCCATGCTGGTGCTCAGCAACATGCAGGTGCGGTATTCTAAACATCAAGCCGTATAAATTGTTTTCAAATGTATTTTCCATTATCTATCAGCTAAACTGTCAATGTGACTTGTAAATCTTACTGATATTTATGTATAACTTACTCTCAATACAAATATTTTGTACAAACCTCTGCAACAAATTTAGCCTTATCACCACTTCACATAAACCCAGCATTTCAACATTTCCATTTCTCACATGATTCAGCATACTTATGCCCTTGATCAACAGGAGTCTCTGATTAATTCTCTTTAGTTTCAATTTGGCTCGACCTCACCATGCTTGTTGCGCAGCACAGGAGGTAGTTTGATACAATACACTGTTGTCTTATTGCTACTTATACCTTACAATCCACTAACTTTTTGTCAGATAAAAACTGCCTCAAGATGATTTAGGAAATCTATAACCTGCACGAGGCATCATAACTTGTGGATTATGTTGATCAAACGCCTATCAGAGTGTTAGCCATCACCAATATTTTACTGGTATGTGAATGTATCACTTGAAGATAGCATGAAAGAGAGTCAGAGAACAACACGATGAGGTTTAAGAGTAATGTCCTCAGATATATTAGGTCAAAATCAAACAGTGAATGAGTCTCTCATTGGTGACAAAGAGATGTGTTGTTGTGAAATGGACAAGAGAGAAGCGGTACAGAGGCTGAGCTCGGACCGAATCCTTGATTGTAAAAGATGAGAATGATAGATTGGTCATCACTTTCACTTTCATTATTCAAGACTTTGACTGATCAACTTAATCAAATAAGTACTACCTTCAGTCCCTTTACCTTCATTCCTAGATCTAATCATCATTAAATCAGTTGTGTTTGGTGATAGTTCACCTGATGTTCAAATCATCGTCATTCATGATATCAGTAAGGCTTTCTTTGACGCTGATATTCTTCCCTGCATGTTATTTTGGTTGTTTTGCAGTGGTGCTGCCAGAAAGTCCCATGATTTTGTTGGTTTCAGAGTCAATTTCAATGACAATGGCATCATCTACATTGTTGATGACAATGACAATGACTTTGGCTTTGTTGTAAGATATACCTATTACTGAGTCCAATGTTCTTTTGGCCATTTCTAAATATACAAATGTTTATATGATGATATCTTGAACAAATCCCTTACAACACTTCCACATTGGTACAAAACCGCTCAGCCTTGGATTATACATCAAGCCGTACGTTGGTTGGTTCTCACAAAGAAAGGCCGCCGAGTCACGCATAAGCTCCCCCAATTAAGCTCCACCCTGAGCCTACTAGTACCAACGCTGAGACAGCTACGCTACAACACGCTACCATGCATTTTGTATGTAGCGTAACTGTATGCAGTTAACACAGATCTGACCTTTATGATAGTGTAACTTGTCAAGTTACACTACACTACAAGCTACTGTAGCTGAGTTTTGTGCCTCTACACTACGCTACAGGGCCAAAATTTGGTTAGCTGGAGATTTTCTGGGACTCTGCGTAGGGTAGCTGGGATTCATTCATGCTAATTCCTGCTAGCTGTAGCTTTGCGGCATGTTTCTAGCTACACTATCTTGCGCTATCAGCTACGGGTAGATTAGCTGTCTCGGTGTTGCTAGTACTGTGCAGGCCAAGAGCAGAGAAGCCATATACGACTTTTGATCCGCAGAAAAAAAAACCTTGTGAAAAGGTAATCAACTTGTATTGTATGATTCAGTTGAATGGTAAATCAGCCCACATGTTCAGCAAGTGAGATTGCAGTAAATTTTCAAGAATTTAATTGACGGTGTTCTGACTAGTTTAGCTTTTTGAGTCCTTTTTGACATCGATTTGGTGAATTGAATTCAGTATTGGTTGTATGAAAAGCCTTATCTTGTATAGTTTGTTGAGGCAGTACATCACAGCTTTATCTTACACAACAGGGAACCTCTATGCAACCCAGCTTTCTATGTGATTCAAGGGATCCTAATCTATAGACTTTGAAGATGAGATGTACATCCCAAGCATTTCAATCAAGTGAGTTCTGACTTGTTTAGTTCTTTGTGTATCACTCTTTTGACTCGGATCAAGTGTTTTTTATATGGAAATCATTATCTCTCCACTAATTTGTCGAGCTTGAAGTAGTGAGGCATGAATACATCAAGATCTCACATCATATGAATCCCTCATGTGGTCCCACTTTGTATGCAATGAATGCGACCTTCATCTAAGACTTTTGAAGATAAGGCGGGTCATAACCTTTCCACAATTCAAAGTTGGTGCTTTCTGACTTGTTTAGCTTCTTGAATATCAATCTGTTGATTTTGATAGATTATTTCTATACAAAAATTCCCCCGGTGAAAAATCCTTATCAAAATGAATTAAAACCTCAAAAGCAAAATTGATGAAGAAGGGTTTCAAGTGGATTCCCGACAAGATCCTACATTATAAAGGAAGGCCATTTGTAAATTGCTTCAGTTTAACTTAGTTTCCACTTGTTTTCATTCTGGTCAACCAACACAAAATAGCTTGTGCTTTACATCTAAATATGATTAAGAGAATGCTCTGGGGTTTGATCCATTTATCAATGGTTGTCGGCTCATTTATATACAACCCTGCAACCCACAGCGGTGAGTTTTGTGGTAGACTTAAAACTATTGGGTTCAGTAACTTACTGTGAAATCTAGCATCATGGACCCAGGATGCCTCTAATGCTGCTAACATATTCTTAACAGAACTTGTTGCTGTTCCTGGCACGCATGACATAAGAGCCCTGAAGGGTATTCTTTCTGAAGAGGCAATCATCTATTCAAATGGAGAACTGGTGAATTATGAAAGTGAGTTTTTTTGTAATGACCAAAAATGATTACATTCTCATTTCAATCAATTCATAGGTCTTGTGAAAGCTGATGAGTAAATGCTATCACCTCCACATTTAATTTGTGCAACATTTATCATCAATGGATAGACTTTGTGCATATGGCTCAACAAGGCTTATACTACAACTGGGGTTGGAATGAATTAGAAACATGTAAGCCCAGAAATTGAATGGGTACTCACAATCTCACCAGAATCATTCAATAGTTATGTGAGGTTCTTTGCTTGATATAGTTTCCAAGAATGAGGGAGGAAATGCACTTTTGGTCATGTGCAAAGGCGATGCAGGTCGATATTTATTGGATTTTGTCTATGACAGGACAAAACAACAAATTCTCAAGGTGGATTTAACAATGAATTATGTGAGTTTTTTTCATGCAAAATTTGATGACTTACTTTTTATCAATATATGCTGATTTGAATTTGTACATCAAGGGGTCTTGAGTTTGATTATTTTTGACATACTTTTGAGAAAATGGGGTAAATTATCCAAAAAAGAAGCTTTGTAAGACCAACATATTTATAATCTGGGACCCCCAACAAGGTATTCTGTTTGAAAACAATGACAAATATTCTACAACCACAGACAAGTTGTTGTAGTGTATGACAACATAAACAAGCAAACTTGAAACGTCTTATTTCATTGGCATTTGACACCAATAGTGTGAAACCTTGTGTATTTCTGCCTTCAAGGGATACAAATTGTCATATCTTATCAAACACTCAGGTGTCATCTTAACCTGGTTTCCACAATGACAAAAACATGGTGTGTGAAACTGTTTGATTTATTTTACAAAGTGTGCAAAGGTTACCTGCCTTAGACAAGGGACAAGATGTAATCACATCCTGTTGAGGTGTCTCCCCTACATGTTATTTTGGTTGTTTTGTAGTGGTGCTGCCAGAGAGTTCCATGATTTTGGTGGTTTCAGAGTCACTTTCAATGACAATGGCATCATCTACATTGTTGATGACAATGACTTTAGCTTTGTCCTGGGATGTACCTATTACTGGATTTAATTTTCTTTTGGCAATTTCTAAGTATGGAAATGTTTATATGATAATATTTTGAATAAATCCCTTACAAAACTTCCACATTGGTACAAAACCACTCAGCCTTAGACTTATACATCAAGTTGTACCTTGGTTGGGACTCACAAAGAAAGGCCGCCAAGTCACGCATAAGCTCCCCCAATTAAGCTCCACCCTGAACCTACTAGTACTGCACAGGCCGAGAGCAGATTAGCCATGTACGGCTTTTTATTCACAGAAAAAAGAAACCTTGTGAAAGGTTAATCAAGTTGTATTGTATAGTGGCAACAGGACCCCGGATAGCTTCTATTAAAGGTACCGACCAAAAAGGTATCTTTTTGGTTTGAAATTTCGGCGATGTAAGCAACAAAATAAGTATGTTTTGACCACGTTGGCATTGGATCATAGCAACGTCAGAGGAATGAATGGGAAATCTTGTAGCTTTTCTAGACCTGCCTAGGCTATTTTTGAGTGTTAAGGACTTGCAAGGATTTTTTTTGGCAAATTTTGGTAGTTTTCATTCGAAATGTTACCAGCAAAAGAGGTATTCTTGGCCCTCCAGACCCTCAAATTCAGGTTTGAAGGACTGAATATTTGGTGTTTTTTTGTCGGTATGCTTTATAGGAGCTATCCGGGGTCCTGTGGCAACCATCAAGCCCCACTTAATTGAGTAACTTTTCAAAAAAGATGGCTCACATCACAAATATCACTCAATTCACAATGAAGATATTTTTGGGCTCCTCTCCTTTAGGGCTATTCAAAAATATCCTCAGAAGACTGATTTTTAAAGTTCTTGTTTTTTTGATTTTCGACGGTCAAGGGCACACCAAATGAAAATCAGATTGTTTGTTGTAATTAAAAATTACCTGTTTCATGGCTTCTTGCCTCTTGATGGTTGCCACTGTATAATTTAGTTGAGAGGTGATTCATCCCACACATTCAGCAAGTGAGTTGCAGTAACTTTTCAAGAATTTAATTGACAGTGTTCTGAGTAGTTTAGCTTTTTGTGAGTCCTTTTTGCCATAGATTTGGTGAATTCAATTCAGTATTGGTTATATGAAAAGCCTTATCTTGTATAGTTCGTTGAGGCAGTACATCACAGCTTTATCTCACACAACTGGGAACCTCTATACAGGCCAGATTTCTATGTGATTCAAGGGATCCTAATCTATAGACTTTGAAGATGAGATGTACATCCCAAACATTTCAATCAAGTGAGTTCTGACTTGTTTAGTTCTTTGTGTATCACTCTTTTGACTCGGATCAAGTGTTCTTTATATGGAAATCCTTATCTCTCAAGTAATTTGTCAAGCTTGAAGTAGTGAATCATGAATACATCAAGATCTCACATCATGGGAATCCCTCATGTGGTCCCACTTTGTATGCGATGGATGCGACCTTCATCTAAGACTTTTCAAGATAAGACATGTAATAACCTTTCCACAATTTAAAATTAGTGCTTTCTGGCTTGTTTAGCTTCTTGAATATCAATCTGTCAATTTTCACAGAGTATTTCTATACAAAAATCCTTATCAAAATGAATTACAACCTCAAAAGCAAAATTGATGAAGAAGGGTTTCAAGTGGAGTCTTGAAAAGAGCCTACATTATAAAGGAAGGCCATTTGTAAGTCACTTCAGTTTAACTTGGTTTCCACTTCATTTCATTCTGATCAACCAACACAAAATAGCTTGTGCTTTACACCTAAATATGTTGAAGAGAATGCTCTGGGGTTTTATCCATTTATCAATGGTTGTTGGCTCATTTATATACAACCCTGAAACCCACATTGGTGAGTTTTGTGGTAGACTTGAAACTATTGGGTTCAGTAACTTACTGTGAAATCTAGAACCATGGTGCCGGGATGCCTTTGATGCTGCTAACATATTCTTAGCAGACCTTATTGCTACTCCTGACATGCATGACATAAGAGCCCTGAAGGGTGTTCTTTCTGAAGAGGCAATCATCTATTCAAATGGAGATCTGGTGAATTATGAAAGTGTGCTTTTCTCAATGCCCAAAAATGATTACATTCTCATTTAAACCAATTCATGGGTGCTGTGAAAGCTGATGATTCAATTATATCACCTCCACATTGAATTTGTGCAACATTTATCATCAATGGATAGACTTTGTGCGTATGGCTCACCGAGGCTTATACTACAACTGGGGTTGGAAAGAATTAGAAACATGTAAGCCCAGAAATTGAATGAGTACTCAAACTCACCAGAATCATTCAATAGTTATTTGATGTTCTTTGTTTGGTATAGTTTCCATGAGAATTGGATCAAATACACTTTTGTTCATGTGCAAAGGTGATGCAGGTCAATATTTATTAGATTTTGTCTATGACAGGACAAAAAAACAAATTCTCAAGGTGGATTTAAAGATGAATTATGTGAGTTTTTTTTATAAAATTTGATGAGATACTTTTTATCAAAATATGCTAATTTGAAGTTGTACAGTAAGGGGTGTTAAGTTTGATTATTTTTTACATACTTTTGAAAAAAAAATTGGAGAAGTTGTTCAAAAAGGAACCTATCTAAGACCAACATATTTGTAATTTGGGACACCTAACAATGTGTCCTATTTTAAAAAACAATACATATTTTACAACAACAGACAATTTGACAACATAAAAAAGCCAACTCAAAACTTCTTATTTCAGTAGCATATGCCACCAATAGTGTGGAAGTGACCTTGTGTATTTTTGCCTTAGGGATACAAATTGTTGGATCTTACTAACCACTCAGGATAGGCTGTACTCATTGGCTGGTACTTTCTCAAAGTGTTCTTGAAGACGTGAATTTTATTGCAAAATTTGGATGGGGACACAGTCAGATGAAGTCATATAAGAAAATGACTTGCCATTCACAGAGAAGATCAACTTCAAGGATGATGGGGAATCAAGTTTGAAAAGTTGAAAAGTTGAAAAACTCTCACCAAGGCTCCCAATCAGGTTGTACCAGCAGACCCCAGGAAAGTGCTGAGTGATCATACCAAGGAAACAAGATTTTCAGATACCATCATGTTGTGATCAAGTCTTGAGATTGGCATGAGAAGGTGAGATTGGTGAACTTCAGGTAAGCTCTTAGTTGATTTTTGTTGGAAGACAATTATCAATGGTCATTCAAAGTCTTCCAGATTTTGATTGAATTTTTTCAAAGCCTCCTTGGAAACAATGAAAATTTGATTGTCTCAATTGATTCAGCCATAGAGAATACTGGCACTTTTTTTTGAAAATAAATTTGGTGATTGGTGCTGCAGAATCAGGAGCCTCGAAAGGCACGACTGAAGGATGTTTGATACTGATCCATGAACTCTGTGAGACTCAAAGTTGTAAGGTGAGACAAAACATCACCAGAGCCCTCAACATGGTTGATCTTGGCTAGCTTTGGACACAAAATTGGCCAGATTCAGTAGATAGGCATTTTTGAGGTTTGAAAATATTGATAATGTTCAAACTTTTTGATGATAAGGTGATCAATGATCAATGATCAATGAATGATGAAATGTAGATATTGTTTGAAGCATTGTTAGTGATGATACACTAGCAAAGCCCTGGGTTCATAACCAGAGCAATTCGTGCATCTGACTATCATGAAGATCAGACTTGAGTCTTGACAAGAGACTGATGGTTGCTCAAACAAAACACAATCTAAAAGATGAGATTGTGAAAACCAATGATCAAGCTCAATGAAGAAAAGAACATCAAAAGAGAAAGAGTTGGTTTTATGTATGATGTGATCATCCAACAGAATAAGTGACATCATGATCTTAGAAAGAACAGAAACTGGATCCATGATGGGTGTATTACCACACATGCCATGCAAACAATAAAATTATCCTGTGCCTCTGTTGCTAGAATCCTAGTAGGTCATTCCTCACTTACCAATGGGAATATCCTGAAATGGGAGCGTTTGTTTAAAAAGGTACTCTCAACCGGTTAAAAGCAAAGAACATCTCACTGTTGGCCAATTTGAACTGCCAGTTCCTAAATCTGGTGGTTCTCACAATGACAGGTTATTGTTAGTTTTGTTAAGTGTTGGGTTTGGTGAATTGCATTGTTTAGGTGAAATTACAGTTCCAGATTCAGCAAGGTTATATGACTCAAGAAAATTTATTTGACATGCTTCATCTAAATTCTCTGTTTTTTTCAAAGAACATTCAATATATTCTCCCTTTATATTCAAAAAGTGATTCAGTACTTGCTGGAGTTCCAGAAATATTTCAACATTTCAAAAATTCTCCGGCATATCCTATTAATCTTACAAAGTCTTACCTTATTTCAAGAGACTTAATCTTTCTTTCTCACCCTGAATTATTATTACATCTGAAGTGGTATCTCCAATCCATCAAGGTTGTGGTTTTTGTCTAGGTTTCATGTTTTGTTTGACAAAAGATTCTCCAGACATTCTCTCAGACTCAGATCTGGGGGAGCAACAACAGTACTTGCTCAACCAGCAGTTTCTTTGGAATTTATTTAATCAGCTGGCCATTGTTCATCTGAGGCTTTTCAGATCTAAATCAGGGGGCATCAGATTCCTAGAATCACCTTATTGGACAGCTATCTTCTTATGTTGTGGCTTTGCTATATTTCCGTAATTGTGGGTTTTTTTAAGAATCAATTTCTTTCTCTTGTTTTTTCTTCAAATATGGAAAGGGTGTTAGAAATGCTTTTGATCATATATATGGTACTTTTTTGGATTTTTCAATTCCTAATGCTCACCTGGGTTCTTTCTTGTTTGTTCATTTTTTACTCATCTTCCTCCCTGCTTCACCATTCTTTAGACTATGCTCTTTTTCATGAGGTGGTTGTTTGTTTGAGATGTGTTGAATTACAAAAAGTTTAGGCCTAGTGATTTCTGAGTTGTCTGTTTGATTACCCATAAGTGCAATGTGATATTTCCAAATAGGACAACAGGTACCTCAGTTCCAGAGGAGTTGGCTTCCAAAACAGATGATGATGTGGAATCTTCTGCAGAGTAGCAGAGACTATATCTACTACAGCATTGCACTGTTAATATACTCATTGTTTTTTTAAAAATAGTCACAAGTGAACAGCTGACTCAACTCCCAGCAACAGGTATCCAAAAGAACACATCAAAATGTGCGGCTATCTCAAAGATATAAGTTGAAAATGATAAGTTTCATTTTATGAAGTTCCAATCAGTTGGGATGTGATGTGTTTTAAGTTCATACTTCAGAGCCACAAAGCGCACCTGAACCTGCAGTCATTGCAGACATCTGCCGCCTGAACAAGTGACCAAACATTCTAGCAGTGTGGATTTCTTGAATAGGCAAGATGAGGTTATGATCAAATTGAATACCCTTGATAATGATATGATAGATCATCAAACGTATAACAATTGGTAGAAAATAAATGTCAGGGTGAACTTGACTTAAAGAGTTATCCAACATATTTTTTGAGGAATAAAGAAAACTCAAAGCTCCTGTGTATAATGTGAGAGCTGGGTAAATATGTATGGGCCACAATCGCAGACAAGGAAGCTTTGACTGTTAAATGTACCCAAACCATACATGTTCCCTTTTGGGCATGAAGAGCAAGAGTTTTTTACTGGACCATAGTCTTTGTGTCTGATAGGCCTGAGCTCAGGAGTCACTTGAAGAAATCTGTTCCCAAAAGAGTTGCGAGATTGGAGATGAAGAAGTTAATTGATTAAGTGACTTAAGCCAAAAGTTAAGTTACAATTAAGAAGGTTCAGTTGAAATGCTTCCTGATTATCATTTCAAGAAGTTCAAATCAAGAAACTCAGCAAGAAACTCAGCCAGCAATGTCCAAATCAGAGTCAATCGAATATCTTCAATCCGATTCATTTTCCTTAATCTTTCCATTACCATTTAGAATTTTATTTTTGATTTTTATTGGTTTATTACTTTATGGATTAGTCTTACATTCTTTAGATTCATTTAATCTTCAATTCGATTTATTATTCGAAAATACAATCGATCAACAACCACAACAACCACCACCACCACAACAAGACGAATCACATTTACCATTAACTTTCAATCCTCAATCATCTCAATCTCATTCACAAATCAATCAATTTCCAAAACCATTTCATTTAAAATCATCTTCATCTTCACCTGAAAGAAACAGACACTTATTCTCAAAACTATCAACTATCTCATCTAATCATTCAACTTTATCATTATCATCAACAACAACATCATCAACAAAACTTTATACACCTATTTATTATTCAGCTCTTTCAATCGGTTTACTCACTTTGATTGGTTTAATTTTATTTAGATTTCTAACTAATGGGAATAATCCAATCCTAGTATCAAATCTATCATCAATACCATTACTATGGTTAACATTGATGATGATCTTATCAATTTCATCAAACAGTGGTCTTTTAGTTTCATCTTGTTTACCATTTCAAGCTAAATTCAAATCACAACGTCGTCAATTTCGTCAATCACTCTATCGAATCATCTTTGGTACTTTAAACGATCCTCCTGTCTTTCAGGATATCTTGCTGGCTGATGTCTTGATTAGTTATGCTAGAGTCTTGGGTGATCTTTGGCTTTCGGTTTGTCTTTCCACGGTCGCTAAACATGGACTGGCTACTCAAAGTAATCAAGTGAGGTGTTATAAGAATTTAATGGTACCACTCATCACTAGGTATGTTTTGAATTTAAATCATCTATAATCTTTAAAACAAACTGATCTCTCAATCTTTTTTCATCATGATGTTTGACAATTTTGGTGATCGACAGTTTACCATACGCGTTTCGACTTCGACAATGTCTTGCTGAATACTATTCACGTACTAGTCCAAACCCACGTCGATCATTACTGAATGCATTAAAATACGCTACAGCTTTCCCTATGATTGGTTTATCAGTCTTTATGGTCAATTCACCAGCATCAGATGATGCACCTGAACTTGATCAAGAAAGTTCTAGATCCATGAAACCTTCAATGACCAGCATCCCAGCAAGTTATCAATTTTGGCTACTATCAATCTTGATCAATTCACTTTATTCATTTTGGTGGGATGTCACGAATGATTGGTCATTTGCATTACTCAGACCAACAGCCTGGTCAAGTCCATCACTCAAGTTATCGATCAATGGATCAAGATCACCACCACCACCATCGATCACAGGTACGACATTTGAACCTGAACGATTACCTAGACGGAATTCACCTGCTGGACTTCAACTATCGAATGCGAGTCGAGTACGAACCCATTCACCTAGTTATGTACCTCTCACACCTGATCATACTCTTCATCATCATCATCATCATCATCATCATCCTCAAGAAAGTTCCAATCATCGGTTTCTTAATGTACCATCATCGGTGATGAATTATTCAACTTCGAATTGGACCCTCCATCACCCAACCCATCACTTCAGCACCCGATTTCTTCGTCCAGAACTGATGATGAAACCGATGATGATCTACCCCATCTTGATAGGATTGAATTTGATGCTAAGGTTCACATGGTTGATCAGGTTGATCGGACCATTAAGAGAACCATCAGAATGGATCGGGTTTGGATTAGAAGTCTTTGAGATCTTTAGACGTTCGGGTTGGTGTTTTTTAAGATTAGAAACTGAATGGATCAAACAGATTAAATTAGATCAAGGATCGGAAACAGGATTGCAAGCGGAAGAAGAAGAAGAGGATCGAGGATTGGGAGTGGGGCTTGATGGGTTGATGGATGAAGATCTTGAGGAAGGTTTGGATGAAGAAGTTGGGTTGGGAAATAAGAGAGGAATTCATCCGGATCAACAGTTTGGAATCGGAAATGGAATCGGAAGTGGAAGTGGGGTTGGGATTGGAATTGGAATTGGAAAGAATGAAAATGAACTTCAGGATAGGAAAGAAGATAGGATCGAATTAGACGAATCTTTAATTCTTGTAAGTCGACATAATCTTCTTTGAAGAAAATCAAAACCCATCAAGCAAGCCAGCCAAAAAAAAATCTTCTGTAAGGATTCATTGGATTGAGAATTTGTATAATTTGAGTGAGTTTGGATTATGTTAAGTAGAACAATAGAAAACCAATTTACATAGATTTGTATACAACAATAGAATCAGAAATCAGAAATCAGTTATGTTTGTGTAGTGTGTGTGTGTTTTTTCTTCGGTTTTGAGTTCTTTTTAACAATTGAAAGATGGTTGGAGTTGAGGACAGTGTTTTGTGTAAGATTCAGTGTTACTTGTGATTCTTGAGGTTGAGCTTGGTATTTTAATCTAGGGAGTGTACTGTGTTCATGTGTGATGCGTGCTTGCTTTTCTCCAAGGTGCTTGTTCTTTTACGATGCGAAGGCAGCAGAATGAAGATTCATTCGATTGTTTTGATCTTACAATGAGACGTGTAAATATTACAGGAGATACAGTCAACTCAGGTCAACTCTCCATAAAGGCATACCTTTTATGGGCATAATCCCTCTAAATGCATAGGTTTTTACGGGGGTTTTCCCCGCCAAAATGGGATTTGCCAGCCAAAACAAGATTTGTAAAGGCATATTCCTCTAAATGCATAAGAAAACTGCCCGCCAAACTGTATGCCATTAGAGAGAGTTGACTGTACGTATATGTAAAGGTCATACAGCTTACATAGTGTACTAAAGTTTCAGTAACAAGAGGGTGGATATACTGATGATACATACTCGATGATCGACCGACGATCGAGTGAGGATTATGTAATCAACCCAAGTTCAATCCCTTTGAATTCAAAAACTTTCAATTTTCAACTTCAACTTGACCTAAAAACCAAAAAACCAAAAAAGTTCTCTCAAAAGGAAATCAACCAGAACCATCATGTCAAGTAAATATACTATTGCTGGTTCTATCAGTACTCCTCAATCAGATTCATTAACCGAAAAAGAAAAAATGTTATCAGGTAAATCGATCATCACATTCGAAACCTAATGAACTAAATAATGAACTGATTCTGATTCTTTTTTCTTAAAAACAAAAACAATAGGTCAACCATATTTAGCAGTCAGTGATGTTCAATTAGTTAAAGATAGATTACGTGCCCGAAATCTTTTACAACGTTATAATCAATTTCCATGGTCATCAAATGAAGTAGATGATCCTGAACCCGATTACTTTGGACCAGATGAAAGAAGAGTTTATTTGGCTGAATTGTTTGGAATCCAATTAGATGATATTAAAAATAAACCTATTGAGATCGAACCTCCGTTTTATTGTGATTATGTATGTTTTTGATTCCCTTTTGGTCATCTTGATTTCACCGATGGTTTATTTACTTTTTTTTTCGGGTTGGGAATGCGAAAATAGGGTACTAATATCACTTTCAAAGGTCCTGTAAGTTTGAAATCATCGATCTGATCAATCTATTTGAAACTTTAGCTTATGTGGCTTACTGATGATTGACTGATTTCTTGACATTTCGACTTTCAATGCACTAGTTTTACTCAAACTTCAATTGTCACATTTTGGATTGTGCGGCTGTAAGATCTCTCATCTCTTCTTTGGTTTCATTCTATCTTTCAAGATCTGATTCTGTTTTGATCCTTTCAAAGGTCACTTTCGGTAGTCGAGTGATTGTAGGACCCAATGTTCAAATGTAAGCTTTCGATCACTTCTACTTCTCTTTTCGTTCATCTGAACCTTATGGAATCGGATCTTACCTTTTTCATAGATATGCCGGTACTCACTCTACCGACGTAGCTGAACGTAAACAAGGCTTAGAGAGAGCTTATCCTGTGACTGTAGGAGATGACGTGTGGATCGGTGGTGGTGCTATCATACTAGGACCCTGCACGATCGGTAATGGTATGTATCTCATCATCTTAACTTGAGTCTTCCTCAAGAACTCTAGACTGATTGATCTGTTCACTCGATTTGACGGATTCAACAGGTACAACAATTGCCGCTGGAGCAGTGGTGAGCACACTCTGACCACATTATCCTTTTCTCTTGAAAGTCTTGACTGATGTATCTTTTGTTTTTTTTTTGGAAATCATTAGGTCAGAGGTCATGTGCCAGCAAACGTGTTGATGGGAGGAATCCCAGCTAGGATCTTAAAGCGATTAGAATCTAAACCGAAAGATCGATCGAATCCGAATTTTTCTCAACCAAAACAATCTAGACCTAGTCGTCCATCTTCTCGTAATTCTAAACGAGGTGGTGGACCACCTACCGATCGAGCTCAAAGTCCAACAGCCACTCATTCTTCCGAGGAAGAACCGATTGATCCGACTACTGAGTGTTTCTTGGCTAATATCCCCACTCGTCTACGTCCAGTCGAACTTAAGGCTGCTTTAAGAGAATATGGAGCCTTACGTAGACTTACACTTGATCGAGCTCGTCATATTGGATTTGCACGTTTTATGGAACCAGCTAGTGCAGATGCAGCACTCGAAGCTGGTCGTGGACCGGATGGGTTTATTGTGAATTTAGAAGATGGTACAGAAGTGGTGATTGGAATTGAAAGAAGAAGAAGTGGAGAAGAACAAAGATCGTTTAATCCAGAATTGATTACGAATCCGAGATGTTATATTCGAACGACGTTGAATCATCAAGAATTATCAGATGTGAAGGCTACGATCGAACATGAGTTTGGACCATTGAAACATTGGTTTGTGAGACGAGATGAGACAGGAACAGAAGAGAGAACAGAAGTCGAACTTGAATTTGAACATTTGAATGGAGCTAGAGAAGCGATTAAGGCTAGTAGATCAGGTGAAGGAGGACTCGGATTAGAATTAGCTAGTGGCATTAGGGTCAGAGTGGAATCTAAACGAACGTTTGGTGGACCATTGAGAGGAGGAACAGGAGCAGGAAGAGGTGGATATATGAGAGGAAGCTTTAGAGGAAGGTTTAATAGCAGAGGTAACGGATTTGGAGGTGGTCGAGGTGGGTTTGTTAGAGGTGGATTTAGGAAAAGAGGAATGTATAGTGGAGCTGAATAAAAAAAAAATTAAATTTGTGAAAAGGAAAAAGTTGAAAGAAAAACTATGAAAAAAGTTTAGAATTCAAAGAAAAAGTTTAGAAATTTTTTTAAAAAAAAACCAAATCAAATCAAAGAAGAAGAAAACCAAAAAGCGTTTGATGATGAAAGGGTTTTTTTATATATTTTATTATTGTGTTGTTTCTGTTTAAAAGTAATTAGATAAAATTGAATGAGTTTTTGATGTGGAAACAAAAAGAGAATGAGAAAGAGAGAGAAAAAAAGTTGTGTGTGTGTGATTTTAATGTTGATGTTGATTGGGTGTTGTGGTTTTGGTTTTTGGTTTTGGTTTGATTCTTGATGATTTCAATTTGGAATTGAATGCTTTTATAAAAAAAGAAAAAGGGTTTTCTGTGATATCTTTTTTTTTTGAAATTATGATTATTTTTATAAAGGTTTTGAGTGTGTGTTTTGAATGGCTTGGAGATGCATAACAAAATGTGCAGTGAAGATAAAAAGACAATCATTTTAATGATTATAAATTTGTTTGGAAAAATAAAAGTTGTTAGAGAGAGAAAGTATGAAAAGTGTGTAAGTGTAAGAGGAGAAGTATATACTATTTAATTTATCTGAACTAAAATGAATTTAAATCAAGGTTGGGATTATAGATTTCTTTTGATATTTTGGTAAGGATTAAGATTTTCTTTATCAATTGAAGGAAAGAAAAAAAAAACAAAAGAAATCATTCTGGTTTTATGAATGATGAATCCCATTTGAAAATTGAAAAAAAAACTTGACTTTTTTTAACCTCTCTTTGGTTTATATCTTGACCAGTATTCTTTTAAGAAGAAAAACTCATGTTAACTATTTTAAAGTTCAAATCAAATTCTAAAAAGAAAGTTTTCAGGAGAGTTTTTTCCTAGTACATAAAATCAAAAAAACTTGGATATATATACCTGGATTTCAAATCCATTTTCTTTCATGGATTTCTTAAAAAAATAAGAAATCCTCATAGATTAATTGAAAAAAAACCAAAAAACCATTGAAGGTTGAAAGTTGAATCTCTTGTAGAATAAGAAAAGATATATAGAGAGAACTTCTTGTTGATTTTTGAAGTTGATAAATCAGATTAACTAATCACATTCAATTACCCAAATATCACATAAAAATCCGATGAAAAATTGATCAAAAGTAAAAAGAATTGGTTTTTTTTTTGACATTTGACAAAAGTGAGAAAATTGTAGTTGGTTTTTTTTTTTGATTTATTTACATTTGAAGAATAACAAAAGATAAGATTGAGGTATTAACATTTTTTTAAAAAACAAAACTGTTTACTCAACAAAACACACCAACCAAAATAAACCCAACAAAAAATAAAACCAACAAAAAATAAAGCCAACAAAAAATAAAACCAACAAAAAATAAACCCAACAAAAAATAAAACCAACAAAAAATAAAACCAACAAAAAATGAAAGATCAGAGAAATTTGAACTAGAAAGAAGAAAAAAATTGAATGGATATTTAGAATGATTTAATGTATCATTTGTTTTGATTTGTTGTGTTTTGATTTGATTTGTTTAATTTTTTTTTCTCTTTCACAAAGTTTATGCTAAGATAGAAGGATTAAGGTTTACAAGAATTGTAAGAAAAAGAAGCAGAAAAAAACAGACAAAAGTTAAAGGGTTTTTAACTTTTTTTGTTTTCCTTTTCCCTTTTTCAAAGTCTTGAATGACTTCCTCCTACTTGTTCAATCAAAAACTAGAAAAAAAAGATCAATCGAATTAGTGAAATCGGTTCTAAATGATTAGTTTAATCCACAAAACTGAGTAAATCAAAACATACATCAATACATTCTTCTTCTTCCATACCCATCTAAACCCAAAAAAAAAACACGAATCAAGATCAAACTCGGAAACTCAAAGACGAATCTCAATCAAGAGAAAATCGAATTTGAAAGAGATGTAAAACTTACATCAGCCGGTGTAGAATCGTTTGGTACTAAATTTTGACCATCAAATTGTAACCTGAAGGAAGTTCTAGCTACCCCTCTTTGTTCTGCTACTGCATTATAAATCTTAATAAACGTAGTAGATTGTTTGACTTTTAAAATTAATGGTTCTTCTGATGCATCTGGCTAATCAAAAAAAAAACAAATTGATCATTAGTTTCTTCTTCTTCTTTTTTTTGGTTCTAAGAATTGGGTTTTCTTTTTTGATTTTTTTTTTTTTTGGAATTTGTAGAATCGGAATTTAACTTACAACTAGAATGGATAAATTCAATTCAAAAACAGGTTCAGGGAAAAATTCAAGTTAGTGATCCGATTTGATTTTAAAACATTTGATTTTCATTTATCAACATTTTGTTCAAGATGAAAACTATATTAAAAACCAATCAACTTTGTTGAAAAAGCTTTTTTTTTCGCTTTCATTCATGATTTGAGTCTATTTTTTTTCTTTTACTTTTGAACGTACATTTAACTTTAAGTGTGATTTTTTGTGTTTTAGGCTTGATATCTGGAGCAGGACTATTAGCTGTCATGGTTTAATGAGTTGATTCGATTAGTTGGATTTGTGGAGGTATGAAGAAAGTTGTCCGATTTGAATGATAGGTTTTTTTGCTTGATGTTGTTAAGTTGAAAGACGCGTGATGATGGATGGTGTGAGTTGAAGAACTTTGAAGTGTTGATGGCTTGGTGAATTTGAATTAATGGAAGATGTGAATTTCCCTAGCTGAGTCGAGACGTGTGACATCTTGTGACTCGAAACGTGTCAGCGAGATGTCACCAATCACCCCCTTCATTCTCAAAGCTCAAAAAAGTTCATTCAACTGATCATTTCAAGCCATTGATGAAAATCTTGTTAGTTTTCTTTCTGAAGAATGTTCATCTGATTTATCCTGGATTTCCCTTCCACTGCGCTTATTCTCAACAAGCTGATCGAAATACAATAGGACACTCATCATCCTCAGTTTATGTTGATCTCAACAATTGAAGAAAAGCCAAGATTCATGTATCCATTCTGAGATCTCAAGTCAGTACGAATAATGATCAGCGTACATACCTTTGTAGCTTTTTAGAAAGACACCTTTCTTTCCTCTTCACACACTCTTATGCTACCTTCCAAGTGTCGGAGTAAGTAGTCAGAATCTTGTTTCCTAATCATTTCTTCTTTCTACTCCTTTGACCTTAGATTACTTTGTTCTCATCAATAACAAATTGACCTCGACCAAGTATGTATCCTGCTACATCTCTGATTCGGTTTGTTCCCTTGTTTTTGTGTTTTCCATTGAAGCACTTTGGACTCATCACCTACTCCCAAAAGGGTTAATCGGATAATATATATGACGTTATGCAGAGAAATGATGAATTGACTCGATTTCAAAGGTTAAAAATTCAATCAAAATCCTCTTATTTCTCCTCTTGACCACTTTGTTTCAATTTGTTACAATTTTATTCTTCTAGGTTCATCTCCTCATCACTAAAGAAGACTCTTTACCAATCAATCAATCTCATCCAAGCACTTTACCTTCACTCGACTCATCCTTACAACCATGTCAACTCATGGAGATATCATTGCAAACCGCTTTACGTTTCGTGCCGAACATGGTCAAGAGCTTTGTTGACCAATGATTGGGTAATAATGTGATCATTCAAAAAGAATGAGTAGCACTTTGTGAAATCTAGAGGTACGGAACCCAACTTGAATTTGAATGTACATAATTTATAAGACTAGAAATTGGTAAAACTGTAGGTTTGGCCCCGTGATTTACAATTTCACACTACACAGAAACCATCTGCACACCAGGATTTTGGGCAGATCAAGTGCAAAATTGTAATTTGCCCCCATGGGCCTTGATTTTTACACTCATTCAATTTTACATTCAATAAAGTGCAAAGATCTATTGACCCACAGTTTTCACTCACTTTTTCCTACAAGTTTTTCCATTGACGGATCAAATGCAGAAACAGCACAAGAAATATCCAACTTTGACTGCTTCAACGGCTAAGTGACAAAGTAGTAGTTGGGAAAGCTGACACATATGATATTATATTAGTTCTAAAAGTAAGCAAAATTGATCAAGCTGGGTAGATACAATGTAGTTTGGATAAAATGCATGATGATGTTCATCGGTTCTTTCACGAGCGACCGCGGTCAAAAATCTGTGGATGCTACAAAGTCAGCCGTATCTTTACCAATATCGCCTTCTCCCATGAACAAACGAAAGTCTTCGGATTTGATTGGTGTATCTCCTCTGTTCCCATTGGTCCAAAAGTACAAAGGAAATCAGACTCTTAGTCATCGATCAAGAGCTTGCGTTTTAGATCCTGTAGAAACTTTTCACTTACGCCGCATTTTCATTTTTCTTGACCTCAAACTGAATTCAAATTTGGTTTCGAAATTGAAAAAAATCTCAATCAATATTGAAGCTCCTTAACAGAGTTGCCTCTGGTGAAATATATTGGACTGAAGCGTAAGAGAGAAAGGAATGATGGCATTGAAAACTCGACTGACCCAAGAAAGTGCCTTGAGAGTAGGAATAGCTTGAGCCACCTCCTTTGACAAGACTTGTTGAACCCATTGGTACTTGATATCGTAGTCCGAAGCACCTCCTGAAGCTGGTTCACCGGTTTCCTTTGATCTGGTATATGATGCTCCAGTCTCCGCTAGCACAAAGGGCTTGTATTCATTGGGTATCGAAAAAAGCTTGGTGTGTTTGTAGATAGTTGAGGTTCATTGAGCTATCAAACATATCTTTGTAGTAGCTGCGGGCCGCTGGTAAGAGAGAACTAGACCTACATCTGCAAAGTACTTCATGGTTTCAAGTGCTTCGCCTGGCTGGGGGACGACATTGAGACGAGCATGACCTATAAATGTTGATGACGAATTCTAAGGTTGATGCCACAAGCTTATAAGACTTTTATAAAAACACGACTTATGGGACTAACCTCCATAGTGATAGAAAGAAAGTCCTAAGGAAGAATAAACAACAAAAGAGGTTACACTATCATTATCCTTTGATTTTCAAATTGATGTTCGTCGAGTCAGCAAGAATTGCGCTGACCGACAATGTCCACGTAATGTGCGCCAGGCCAGTATTGATTATAACCACCATGGACTGCATCTACATGACCAAATTTAGAGTTTGGAGCCCACATCAAGTCTATTTCACTCGGAGTAGACATATCACGCATAAAAATAGTCTTGATCAGCTGAGGCAGTTAATCTATCTTTCAAATAAGCAAGCCTACATGTGTTCTCAGTTTGAGACTTGATGGTATCGAACATCAGCTTCCATTTCTCTATAAACACTGAGAATTTGATGGATCAGCTGTCTGGATATTTCACAGGTCATAAGAAGAAAAGATGTTCAGACAAAACTATCTACATTCGGGTTGTAGCCCCCATTTGTACCAATCACCGTTCATCTGAATGATGCGTAACAGCGAATAGAATTGATCAATACGCGAAAGAGATTACTATGAAGGAACAGAAGACCAACTTCATGTGCAAATCTTAGCCAAACTGTGATACCTTGTTTGTTGATCCACTGCATTTTTTTTGCAACATGATCGGCCTGTGTTCAAGATGTGCGCAAAAAGATCGTAGATTGATGAAGTTTTCTAAGTAATAGATGTCTTTGTAGAGGATTTGAATATAAACTACGTACGACTTCTTTTGTGACCATCTCCAAACCTTGGTAAGGCATCAAAGCGATCTGCCATACTGGATTTCCATCTAAAGATTGTATATATTTGAGATGCTAACCTCATACATCGCAGAGCCAAGTGATCCAGGAAAAGACAAAAGAAGGGACACGACGCCAGGGAGATATTCAGATAGTGTATTCAAACGATTTCAAGAAAACCATTCGTCACAGTTGCGTAGAACGAAGCGATATGCGTACAGAGTCTATTTGTGATTGATTCGGGCCATCAGACTCTAGATTGATGTAGTCTCCCATCTGATGCGATGAGCAGTGTCCATTTAAGTAAAAGTTAAGACTCTCAACAAAGGTAATAGATACTTGATTGTAGCCTCGAAGGGAATCACTTACGATGGCCATCGGTGCCGGAAGCTTGTCATTGATTTCATTCGGAGTGTTGGGTGCAACTGATTCCCCCAAGGCAGGAAGGAATCCAATTGAAATCCCGTTTCGTTTTAAGTTCGATGGAGACAATCCCATCAAATTTCCATCGAACTTTCTTGGATGAAGACTGGCTGAAGGATGCTCATCCGTTGTGGGATAGGCTGAAATGAACGCGATCGAACATAGAGACAAGGTTAGTAGGAGGATATTCATCTTGAAACTCGATTGAACAGTCGCCCTTCTTTCTCGTTTTGGTATGTTGGAGGACTGTGGTAGCACTGATCAATTAGGTCAGAAAAATTTATAAAGATGCCAACAGGCGCCATTTGAAGCTAGTCAAGAACCCATATGTGAAGCAAAGCAGGGATATGCGCATACCTAAATACAACGTTATTAGCTTCCACGAGAGTGCTCACCAAGATTTTGTTTTATTCTAAAAAGTGCAAAGAGAGGAAAGATTGGCGAAGTAATAGCTATGGAAAGAGTCAAGATGTATGCAATCCGAATGCCTTATATATGTCATGAACATCATACACCTATCACTTTTCGCACCCTTGTTTCCTGTGTTCACCATTCCTTTACCGTTGGTCACGTCAGAATGACCTTTTTGAGAACGACTCGGGTTTGTGTGTGTGATCGGGTAAACAATAAACAAATGAGCTTCTATGTGACTCTCGCGTTCACAAAGTGCCAACACACGGTCGTTCTGACACTGCCGTTACCCTTCGTTATGAGGGGGCCGGTAGAAACACGTATCCCTCACGTTGGATTCCCCCCCGTGGTACGTTTTGACAGCCGATCAAGACAATTGAAGCCAAGATTTGGCGTATCAGGGATCAAAAGTCTTTGTCACTTCGGGACTGTTTCCAAAATCAGAGGAGAATATACCCGGCAACCTCTAAGAACTTCAGATAATTCGAAGGCATCTGATATTTGCGACCGACTGAGAGGTCGCGAGTCGCGACTTGCGAGAAATGTGAAATGTGATTACGATGAACAGGAAGCCGAGATGTGAACTTGAAGTGACCGCCACGATTTTTTCGAATTTCGCTTTTCGCTTTTTGGAATTCTTAATCTCAAGACGGTATTATAGCTTTATTGCTCGTGTAAGCCTCGTATAATCAATCTCTTCTTTAGCTCTTTACTATCATTGACTGATTTCATTTCTTCTTTATCGATCTCACAGACTCTTGACCAAGTCCATCTCATAATCACATCCTCTTGCTCAACTCATCATCATTATAAATCTGTTTATCATCGCAAACCGATCCATGTTCTGTGCTCCACATGGTCTTGAGTGGTGTCAGCAATGTTGCGTTGATTATCGAATGGGTGATAACTCTTTCATCGCCAAAGATATCAATATGGCTATCTTAGAATCTAGAGGTGATGACGCAAAAAAATAAATAACAACTAATTGTAAACTAACAACCATGGTCCCAACTAAAATATGAATGTAAGACAAATCGGTGAAGATTATATCAACTACAATAATAATGTAAAAAAATCCCATAAAGGCCAAAAAATACTAAATGTGAGAACCACTCAACACTTGTGATTGAAGATTTTCAGAATAACAACTATAATTCTTTGGAACAATGATAATTAGGTAGGGAAGGGGGGGCTTTAAAAAAGAACTAACAGGATACTTGATGATAAGGTGAAGATATCTCTGCTTTGATGAATGATAGGTAAACTGGAAAAGCGGTTAAGAGGGAATGAACCATGACGTCAAATGGTACCATAGTAAAAGTAACAACTTAAAACCCGACCCGTCCTCTTTACATGACACATAAAGTACCGGGCCTATGTATTCCCAACGGAATAACAAGTGACCCATCTATTCTTTGTCATTTGCTGTGATAAGTTACAGTACTCTCAGCATCCCATCCTATCCCATCCTATTGCCTCATTCAACTATTCTTCACTGACATGGTACCCGATAGCATCATGGTTAATCATTTCATGTTCTGTGCAGACCACGGTCTCGAGTGGTGTGGAGGTTGCTGCGTTGATTACCGAATGGGCAACAACGGTCAATTTGAGGAACAGCTCCATGCTCTCCTTCGATCCAGAGGTGATTACCTCTCTGATCCAGATGTAAGTCCAATATGATTTTGAAATGATATTGTTTATTTGGTTTCATTTTTTGTTGAGCCTTTTGGCTATCAAACTACGTGTTATACCTGACACAAATTTTTATATGACCAGGATCGTCCATCACTCAGCGTCTTCTCACTGGTCCGTTTTCCGTTGAGCCAACCTTTGAATTCGGACACACCCATTGCTTGTGAACAGCACAACAAAGTCAATTGTGAGACATGCTTTGATTGGTTCAAGCTCGTGTCAAGGACCATGTAAAACCTGTAAGTATTAGACTTGTCATCACCTGACCTGCTGAGTCTGATAGATTTGTTCCACTCTGCAAAATTCTACCTAGCTCAAATTTTAATGGGTCTTGCTAAAACACCTTCATTACCAGGAAACAATGCTTATTGAGTTCAAATCTTTTACAAAAAAGTCCATGACTGAAGTGACTTGTTATCTACATGGCTATGAACATAAATTAAAGTCTCCATCAAAGAGAAAGTGATATTAGGGCAGTTCAAGTTAACCAAAAATGTTGTAAAATCAAAATTCTTTTGACCTCCATGTGCTGTGAAATTCTAGAAAGTCAACTCTTATTTGTGCATAGATGTAGTCATCAGGCAGGGCTTTCTCAGAATGTTTCAAACTTTGAAAAATTCCAAGCAGCATCTTGCTGTAGGCACAGTTATGTTATAGTGTGTTTTAAAACTTGAACTGCCCTATTATTCTGATTCCGTCTTGCCCACACATCAGATAATTCATAGAGATAATCTAAAGATTATAGATGAATATCATCTGCTTGGATAATCACATGTGGCTTCCAGGGATAATGTTTCAAAACATCTTTCTTACCTCATAGACCTTTTTGACACTGATTCAGTCTCAAGTACAATAATCTCAAAGTGGTGTGACAATTGTCCACCCCCAGGCCTTTGTATACTTATAACTGTAGCCACTTGGAACTCATCACATCTCTTCCACATTTCTCCTGAGATTCCTTGAAGTTGGTACTAGACTCTTGTATCAACAGAAGGGAATAAATGAGGCTAAGGGGTCACACAGCAGAGGGACAGCCCACCTGCTAGCAACACCTAAAGCGCTCCGCTTTTAGGCAACATTTTGGTAGCGGAACACTTTGCCGCTACCTTAGGAACCCGCTCTTGATCCGCCAGTGATATGAACCCGCTACATGACCAACAGAGCGCGGCGCAATGTGGACCCGCTCTTGCTCCGCTTGGTCAATTTTAAAGCCAACAGAGCGGGCCGAGGCGATCCAAATGATGCAGTTTTTTTCACATTCTCAATGCGACTTACTCTAAGCAAATTCAATTAGAAGAAATATGATAAAACTAACAAAAACACTAAAGAGTGACTAGTAAGATAAAAATGAGACAAAAGCAAGACAAAACATATCAGGTAATCAATAAGTATCCCTCTTATATGAGACAAATAAAGTGAACTATCTTGACTACAAGATACCAACATGTATTGGCCCCTTTTGACTGATTGAATGATTGTTCAATTGTTGTGAGAATCACTTTGCTGTCATTGTGACCGTGAGGTCGGTTCTTTCCATGAACTGATATCCAGGCAACTCATGATGTCAAGTCCAATATATACACCTCTCAAGTCTTGTTGATCAGCCTTGTTGTATTTTCACAAGATGAAACAATCAGTCAACATATTTTGCCCTCAAAACTGACCAGCAACACTATTGATAGATCCATGAGAACAAAACCAAATAAACAGATAAATACAGTCATACCTCGGAAATTTGGTCCTCTGATATCCGGTACCCTCCAAAATCTGATTAGATTCTGGTCCACCGAGGTGGTTCCCAGCCAGATATCCGGTAACCTCCGAATATCGGTATCCGGTGGTTAAAAAGAGAAAAATCAAATTCCAGAGGTAGGCTATATAGGCGGATTTAGCTACAAAGCCAAGATTTTGGAGCAGAAAAAGATTCCAAAGTTATTTGTACAGAGTTTTCCTTGCACTGAACCCGGTCTTTGTCACAAACTTCCCTCAAACCTCCTGTAAAAAAGCTAATAGGACATTTTTGACATTTGAGTCAATAGTTTTTCCCCTTCTATTTCTGGCTCCACATTTTTTAATTTTTCTAGAATCCGGTACAAAAGGTGTCCACCAAGCGTACCGGATTTCCGAGGTATAACTGTAGCCTAAAACCCTTTAATCCTCACCTCTTTTCACTTAGTATCACTCAAGAAGATGAAGAGATAAAGCCTTTGGATTCAAAAGACTTGGATCAGCAATAAAATAAGCAACAGAAAATTCACCTTTACCTCATTCACTCTTGAGATTTTCAATCTGTAAGAATCGATTCAGATTTCTGATCATCATGAGGGCTAAAATTCAGGAATTTGATTAGATGACTGTCAAAATATTCTGATATCTTGATGTGACATTGAGGAATTCTTGAACTGATGTGTGGCGGGGGAAGATGAACCCCAGTTCTTGAGAACAATTCAACTGAAGTCGGAGGGTATTGAGCAAGGAAGCTTACAGGGCAAACACAATCATTATCAGCTGTATTCAAAATATAGGGTGTAATCGATGCATTTCAATACAAGGGTGAGGGTGAAGCCATACCAGATAAGGATTGGACTGATTGGTAGATCAAGATGGTGGTGTTTGCAACGATTTGGGGATTCCAAAGGTGAGCCTCAAGCCGTACTGGATGGATTGAAAGGCTTTGTTGAACTTGAGTGTTGTGAACAATATCATGATACATCAATAATATGTACATATGTACACATATCTGAGTCCTTATATCGTAAGCTTCCGCTTTTTGTGGCGGGTTGCTTCAATTGTTGCTGCTAGTCTACACTATGTGCACAGCAACTTCCCCCAAGGAGTCAAGTCAAGCCAATTCCCTTTGCCAAGTTTTTACAATCAATCAAGTTGTTCCCACTTTTCTTCACTTCTACAAAATTAATATCTAAAATTAAAACATATTGTTCTGTTGATTCATACATTTTTTCATTGATTACACCACAAGGAATGCAGTGGTGGTGTAGTCCATTCTTGTGAAAGGTGAGGGACGGCACGTGAAAGGCAAAGCTGTACAGGCCTTCGAAGAAGACTAGAGTTTGACCTTGGCATTCCAAACTCTATTCCTCTTCTTCCCGCACGTTCCATTCCCTCTCTATCATCCTTTCACAAAGCTTCAGTAAAGCTCAAAGTTTCTTTGCTAACTCACAAAATAACCATCCCGCCCACCTGATGAGTTTTTCTGGTACCCACCCACTGACCCAAGCTGGAATTGGTCCACTTCCCAGTCCGGTTGGTTTTAGAAGACCAACAGAGGAGCAGATCACGCCTTCCCCCACATACCTCCATCCTCACCAAAGGGGCAAGGATAGAGGAGGGTGAGTTACCACAGATCGCCGTAAGGCAATCAGAAATGAGAAACATCTCATTATAGAAACTGAGCCAAAACTGAAACTAGAGAATGGATATTCAGTCATACTAAAAAACCTGTATCCTCAGCTATACAAATTCTAGAACCTCTTCCAACAGTTACCCTTTAGTATCTTGGTGTTCAAAATTTTTCTAATTTGCTGCCTGCCACTCTTTTTTCAGACTGGGGGGGACCTGGATAGCCCCAGCTAAGCCCCATTGTCTTACTGGAGGCAAAAAGCCAATTTTTGCTAAATTTTCTTAATTTTTTGGTATGTTTCTTGTAAACTTGGAGCCAAAACCATCTGTTTTTGCCCAAAAATATTATGCATCTTGTGTTCACAGAGCAATCTCACCTTCATAATATCTTCATCTGAGGCGAGACTGACCGCAGTTGCAGAGGATCACTTAGAATTCATCACACAGTGCTTTTGAATGTAACTTGTGTTCCAGTGCAGTTTATTTGAGTAACAGTGCAACTGCCTTGGCACTGCCAGCAAAGATACCTTGGATATTCCAATTCAAGTTATTATTGGATATTTACTCCCCCAGAATGTGTGTCTGAGGAATTGATACAAGGCTTGATTTGGCCCCAAAGATTGCCTCTGATCAATCACTTGGAAGCTACGACCATGGCTATTGCCATCCAAGGCATCTTTGTTAGCAGTGCAGCCTACTGAGACAAGACATCTTAATTTTTTGTGTACACATCTATCCCTTCAATTGACACCGCAGGAATCAATAGGCTTGAAACCCAATTGAAGAAAGTTGAGGTGGCTGGGTTTGTGACTTTCTTAAATTGTGAGACTTTTTTGCAATACATTCACATCACGTTTGCAGACCACCCTTGTTTTAGTCACTTTCCAATTCATTGTTGTTCCAACATGTAAGGAAAACCAACTATGTGTGAGGAGTATCAATCACAATCCCAGCTAATCCTTATGAGACTTGACCAATGAGTCTTCAAAACAAAATGACAACCCATTTAGATTTGGAACGGTAAATCAAAAAGGTTTGACATTCACCTCACGTGGTCATCTTGCTACTTACTTTGACCAATCACATACATCTCGGTATTAAGATTAAACAGGATCTTTGATCTGTGTTTTCCCATTGAATGGAATCTCAGACATTGATCATTGATCATTTATCATTGATTTATTTGAACTTCCTCTATTCTCAATTCTTTTTTTACTCTGAGCTGTTTGTTGCACTTGGCATTGTAAAATTTTCTCAAATTGACTTGACTTCATCAAAAGCAAGGTTCAGAGTCAATTAGTTGTAACCAAGAATTGTAAGTAACTACAGTTCAACGTAGGCAATCAAGATTGAAAGGCATGTACAAAGACTTGATTGAGTTAGATTGCAAATGTTAAGGACCTATCAAAAAGGTGATCCATTCAAAATTGTGTGATATCATTTGATGGACCCAATGGGGGGTTGTGGCGTATGTGATGGTTTTGGTGTGATGAAACGCCTGTACAAGTGTATCTCAAGGGTATTCAGCAAAGGTATTGTGAACGTATTGCAAACAAATCTCGTGATTGAGAGAAGTTGTGGACCCTGTCAGCGCAACTTGGTTCAATTGGGTTTTGGACTTATTAATTCCCGCGGTGTGATATACAGCATCTCTTCTGTGTTACTCAGTAGGATCTTATCAATTCAGAAGAAGGTATGTGATCTATCAAAAAAAGGCTTTGTGGTTTGTAAGCTTCTATGTGCCAAAATAGGGCTCTTGATGTCTGTTGTCTACTTGGAGCCAAATCGGCCAAGATATTGGGCCTTTAAGAAATGTCTGTTGTGCAATTGGAGCCAAAACCTGTTTTGGGGCAAAAAGCCATGCATGTGCTTGTGATCAGGTTGTGGGCGCGGCACAAAATATGTGTCTTTGGCACACCACGGCGTTGGAAAAATTGACAAAATGAGGGTTGGCACGCCTTTTCAAGGATCACACCAAATCATAGGAGTTCTATGTCCTGTCACCAATATTGGAGACTTGGATACTCGCTGTGAGCTTTGACACAGCTTCCCTTGGCTTTGCTCACCTTAAAAAGGCAATCTTGTGGTAGTAGACAGCTCTAGCAACACATACATACAAACATACAATAAATAACAATACAAAAACAAAATTTTGTCTCTCGGTGATTTTCTTTTTGGTAAGAAAACACGCCCGGCGCGCCAAGTGGCAGTGGCGCCTAGGCGCAAAAAAACTAAATAAAATGTGCCTCGGCGCGCGTACAAAAATATGAGCGTGCCCACAACCTGAGCTTGTGAGGCCAAAAGGTCCAAATATCAAGTTTTGACACAATGGACCTTTATAGGAGCTATCTGGGGTCCTAGACTGGGGTTAAGTTTCAGGGTCTCACTTTCTCTTGACACTCCAAAATGATTTTCACCAGGAGTAGGGGACAACTCCAGTGGAGACTATCAGCGCCGCGTGTTGCCACCTACAGTCAAACCCGCGCAAATGCATACCCACGCAAATGCATAATCAGCCAATTTGCATAGGGCTTGGGTTCCAGACTTGCAGGGTTCTGGAAGCACAAATTTTCATTGGAGCAGTTGTACATTCACATTTTTATCTGCTTCATAATGCATAACTCTATGCATTATGTCATTTTTGTTCTCATAATGCATAAATGTATGTCTTATGACCATAATGCATAGAGTTATGCATTATCACAAAGCCCGTTAAAATGAATAACCGGTCAAAATGCATAGAAAAAATTGTCGCCCCAATTTATGCATTTGCGCGGGTTTGACTGTACAGCACTCTTCTATGTTCAATGTCTCTTACAGTTTTTCTTCTCTATCAGGTCTGAAACCGCCATCGAGGAACAAATTGCAACACACCCTCAGGGCTATGTAGTAGCAAACCATCCATAGCAAAACCGGATGCCACTGATTCCCGGGGCATCTGGGTACACTACGACCCCGAACAACCAACTCCTTGCCATGTTTGAATGTGTCCTAGTGTTCTAATGGATATAACCGAGCGTTGCTGAGGAATGAAGCCATGAAGTACCAGTAACATGAGCAATGTTATCTTGATTTATTAAGACACGAATTTTTGCTTCCGGAGATGATCGGGTTCATTTCTGCGCATATTCACATCTTAAACGTATATATCTTACACCCGAGGACGGGAGACCACATCATGCATGTTCAATTTAGACATGGATATCAAGCTGTTGGAGTCTATAGGTGGCCGAAAACAATTAGTCCACCGATCCAGTGACTGAGATTCCCCATCCAATACTTTGAGCCTACGGTAAGCAAAGGGATACGATAGTGCTATTCTTTGTGATGACAAAGCAAGGCACTACAATCCCAAGTCATCACATGGAGGCTTTCAGATCTGTATTAAGCATTGTGTCGTAAAACTAGAAGAGTGCAAGATTGCGGAAAAGAAGTAGAAAAAATGTAAAACTATCAGTGATACACTCGCGAGATGCCAACACACAAGATTGTCAAGAAAGAAATGCGCACCGAGAATCACAGAATCGCCCCTGAGAAACATCTTGGAGATGAATCGATCCTTGTTGACAGGTTTTTTGTTTTTGCCTTTCGGGAGTTCTGTCCACATTTCCTTTACGTTGACTAAAACCTATGTATATTAATGATTCCCGACAGAATGAATTGATCGGAGCGAAAGCACCAAATTCAATATTAGTGACGGACGGTTAACAAGTACAAGTTCAATACAAGTGAGTCAGTAAAGTTGAATTCCCGTGTGAAGTTTCGCTATTGCTATCGAACATATTCACCCGGTGACTTTAGAGATATGTGCCTCTCATAATGCCACATCGATTTTTTTTCATGAGATCTTATACCCTTCAGGCGCCTCTGGTTCCATCAAACTGCGAACTGCTCAGGTGTACAGTAGTCCAAGTGTCTAGCAATTCTTATTTTGATGAAAAAAGACGATAAATTGACTAACCATGTTAGAATGTCTATCGAAAGCCTTAACACGTGCTAGTAATTTCCGGTTGTTTCTTAAAGCGATCAAGATTTGTGTATGGTTCTTTACACTACTCTGCAGGACTATCAAAAAGGTCATAACAAATCATTACGAAATCAGTCTCAATTGATCGAGTGTCCAACTTGGAAAAAAACCGGGCTGAAGCACTTGTCTCGTGCCTCACCTGACAAGGGACCGGTCGCGATTTCATGTTCTTCAAGAGCTCGAATTTTTTCCTCGTCAAGTTCCGACTTGGGAACGTGGGCGTATTGACTTTAAATTGAGATTTCCCATCAGTCCAATGGAGTCCAATTTTAAAGGAAATCGATGTTGAATACTGATAGAATGATCAATCATACCTCATCTTGTGATTCGAATTCGGTGGTGATAGTATGGCGCGTAAGTTGGTCTACAGATGGATCGCTCTGAGTTGACGGCGGTGTGAGTTGAGATGGAGAACTGCAGTGAATTTAGTGGTGGTCCAAAACCTTGAAAAAGCTAGCTGTATGCACCATAGGTCCCTTGAGTTAAGCGCGTGGCCCGACCTTGAGCTTTCGGGTTTGCCACGGGGCCGTGTCAGGCACTTTGTGTACAAAATGGAACAATTTCGCACCAGAGTGCGCCTCAACAGGCCTCAACTGCCTCTAGTCACACCAAACTTGATGTCAAAATTATCATTGTTGACCAATACCAGTCCAATCAGCAAGGTACTGGGTGGTCATAGAGTTTGTCAGATGTTGTACTTTGTACATCCACATGATCCTTTTTGCATCATTTGTACCAAGAAAAGGCTTCTGTGACAGTGGGGTACCATTTTTGTCACAAATATTTATGAAGTATGGACCTTGAAATCGGGTATTTTTAGAAAAAAGTTTATAAAACCCACAAAATTGACACAAAGCCGGGGGCAGATTTGGAATCCTCACATTGATAGCAATCCAAAATTGTGCTGAACATATTGTTTTTAACATTTTTTGCAGTAGAGGAAGTTCTTTTCATACAATGGAGTTTTTGATAAATCAGCTTTTTGGCAGGCCCAACATTACACGCTTTTAGACACTACCCACTATATAAAGAGAATCACAAGAACAGATTTGAAGAACTACCAAAGAAGATGCAAACAGTACCACATGCACTTGAAAAAGAAAACAGTGTGGTGTCTTTCACCATCAATCAAATCAAGATCCCTCTACTAGATGCTTTTGGGTCAGGAAGATCATGACGTGCAAATTCTGAACAAGGGGAGAGGTATACATCTGGTGATCCATCATATTTTTCATATTTCATGAAGAAATTTTCACTTTAGAAACTGGTTTTGATCACCAAGTTTGAATCAAGTCAGGACACGTGTATTGGAATTGACTGAAGTCTAAGAGACATCACTGTTAACCTGAATTTGCATGAGCAGTAAGCTTCCATCATTTCACCAGAGGTGAAAATACCAAAAACGCCCATAAGAAAAAGAAAAAAGACAATAAGATCAATGTGAAAAAGAAAAGAGGGTAATTAAGGGTAATCTACCAGTACCAAACCAAACACCCATAAAAGAAAACAGATGATGGATTAATCACTCTCAAAAAAAATATCAGATGATGTTGATCATCTACTTGTACAAAGCAGATTTGTTTACACTAATTCAACTATGAAGAAATTTTTTGTCAGGAATTTAGCTGGAAGAATTTACTTCATGCTCCTTGCTGAAACAAAATCTAAAACCATAAATACCACACTTCACTTGAAAACAAACCTCAAAACGTAACTAACATCCTCAACATTCCCCTGATATACTATTGTAATGGAATCACACCATAAATAGGATATTTTCATGTTCTTGATCTCATTTCTATTTATTTATACTAGGATAGTAAGCTCTTGGGTCTGGGAGATCATCAATCTTATATCTTGAATAAGGTGCAACATGCTTCTCAAGTGATATTGCAAATTTCTTGATATGTTCTTCACCTTTTGAGAGATCCTCAAACTCCCAAACTGTGTAGGGAGACTTGAAAACATTTCCATATAAGACACTTGTCAATAATTATCTAATACGAGAAACATTACAAAATGAAATCAAGGAGATAGAGTCACTCACTGTCATTTCACGTAGTATTGAGAAAAATGTGTGGATGTGATATTGCATAACACATTCTTTTGTCTCTGTTATTGTACCAGCAAAGATCCCTGAGTCAAGCACTTCTACAACCCTCTTATACATGATTTGCCTATATTCCGCATCTTCATATAATTGCCTCAAGAAGATCTCTGCTGACCCTGGAGAATATCTGACCACATGATCTATAACCTCAAGGACCATCAAGTACACCTTTGGAATCTCATCATGATCTTCATGGGTAATTAAGATTGTTTTTACCATGGAAAGTAATGTTTTCACCAAGCTTGGATCAAGCTGTGGCAAAAGTGGGGTAATGTTCTCAAGGTACACTCCTAGGTATTCTGTTGCAGGATAGTCCATCATATACACTGGCAATAAATCCCTATGGGCACTGGCAAAGTAATATGGGCCTAAGAGATATCAATTAGCTGGATGGATTTCTTTTCAAATTGAATTCATTTGTAGCAATTCAACTCACATGTTCTGAAGGGCATGTGCTTGTAATCAAAAATACTCAGGAGTCCACCTTCCAAATCTGGGAATTTGTCCAACCAAAATGGCACCAGTCTTGGGATAACATTGGGTGTGTGTCCAATGCTATGAATCACCAAATCTTTCAAGGGACGATGCATGAGAGAAGCAATGACCATCAGCTTATACCTGTCAAGTAGTGCGCTGTCTGAGATTTCTTCAAGATCTCGGAAGTGAAAGAGGTTGTCAGATAATTTAAAAAAGTTGTGTCCTATGGAGTCTTGAGAAGTATCAATCATTTCATGATATGTTGCATCAAAGTCAATCCCACTTTCAATCATTTCTGGTTTCTTGAGGATTTTTTTAATTTTGGCCTTGAAGAAAGGTAGATGAAGATCTCTGTAGAGCTCAAATTGGGTCTCAGTCCATCTCAGAAGTGCATCGATATCTACTCCATTTACATTCTGCCAATGACTCATAAGGTAAATCAAAATTGCCTTGCCATATGTTCCTTCCCAGCTAGGCATTTCAACATTCTTGAAATAGCTGGCAAAGCTTTGTATCATGGCCTTGATACTCTTGTCTTCTTCAGGAAGTTTGATATCCAGTAGGTGATTGCACACAAATTTATCAATGTCAGTTGAACTTGTTTTGTCTTTGAAATAGATTTCCCTGACATCATTATGTGATTTCAACAAGCTGGCCCTTGATAAGCATTCCTCTAAACCTAATAGAATGTTTCATACGTCAGAACTGGAGCAGTAACTTCAAATTGTTTTATTCCAAAACTGCTGAGGAAAATGTATACTTACCTGGGTTTGTCATGTCCAACTTTGGTGATGAGAATAGTGACTGGAATTTTTGTGTAAATGATTCCTCAAATTCTGTTTTTAGGAGAGACACATTGTCACACCAATCAGGCCCATGTATCAAGTTAAATTTAGCAGTGAATATATGGCAAACCAATGGCTGCTTGAATCTCCAAATAAACATGATTCTTCCAACGAGGATTTTTCAATTCATTGACTATGTTTGTTGATTTTGGAGTCACATGCTTGACAAGCCCAGCAACAATACCCAAAACCCAAGTCCTGTTCCATCCTGGCAAGGTATATTTGTGTAACACCAGATGTGCCGTATTAATGCACTCTAGTGCTAAGCCTTCATTTGCATGAATCCATGAATCCCAAGGCTGCAAAGATGTACCTAGTTTTGAGACCAATCTCTGGGTACTGTCGGCTAGCGTTCTGACGAGTGAATAAGTAGTACTTGCAGAGACCTTTTTGGCTGACTGAAAGAAAAATGAATAGGGTACAGCGTCCAGTGGGGGCGCAGGTTGGAGGACACCACTCGTGGCACTTGCTTCTCCAATCAAGGATGGGCCTTGGCCATTGCCAGTTGGTTTGATCTTCATTTTCTTCTCCGGAACACGCGAAGAGTCTTCTCTATGCCTACTTTTGGATTTTTTCCTAGTTCTATCTACTGTGATTGTGCCAATTTGATTTTCAGCAATAAGATTATCTTCAGGTGCGGTGAAAGTTGACCTATTCACCATGATAGATTTAACATCGGAAGCAGATGAAGTAGCCTGATTGGGTAGGTTCCTGAGCAAAGCAACATTTCCTTGTGCAGATAGATGTTTACAGAAGAGCGATGCTAACAGAATCAAGGGCGCGAAAGAATTCATATTGTGTGTTCTTTATTTGTCACGAGTGCCAGTTGGGCTCTTGGACTGGACGTCAGAGGAGCTTTATAAATTTATGCGTTTTTTCGAAACATGAGAGGATTCCTTTCTGTGAAGATGGCATATTTGGAAACATTCACTGCGCCTCTGCGCTTTACAGTGCAAGCTACCTGTTTTGACCAAACTCCTGCATTGCCCTCACGGTAGATCTTTATGCTCACCTGCGTCGAAAAACCGCTTCAGGTAGTTTGCTTCCTAGCGTTTTCTTCCTAGCAATCAAGAGAAGGCGTTGTGTCAATCTGTGAAGGCTTCGAAGAGGAAGAGCAAGTAGACACAGTTTTGACCAAATCCCATATAGCCCAGCATTTATCAGCAAAGAGCGCACCAGACTTCTTGAATTTTTACATTACAATACTACAACCGTTACCCAGCGTCATGCAGTGAAAATAGTCTTACAGTTTTCGGCACATCGCAGTGATTTTCACCTTCCTCCGAGCTCTTTTGTGCTGAGGTTGTGCAGTCATCTCCAAGCCTTATCGAAGGGTTCGAAATTTTGAGGGAGATTATTGAGCGGGAGTCTAGATGACAAACAAGTTTCGGACGGTCAGCGATCAGAGACTCGCGGGCTTGCCAATTAGTCTATGGCTCTCAACCTGACTTAACCTGATACCGCTCTTCAGAAAATGGAAATGAAAAACCTAAACCAAGTCATGCAAGGAATGATCTTGCTTTCTGTGGTAGCTTTGGGTTATAAGAATTTATCAATATGATTTCATTTCACTTTATTCTTTCATTTGTGTGGTTTACTACTACAAATCACGTGTTCATTTGAGATGTAAAATTGAGGGATGATAGTTTTGCATATAGTGCATCCATCGTGAATGTGTTATGATTCTGAGTGTTGAACTAGTTGTATATTGAGATTGGGAAGCTGGATGATGCCATATCAAAACATGAGTAGGGGGTTCAATTTTGAAGCAAACATGATAATCAATCTCTTGTGGGTTACTTCTTTGACTTATTCAGGTGATATTGCTCGAATAGCTGAAAGAATCATGATTCAAAGTTTGCCTGATCAAGAAGTCTTACTCAACGAACCTATACCGCTTGCGAGAAAAACAAAATAAAAACAACACTAGGAATGGATTGGATTCCTTACAAATCCTCCATTCTTTTAGCTCTCAAGACATGAACAAAATTTCTCAAAAAGATTGGTCAGTCTTGTTCAAATAAGATCATCAATATTTTCTTTCATTTCCTTTATTCTCTAAAATCTTAATCATAAGAAGAAAAATCAGAGAAAAGAAGAATCAGAAAAAGAAATCATCCAAAGTTCACATATACTCAGAGAAAAAAAAAGAACTTTCAAGAAAACAAACAAGGACATTAATGATTAAGAAAATGAAAAAAGGAAACACTAATAACAGATGAAAAGATAAATAAGAGTAAGGGAGGACCATGTTAGATTTTCTGTGTTTTCTTTGCCTAGACAAAAAAACAATCATCATGGTATGAGAGTAGACGATGAAGAACAGCAACAACAACACAAAAAGAATGTGAGTGTAAGACAAGGAGAAGAACGAAAAGTATCGATAATCGTTCCCAAGAAAAGAGATGATGAGGACAAGAAGAGAATTAAGAGTTCAGAGCGAATCAAGAAAGCAAGAGTATGTCCGAGGTGAGTTGAATGACTCAAGAAATCGAAGGAGATGGTGGTGGAGCACTGGTGGATAAGTGATAGTTCTTCAATCGTTCTGGCATCGTAGGAGATTCCACTAAACCAGCTGATGGGTACCGATTAGCACCATCAGTTGACCGTTTACCCTCACCCATCATCATCATCTTTTCTTCCAATTCAGCGTCCTCTTCTTCCTCAGCTTTGACCGAAGAACCAGGTGAAGACCAAGTAACGGATCTTCGGGATGAAGAGGACATCGTCAAGACCGACGAAGTAGGTGATGAACTGATCGAGAGTGATGAAATCGATCGAGGTGGAGCTGGTCTACTCAATCGATGTCCTGCTCCATACCAATCTCCTACTACTCTTGAGGCTCGTGAAAAGTATCCGTAATTGTACTTCTTTACCACGACGGCGGAAATCGTACTGAACCGTTCCCCAAGCTGTTCATCCAACATGTTCATCACTCGTTTCGCTCCCGCATTCTCATCTGCAGACTATTGGAAACAAAACAACAAATTGGTAAACAAATAACATCATCAAATTGGTGAAAGATAAACAAAAACTCAACTTGACAAGGTGAACCAAGTATAAATCTAGCCAACATTAAAGCTCCATCTGCAATCTCTACTGATCTAATCCCAACAAACGCTCGATCAAAGAGACTGAGCTCCATAAGAAACCTAGTCAAATGAGCAAGGGTGGTATTGGAATGTTGTAAAGATTGAGATTTGGTGACCATCATCGACTTTGAAAGTTCATCGGCCAATCGAATCCTCAAAAACGCTTCAGGAGTAGGATGTCCAAGTTGCCAACCAATGGTGGTAAGTACATGTCCTTCCATTTGAACAAAACTAGCTTCTTCATAAGCTCCACAACACATCGCACTCAGTTCCCCAACACCTGGGACTCGTTCCTTTGCATCCTCATATTTAGCAGCAATCCAAAGGGAAGCACAACCAACGAGTTGATAATGTTTCTTGAAAACTACTCGCTTAGCTACATAGCGATCCACAATATTAACGGCCAAATATAGTGTTTCGGGTCTTAAGCGGTATTGTTGGTGAATTTCAATCATAAAATCAATCAAAAATGGTCGCATGAACCATTCTAACTCGGGTTGAAGATCCATAGTCTCTACTGCTGGAATAGTTTCAGCCTATTGTTGAATGTAAAAAAAATCATCAGATTTTTTTTAGTGTGAGATGAGTTGGTATGAAACTGAGATCAAAATGACGTACATCCAGTTGAAGCATGTACTCTTGAGCTTCTTCACGATATTCACCCACCAACAACATAGTCATCAACTCGCGATCATGATCAGGATTTCGGCTGGGTTTTGGTTGAGACGAAGAGGAAGAGTTAGAAGCATTCAGACGAGATCGACTGGATTGAGTAGATCGACGTTTAGGAATTCCAGGAGAGTTGAGACGAGATTGAGAGGTGAGGTTGGATAGAACTGATGAGACCATTTTGAGCTAGATGAAGTCTTCAAAGTTGATTTGATGAAACACTTGAGTCGAATGATGCTGATGCTACTGAAGTTGAAAAAAAATCGAATCGAGTAGGGTTGATGTGTATGGGGTTGAAAAGCAGGATCAGTTTTTAAGTTAGTGGGTCTGCTAGTACAAGTTTTTGATGTTTTGTTGGGTAGAAAGGTTTGACAAGGAATTGCAAGGAATCACAAGGAATCACAAGCGATGAGGGAGAGAGATGTATAGTGGGATGTACTAAAGATGAAGTGTTGATTTCGATAAATGAATTCAAAAGATTTTATTAAAAGATCAGAGGAAGGTTCATGAAGGATGTGTAGATGAAGAACTAGAATGGAGTTTTCTTTAGGATTGAATCCAATCAGTTATATCACTTTGTATCCGATCGACAGAACTTTTTTTTCTTCCTAGAACCATGCAAAGGTCAATTAGAAATGGTAGAAAACCTTCAATAGGTACAAATTATTAAAGCCCAAAAGATGGCTGGATAGAAGGTCAATTTAAGAGATACTTTTATGCAAAATCACTTCAAATCAATTCTCGATCGATCCAAAAACAGAAAAAAATAGCTAAGAACTACAGCTCATCTAGAGTTGTATGGGTTGATCGTATGTCATCAAGTTTATGGTTGGGAATATCTCTGGTCTTGAAATATATGTTGATAACTGGTGCGATTTGAAATAGGTTTTCAAGAGGAAAATCAAAACTTAATATGATAAAAGAAGGAAATTAGGAATCAAACTTCAAAGGATGAGAAAGAGTAGTAAGAGAGAGTAAATTGAGGAAAGTCGAAGGACAAGTCGGAAAGTGAGAGTGGACTATAAATCTATATTTGATGATATCATCATCCAATTCCAATTCCAATGGCACGATTCAATGGTCAAGTGAGATTGTAATCAGCATTACCAATTCGAGTGGGATGTACCAAATCTTCACATTCCATCGAATCATTCAACATTCTTTGAGTCTTACTTAACTTTCTTCACAACCTTAACAACTTCACTTCACACACTCTTGTACATAATAGTCGTCACTTATTCCTCAATTCTCATGTCACATCACCCTTCAAACTTTGCTGATGTCCGACTCTCATGGGGACTTGAAGTTGAGTTCCTCAACATCTTCTTCTCAAGTGTGTAAAATCAAATTGAATTGAAAAATGTGTAAAATGTGAGAAAAGTAAAGAGTGAAAAAGATAAAAGAAAGTCAATGTGAAAAAGAATGAAAACGTGATTTTAACTCTTACCAAAAAGACTCTACTTGATCGATCTTGAGAAAACTTTCTAGAAAAACAACAAACAGCACAAAACATCACATTAAAAGCCATACCAATCAAACTTTCTTGCCAGTTGGTTTTCAAATCTAAAAACTTTCAATACTCACCCTTCTATCGTCTCTTTTCCTTTCCTTTCAATTGTCTGTAAATCAATTAAATTAAAACCAAAAAAAAACTTCAAATAGTTCACCAAACGAAAGTTATATCAAAAAGACTGTAAATTAATAAATGAATGTGTTGGTGAAGTTTTTCAAAGGAAAACGGGTTTCTTTGGAATTAAATCAAAGAGTGTGTGAGTGATTGTTGTTGATGAATTTCTGCTTTCTCAATAAAGAAGGGTATAGAAAATCAAAGGTTTCCAAAAAGAACAAAAAAACAAATATTAGAAGTTGGTACGTAAAAAGTGGTAAAGAAGATAGATAGAGTAGAAATGATCGGAACAAAAAGTAACAAGTCGGAAAGGAAGACGTCAAATGATTTTATATAAAATCAATCTCATGACCGTTTATGCACATTTCCTTTTAATTATAAATCACGATGATGTAATGTTTATGGTTGAGTGGTTTTGGTTTCGAATTCAGGAACATTTAAGGTACCAAAGGCTGTGATATAGGACCAAAATCACGTTCGATTGGTACGGTCATCAAGGTTGAAAAGGAGGCGCGGCGGTGGTTTGAGAAGGGAATTTTAGATCTTCGTAAGCTTTTCCATAACATCTTGACTCAGATAGGCCAGTCGATCCCCGGAAGTATGCCGAGCTGTATCTTGAGCCGTGAGACCGATTACAGTTTCGGTCACAATTCGGGCTGTCATCCATCAAGACCGACTCCAAAAGTCTCGACGTGTGGTGTCAATCGGCGAGAAGCAAGAAACCACGGCTAACCTAAACCACGCCAGCCTGAAAACCACCGGTGCTGAAAACAGGCTTGACGCCGGTTAGGCCGGAACCCTCTCGAAGGGCCTTGTACATACAGTGGGTTTCTCGACGTACCGGGCCGTAGGGATAACCGGCTTCAGCAAGAATCAGAAGCCGATCTGTAATTGGATCGTTTTCGCACCATAAGGCTTGAATCTGATAGAGTCTGATTAGGTCTGATTGAGAGCATTGGGTAGTCATTAGGGGTACACAAACATGAAAACCCGACCTAAAAACCCATGGACAAAACCCATGACAGCCCGATTGTTTTGTCCATGGGTTTTTAGGTCGGGTGTTCAAGTTTGTGTACCCCTATTGCCTCGAAAGACGTCTTTTCCTGAAAGGGTGATTGAAGGCAAAATCATGTAATAAACTTTCACAAGCAAGAACTTGTAACTCCTCATTTGTTCATTGCCGTTGATCGAACAAAACATCAGCCCGCAGAAATCTAGAACACTTTGCAAGATGTTGACAAGCAGATTGCATCCGTAGCTTCATCAATCGTCCATCTCCCCATGAGACGTTAGCAGAGAGTATGTCATTGTCATATGAGCTAATATTTGATAACGCAGGAAATCCACTGAAAATCAAAAGCACAAATTTATGGTGTTCAAACATGTGCAAGAAATTTGCAAAACCGATGTGCAAGATCCGTGCAAGATCCGTGCAAGAAATCTTGCACGGATCTTGCTTAATTAATTTTTTCACAACCCCCTGCTGTATGTGTTTACCCTTTCTCATCAAGGGCAAACTGAGTCCTCGAAGCGGGGAAGCCTAGGTTCACACATAACTTTCTTAAGTCTGCAAGTTTTGTGCAAGTTCTATGCAAGATGTTTGAAAGAACTTGTACAGAACTTTCTCGCAACTTGCAAATTTCTTGCGCATGTTTGAACACCATAATTGAAGGGAATACACAAGGAAGCGGCGAAGAGTTGCAGCTACTTGACTGGCAGAAACATTGGGTTTTTGCGGTCGCTTCTGCCCTCTGACCTTGCAGCATTGCAGTGTGCACGCTCGGAAAAACCAGGCAAGAAAAAACAATGTCTTGGATAGATTCCAAGACAACAAAAACAGGTGTTAGACCCAAAGTTCTTGAATATAAAGAGCCTAGCAACTTGTACAGCTGTTTGCAGAAAAAATGCCATCATCCAGTTTTCTTTATTTTTTATTTTTTTAAGTTGCACTAAAAATTGCCAACGCAGATTCTACACAAGAGCAGCTGTACGTCATGATGTGCTAATTGTTAAAGATTGCACAGAGTCTCCTCACCAAAGGTTGAGAAAGCTTGTGCATTTCAGATACAAAGGCAGCATTACTTGTGATCTTTCACAAACTTCACACCCTCAAAAAAGTTGAGTACAGCCTCCTACAGCTCTTATTGTAGAATCTACGTTGATAATTTTTAGTGCAACTTGAAAAAATAAAAAATAAAAAAACTGGACGATGGAATTTTTTCTGCAAACAGCTGTAAAAGCAAGCTGATATCAAAAGTATCTTCAATATCTTCTTCAGGTACTTGTTCATCCTGAAAGCTTCTAGCAGAGGATTCATTCTCTGTGATAATCATGACTTGAGTCATTGAATGCAAAAAGCACATTGTGCAAAGTTGATGATTAACTCATTGGATTGAACAGATGTAAATTGGTAAGACCCCCACTCAAGCCAAAAGCTCAGCACTTCTGCCTTCAAGGTGTCTCAATTGACACATCTTGACTTTGAGTCATATACAACGTTAGTGAACATATGTCCCCTAAGATGTGCAATGTGCAATGATTTCAATCTCATCCTTGGCTTGAAGGCCTCTATTTATATCTCATTGAGACTTTCATGTTACCCTTTATCTTCCTTTTTGGTGCCTTCAAAAGTGCCTTCAAAAGTGTCTTTTTCATTTTGTCTTTTCCGCTTCCTTTTTCTTCTTCTGTTTTCTCAACTTTTTTTGAATTTTTCATCTCTGTTACTGTTTATTCCTATTTCAACATATGTATCCTCTTTTTCCCCTTTTGGCTGCAATCATTTTCATCACTTCACCTCTCCACTACACAATTATAAAGCTCAAGTTTTTCAGTTTTCTTTAATCATGCATCCATCAGTCCATTTTATTTTATTTTTGAACCACTTTGTTTCTCCTCTATCAGTAAGTCTTGCTCCTTTTTCCAATTATGGGCTAATGATATTTGCACTGGCCAATATCCTACCATTCCATGTTTGCTTACACCACATATTTGGCCTTACCTGATCCAGTCATAGCATATTCAATTGTTGGGTTAACTTCCTTATGTCAAATAAGAAGGGATAGTCCACTAATATATGAATAGTAGCAGTTGCCTAAAGACTGCCTTCTTCAAAGAAACCAGCACAAGGGCACTTGCTGGCCACTTTGTGATAACAGAGAGAAAGATAACAGGCACCAGAGAAAACTTTTCAATAGTTTTAATAAGTATTATTCCAGTTTTTAAGCACAAAAGTCTACAAAACAACATCAATTACTAGCAATACTGTTTGAAGTATTAGGGCAGTTCAAGTTTGACAAAGCCCTAAAACAGAACTGTGCCTACAGCAAGATGCTGCTTATAAATTTCAAAGTCGGAAAAACTCTGAGAAAGCCCTACCTGAGGAGCACATACTTGTGCCAACCAAAGTTGAAAGTCTACAATTTTACAGTGCATTGAGGCTAAAAGACTTATAATTTTACAACATTTTGGGTTAACTTGAACTGCCCTATTATTCCCAAAGAGACTTATAGTCTTTAACACACATAAATAAATTTCTCCTTGCTTTGAAGGGGCGGATTTAAGTGAAATTAGTACAAATGTAGTGAATAAATGATGATTTATAACACTACAACAAATGTATAGGATGAAAGGGGAACAACAATCCCAAAATCATCTGTGAGTATGTATATCAATGTGTAACAACTCTTACAATGGTCAACAGCCCTAGAAACCAATCAATTTCGACCAAAAACCCCTAATATTCATGTAATGACGCAATGTAATGACATTGTTACTAGATGATGTAATTTACACAGCCAAAGTGATCAAGGATGTAACTAGATGTTACAC